TGGTGCAGTGTACGACGGTGCGACGGCGGCACGGCAGTACCTTATACCTTACAATCGCACCAACGTTTGGTAGCAGCAGGTGGAGTGCCCTCGCTCTCCTGTCCATCCCCCTTACTTGCCCCATCCGCACCTCACCTCATCCCACCTCTTGCAGGCCGCGCTGCTGGACAGTCCCTACTACGCCGGGGCGCCTGGCGGGCGGGGCGGCGGGGCGGCTGGTGGGGGCGGAGGCACTGAGGGAGGCGGCGGAGGTGGAGGTGGCGGATACTTTGCCGGCGGCGGCGGCGGCGGTAGGGGATGTTTTGCCGGCGGCGGCGGCGGAGGTGGGGGCGGCGGTGGAGGTGCAGGAGGCTTTGCCGGCGGCGGTGATGGAGGCGGCGGAGGTGGAGGTGGTGAAGGAAGCTTTGCTGGCGGGGGCGGCGGCGGAGGAGGCGGTGACGGTGAAGGACAGGAGGAAGAGGAGGAGGCGATGGAGGCTCAACCCTCGACGGTAGCGGCGGCGGCGGCGGCGGAGGCGCCGCTCGTCGCAGCAGTAATGCTGGCGCCGGCGGCGACGGCAGTGCTGGTGCGGGAATGGCTGAACGCGTTCCTGATGGAGGCGGCGGCGAAGGCGCCGCAGGCGCTGGCAGCGTTGGTATGGCCGCAGGCGTGAGAGGGGTGCGCAGCAGCAGCGCTGGCTCGGGACGGGGTCTAGGTCGCTTGCTGGGGGTGCTGTCGGGCGGCGGCTTAGGCCGACCCATGGGTCCGTCAGACCCGGCGGCTGGGACCGGAGGTCCGGAGGTAATGGCGGCGGCGAGTGGACCGGGCGGCGGGGGCGCACGGCGGGACCTGTTCGATGATGATGTGGACAACCGCGGTCGACGACTGCAGTGGGTACGTGGGTTTTGTCTGCCGTTGGCAGGGGGAGAAGCACAGGAGTTGGAGTTCACTTTGCGGGTGGTAACATGAGTATGGGAGCAACCAACGCATCACGCCTCGCTGCCAAGCAACACACGATCATGCATGCACCTTACTGTTGCCATGTGCACGCACGTCCTGTCATGTGACACGATGCAAAGCACCAATATGGCTCGTGCCGTCCCCTTTACTCCTCATCATCCTAAGTTCCTAACCCATGCGATTCCGTACACTGCCGTACACCACTGCCGTACACGCAGCTCCGGCTGCCCGAGCTCATGGACGAGGACGACAGCCAAGCCCACCAGCTGCTAGCCGAGTTGGGCGCTAGCATCACGGAGCTGCACGGCACTCCGCTGGATCCTCCGCCCGCTGATGATGACGAGGATTCTGCCTCCGTCGCCGCTGCGCCCGGCATCAGTCGTGAGTCCGCTGCCCGCTGGTCCGAGGCGCTGGTGTTTGAGCTGCTGCAGCGGGACGCGGCGGTGGCGGCGGGCGGGTGGAGTGGGTCAGCGGCGGGCGGGAGGAGTCGCGGCTGGCGCCGTACGATATCCTGCTGACACGTGGAGAAGGTGGGTGTATACCGGCACGTGTCCCAAGCAACCAACCAAACCCCCGCCCTGCTGTCCACCTCGGCCCCGTGTGTCCCTTTTATCACGACAGCTGACGGCCCGCTTGCTCCCTTCTCTCTGCCCTGTGCGCCCTATCCCCCGTTCCCTGTTCCTTACCCCCCACCCATCCTCTGGTTCTTGTATATCTCTGACCCGTCCATGTGTAGGTGCCAGCCTGGAGCAGGTGTTTGTGGAGGTGAAGAGCAGCACCTCCTGCAACAAGAGGAGCTTCGAGGTCAGCACGCAGGAGCTCAGCAAGGCGGCGCAGGAGGGCAGCAGGTGCGGGGTATGGCGGGGCCTGGCGGGCGGTAGATAGTGGAGGTTATGGGGAAGTGGGTGAGTCGAAATGTTGTGCTGGCTCTGCTGGGGCAGGGTGAGGGCCGGGGAGGCAGGGCGGGCAAGCCGTCCGTAGCGGCTAGTACAATATCAGTTACACTCTGTACGCGTGTTTAGCCGGTTATGGTGAATGATGTAGGGGTACGGCTGAAAGCATAGACGTTTGGGCTTTTGGCGCAGCCTGCGTATGAAAATGTTATACCATGAGGTAGGTTTTTAAATTCCCTATCCAATGGTGTTAAGATCGATGACAACACGCAACGATGCCGCTGGGAGTGCCTCACAAGTGCGACATTGATGGTGATGTTGCGGACATGAAAGACATAGATTGCTAAACATGCAAGCGCCATGTGCATCAGAGCGCCATAGCCTGGTTTCTGTGTTCCTTCCCGGTGCATGAAGGGGAGGGGATCTCTCCTACCTCCCCTGTCACCCAGCGGCAAGCATCACCCCGAGGGAGGGGACTCCCCCTCCCCCCTTTACCCCCCCCCTCCCCCTGCCTTTCTTCCCCTTTATCCCCCTGCGTGTGCATCCCAGCGTGTGCATCAAGTGCAAATGTTGGTAGTCCCCCCCCACCAGAGGTGCAGCAAGAAACCGCCAACTGTCTGGTGTAAGCGGGACAAATCCTACATCTACCAGTGTATGCACACTGTATCAACTGCAGTAAGAGAGCAGTTTCTGATCAGTTTCTGCTGTTCTAGGCAACCTGTGCAGCTAACGCTACGATGTTGCGCTTGAACTGTTTGTAGCTGAGCGCCTATTAAGATGCAGCTGCTCAGTCGTTATTGCACATGCACAGTTACACCAGTTACTGGGCAGTTACACCAATTACAGTCATACTGTGAAGAATTGGAACTTTTCTGTGTTTGTCCATTGCATCAAAGGCGGTAATGCGGTAGGCAACAGTGCCTGAGCTGAAGTGACAGGCTAAACCTCATAAGACCGTGTAGTGATGTACGATTACTGCTGTCCTAGACTGTCCTTATTGATAATACAGTAGCTGCTCGTATAGCTGACCTTCTAATCAGTTGCAGCTGCCCCAAAGTCCTTGCACAGTGAACATCTAACACTGCCGAAACCAGCTCAGGCTGTCACGCTACTCTGCTGTAAGACAGGCTGATCACAATCGCTATCGAAATAAGTATTTGGCACGATGGCTTGGAAACTAAATCAGAGGGCGCCGGCGTGGAACCTTGGCTGGCGTATGCAAGATGCAATGCACACGTTCAATGCTACGCCGCAAATACCACGTGAAGCGATGGACGCGCCTGCAAACGTAGAAAAGAATAAAGGTCAGCGCATGACATTTTAGACCATTAAAAAGGCACAGCAACACATACCTACGAAAGGTGCGACTCGCTTGCAGATTAGGACGACGCACATGGGCTTCGCGCGTCCCAGGGCGGACGCGACGCGGCAGCTAGCAAGTGGTGGTGCAGTTAGTGCCATGACCCATAGCACAGTGTTAGATGCCTCTGCTGCAACTTGCACGACAATGGATCACAGAACAGTCATGACATTGATGAATAGAAAACATACGCATACGCCTTCAGCAGGCTACACCTGGTATGAAGCCATGTTGCACAGCCACCATATCGGCCCAGCTGCCGTTCAAGCTGTCAAGCCCGTCGGCGAAGCGTAAAGCGGCTCCATTCTCTATCGTCGCTGCGCGTGGGCTTGCCCTATGATGCACAGAGGCCCTCAATAGAAGGAATACAAGTGACAAGGAAATAAAGTTAACTAGCCAATTGGATAGCCGCTGGAATGATCAGGTGTCGGGCGATCAAGCGTCGTACAACCTCATCCCAGCCGCCCACGGGCTTTGGCGCTGCCATCGATGCAATATCTAGTCCGTGGCTACTTCTTTCCAGGTTTGCAACATGTTGTGACCATGAACTAGGCTGGCGACGGAGGTGCGACATAGATGGCGATGTTGCTCACCTTCCCGATCACGATGTCCAGTAAAATCCACACCTTCCACAAGCAATACGTGTCTGGACATCAGCAAATCGCAATCAATGTCGCACTCGCGTTGTAAGCGAACTCGCAGCACACGACAGCATGACGTGCTCAGCATGATGTGTTGGCCAGCTTTACCAGGCGGCTACACCACAACCGGCTCAAGGGCTAAGTTTAGTGTGTTTGTACGAGCCAGGGAGGCCAAGGACACTATAAGAAAGGACTGTATATAGTAACAGCAGGAATGGATCCGCAATTCCGTTGCTATCAGCCGCGCTGCTGCTGCACGTGTGGAGGAGCATGCAGCGATACGTCGTGAAGAAAAGCAGCCCCGCGTATCCTCCATTCCTCTTGCACTCCCAGCAGCCCCCACCCTATCTGCGCCACATTGTTGCACTCCCCACTCGCCCATTGTTGCACCACCTAACCCACCCCTGGCGCAGGTACATCATCTTCCGGGTGCTGGGTGTGGGCGACCTGGCCTCGCTGGAGCTGCTGGTGCTGGCCGACCCGTGGGACATGTGTGCGCGCAAGGAGCTGCGCCTGTGTCTGCTGACAGGATATGCCTGGGATATGGGATTGGGACTTAGTTGCATTTCTTATATAATTCCCCCCCCTGCCTCCGCCATGTGTACTTCTTAGTACTTCTTTGTTCGCATCTTCTTAGTACTTCTTTGTTCGCATCTTCACCATCGTCCTCTTTAACTTATACTTAACTTCCCCTTTCGCTTTCCTTGCCTCATTCCGCATATCTGGCTCTCCGCTGGACATCGCTATCAACTCGCCTCGACCTAACTTACTCCATGGTCCTGGCGGCTTGCCATGGACATGTCTCCTGGTGCACATATCCTGTGCACGCAGGTACGTGTTTTTATCGTGTGTCAGTCTGTGTTGTTTTTCATGCGTGCTCGTGTTGTGCTGTTCCTGTTGTTTGCCCTTGCCCAACGGCGCGGTGGGTCTCCAGCTCACCTTCAGCAGCCTCCACACATGCCCAAGACTATGGTAAGGTTGCTCCATAATTGGTAAGTTCGGTAAGTTTAGCTCGCATTGCTTTAACCACCATTTCGGCTCGACTCACGGACGTCACGGTTGATTCCACCAGGGATTGTCAGCAACTTGTATCATTATCATACCACACTTTGGAATTTCTTTCCCCCCCCCTCCGCCCCCCAACTGTGCACCGCCCTGCCGCCCACCCTCACCTCGGCCGGCACCGCACCCGCGCCCCCTGACCCCCCAATTATCTGAGGATTTAAGCCGCCATGTAACGCTCACAAATGACATTGCTCGCCGGCCGCCCGCTCGCCGTGGCTCTCAGTCCTTGCCAAGTCACACGCTTCATGTAGGGTTCAGGTCAGGAGAAATAGGGCACGATCCTAGGCTCGCCGCCCCTGCCGGGCTGGCTGAGCGCGCCCATGGCCCGAAAGATCCCTGGCGCCGTAATCAACAAAAGCGGTCCGAGATAGGTCAGTCACGCGATACGTCATGGCATCGTACGTTTAGGTTGAGCATGGTTGAAGTAGGCGGCCTTAAAGGGTGACCCGAAAGCCCCAGGCGCTGAAGACTAGGATGGCTCTGACAGACCGAGTTGAAGCAGGCATATCGCTCTTAAATCTGTAAAGAACGTGAGGTAGAGATCCCTTCCCGTCTCTCTTCAAGAGCCGCTCTCCGGGGCTCTTCATATGCACAAGATCCAGATCAGCCAAGACCAGCTCTACCATCGGTATACCTACAGGCCAGTAGCACCACTCCCCGTAAAGCAGCAGTAACAAGCAAGGACAGCTCACCGGTTTCCAGCCATCATACCCAACCAGCTCGGCAAAGCAACCCCATACGAAACCTGCATGAACTGTAAAGACCTTGCAGCTTCTGAGCAGAGCCATCGATCGCGTTCAAAACCACCATTACCACAGTGTTACCCAAAACCTAACCACCCTGCAACGGTACACAAGTGAAGCCACATCCCTGAGCCAAATAGGTTACCCGCACAGTAAACCCACATCGTCAGTCGCCATCGCCAGTCCAAATCGCTCATCGTGCCGACAACCGAACCGCAACGGTCAAGCATTTCGCAAGTGCCGCAACTGTTACACTTCCGCTAGCCCACGCATCTCAATGATAGACCATTAAGGGGAAGTGCGTGTCGTTGAGTATTAATACAATGGCAGGTAGGTACTACTGATCAGTTCCAAGGCAATACCCCAGGGTAAAGAGGAGGATAAAGAGGAAACAACGAACTGACTGAGTGATAAGGCGTCAATATGGTTTGCAACATGTGAGCCAGCCCGACCCGCCAGGGTGGCCCGCCCGCATCGGCATTGCAGCAGTGCAGCGCAGGACCACTGAGTCATAGTCACTAAACAATACACTGCGGTCAATAGCGTTTAGTATACGCAGCACGATGAGGCATAGTCAGAGCGCAAACCTGCTGTACGCTAAACCTGCTGGGCACACAATAGCACGCGCCGACAACAAAACAAAGACAAAACAAATTTGCAACAAAACAAAACAAAACAAATTTGGATTGCCGCCCTAGGCGTGAAAAGAATGGTAAGCCACAGGTTAGGTCAAAGCATTTTCAACGATGCCAGGTAAGGGACTGTGTATGGGACATGTTCACGGTACAGTGGTCCAAACCTCGATGATACGTCCGACATACTCAAAACTACACGCACCCCAATCACCCAAATCTTAACCACCCATCAACGATCTGCACGCAATTCCAACCATCAAACCAAATAATAGCAAAGGCTGTCGTCAACCCTAAGAAGCTAGGTTAACCGTTGTCAACTTGCTGTCATCACCAGTAGTCGAAGTTGCCAGACACGTCAATGACCGAGCCACACCAAGCCACACCCGCATGCTGCCATGAGTTACAGACTTCGAAGTTCTCCCTCTCACGAGAGTTGCAGCCCAACGGCTGCCAGGTGCGGCAGGAGTGACTTACTGGAAACAGTCGCCCCGTTGACGTTAATCCGTACGGCAACCACAACCGCTGTGTTGAACTCATCAGCTGATGTCATCATGGCGGCCGCATCAGACAGTTGCAGGGTAGTTGCGGCCGTTGCAGCAGATACGGCAAAGTAATTGAGTCCCGGACACTTCAGCACCTGGCCTGTACTGCCTCTGTACAGTGTCACCCACTGTGTGTGGTACGAATGGTAATGTAGCAAGGAAGCAAGAGGGTGAAGGTTGCTTGTCATCAAAGGAGCTATGCAATGGTGAATGCGGGGCAGGGAACTAGATAGGACAAAAAATAAACAAGTAAGGACCTCCTGGTACAACCTCCTATCCGCACCCGCCAAACACAACAGGAACAGGCCATCCCTCCCCTTTCCTTTCCACAACAGGAATCTTCCACCCCTCCCTCGCCCCCACCCCGGGTACAGTGTTCCCAACCAGCAGCCCTGCTTCCCACCTGTTCATAGCTGCTGCTGTTGGCACCACCGGTCACCACCCTCTCCCTCCGGAGCAGCAGGTCGATGGAGGCAATGGCGGGGTTGAGGGTGCCCTTGTTGGTGACATACAGCGCCACAGCCGCCACCTGACCGCCCCGTGCAGCGGGCGCCTGGTTGAAGTAGGCCACCACGTAGCGGGGGGCCTGGATTGGGGCAAGATAAGTCAATGGAAGGTTGCAAGCAGAGGTTGGGCACAAACGGATGGCTTTAATGTGTACCGTAATGGGTGCGAACTGACGAACCATGCAGGAGGCCATGCACGCAGCTGCTATACATCACCCCTGCCTGCCAATCCGCTACCTGCTGCTTAATGACTTACTGTTTTAGTCGGCACCCAGCTGACGTCAGCTGTGGGTTTGCAGGCCTTTGGCGAGGTCCTGAACTTGAGCTCGGGAGCCCCCACTATGAGGCCCGCAGAGCCGGCAGTCTGAAGCTGCTGAGGCTGAGGGTGTGCATACATATATACATGCATGGCAAAAACCGAATGTGGTCAGTGCCTTCATCATCAACGCATTTAACAAGGGGACTGGCAACCACCTAAACTGGTAAACTTTAGTAGTCAAGCAACATCTAAAAATGCCTCCATCCACCAGCTGGTTCTATGTTAGGTAGCTACCTAACTTCTGCTGCCGCTACCCACATTGGGGCCAGAGGCGTAGGTAGCCCAGTACATGGCTGGAGGTGATGGTGCTGGTAAGGGGTGTGGGGCCGAGGGTGGTGGTGGTGATGGTGGCCGAGGAGACAGGGATAAGGGTGAGGGGAGTAGACTTGAAGGCGGTGAAATTGGGGGGGGTCGAGGTGGTGGTGGTGAGGGTGAAGGGGGTTGAGATGATGGTGGTGGTGGAGTGGGAGGCAGTGGTGATTGGGGTGGGGGTGAGACAGCAGGTGTGATAGGTGATGGAGACGGAGGCGGGCTGTGTATTGGGGACGGGGTTAAAGGAGGCTGGGGACTGCTAGGGGACTGCGGGCTGTGTGGGGATTGTGGGGATTGTGGTGAATGGAGGGGCAGAGGGGTGGGGCTGGGGGTTACGGATGGCAGGCTAGGGGGTGGAGGGCTGGGTGGCTGGGGGGGAGGGGAAGAGCTGTGAATAGCGCGAGGTGGTGGTGGTGGGGGTGGTGGGCTCGGAGAAGGAGGCGGGGGAGACGGGGGAGGCGAGGGTGGAGGCGAGGGTGGAGGCGAGGGTGGAGGAGAAGGTGGAAGCAAGGGTGGTGGAGAGGGTGGAGGCGAGGGTGGAGGTGAGGGTGGAGGTGAGGGTGGAGGCGAGGGTGGCGGAGAGGGTGGAGGTGAGGGTGGCGGAGTGGGTGGAGGTGAGGGTGGAGGCGAGGGTGGCGGAGTGGGTGGAGGTGAGGGTGGAGGCGAGGGTGGAGGCGAGGGTGGAGGCGAGGGTGGAGGCAAGGGTGGCGGAGAAGGTGGAGGCGAGGGTGGCGGAGAGGGTGGCGGAGAAGGTGGAGGCGAGGGTGGTGGAGAGGGTGGAGGCGAAGGTGGCGGAGAGGGTGGAGGCGAGGGTGGAGGAGAAGGTGGAGGCGAGGGTGGTGGAGAGGGTGGTGGAGAGGGTGGTGGAGAGGGTGGAGGCGAGGGAGGATGCGAGGGTGGCGGAGTGGGTGGAGGTGAGGGTGGAGGCGAGGGTGGCGGAGAGGGTGGAGGCGAAGGTGGCGGAGAGGGTGGAGGCGAGGGTGGCGGAGTGGGTGGAGGTGAGGGTGGTGGAGAGGGTGGAGGCAAGGGTGGCGGAGAAGGTGGCGGAGAGGGTGGCGGAGAAGGTGGAGGCGAGGGTGGAGGTGAGGGTGGAGGCGAGGGTGGCGGAGAGGGTGGAGGCGAGGGTGGAGGAGAAGGTGGAAGCAAGGGTGGTGGAGAGGGTGGAGGCGAGGGTGGTGGTGAGGGTGGAGGTGAGGGTGGTTGTTGAACCAGAGTAGTACAGCTTGTTGGAGTTGACTGAGTTAATATGTATTCGTAGACCACTGTGGAATAGCAGGAAATGCGTACGCAAAGGAATAGGGTAAGCATGAAGAAGAGTTATGACAGAATGGCATAAAACTGCTCCCAGCCAACCTGGTGGACTACGCTTCCCCACGTTTAACAATGATACACGCAGGCTGCCATATTTGCCATTTCTCCCTAGTTCGGGACCAATTGAATATACCCTAATCCAATCAAACGTACCTTGGTCTTGGCTGTAGTATAACAACGCCATCTTGTTCCAAACCTCCAAACTGTAAAACTTCCCGGATGTGTCGAAAACCCAACAATCCGACTCAGAAGAGCATGCTGAGTAAAGCTTAGTCCAGTATACAATGTCGCTTTCTCCGGCACTCCTCCCGATGGTCTTGTAGGCACTGCGCAAGTCCAGTCAAGTCTGGTCGGCGCAAGTTCATATTAATAGAGTATCAACGGTTTACTTACGTTCCGTGAATGGCAGCGTTCGTATAACAGTTGAAAGCAGTAAAGATTACTGCGGAAAGCCGCGATGGCAGGGTCAGTAACGTACCACGATAAGGGAGGCCAACACGGTAACACCACATGGAGCAAGAAAAAGACGCTACAGGAATGCCAGACATTTCAGATAGGCTTACGGTCCGTTGATAGGGCGACTCCCACGAATGAAGCCCTGGCCACACGTAGAGAGTTGAGATAGGAAGCAAGCATAACGTTGGAAGAAATAGATTGCATTGTCAAGAAGTAACACACTTACAGAAGGAGAAAAGGTATGAAGGCCGCCCGCATTTCTCCGGCCTCAAGCTCGCACCTACAGGCCTCACGCCCTAGGCTAACTGTTGTATATCCTTGGTGGTATTCATAAATGCCCAATAAACGCGCTTACACGCACGTCGCCGCCGCTGCTTATATTCAGCTGCATAAGGGCCTTATGATTCCTGATAAGCCTTGTAGGTTATAGCTCGTTAGTGAGCCAGGCACTTCTAGTACAACAAATGGACTGCTCTATATGTATTTAATGTTTGATTACTGGCGACCAGTCGCTGAATGGTTACTAGCGCTCGCTGTCCAAAATGCATTTAGCTTAAATAAACCTTGAATCTGGAAATGCCAAGGCTTAACACGATTTTACGCCACTTTAGCGCTACGATTTAGTACTTCATTTGCTTACCGCGGGTGGGGTCGCGGGCATAGGGAAACTGCCCGTGAATGTAGGTCGTATACAGAATGAGAAGTATACTGTCAAAGCTTCCTGATTTCGCGTAACGTCATACGGGTGCAGTTTACAACATGCGCCAACGGTCAGCCAGACGTGTTGGACGTAAGGACGGATTCGTGTTCCTTTACGCTTCTTTAAAGGGATTACCATTTTACAAGTCCTGAAGCGGTGCTGGGTGGCTTGAGGCTTGGGGGCTTGGCTCCAGGGAAACCAAAATGGGAACGGGAAGGCCCCATCTGGCTTGCGGAAACTGGGAGTGTGTCGTACAGGCTGCCCCATGTGATTTTCGGGTACAGCGCCCCTACCCCCGTCGGGAGTCTGAGGTCGTACAAGGCCTCCAGGGCGCGTGCTGCGCTTCCATTCTCTATCTTTTAACTCAAATAAGTTATTGGTATCACCCTTTTACTCTGGGAATTCCAATATTCATTTAAATGTAAGCGTAATGGACTTCTGTGCAATGCTGTGTCATCCTACAGAAAATTGCTAGCAAGCTTAATATGTTTATCTTCTTTAGTCCTAATATGATAACACTATTTATGGCTTGTGCCACAGGCGGTAAAGTCTTGTTGGTAGTGCGAATATGAAGGGCGATGGCAGCAGTGGATGCGACGGCTCTTCGGCAGCAGCAGCCACAGGACCTGAGTCGCCCAAGGTATGTTTCGTGCCACGTTGTCCTGAAGTTAATAGATAGTATTAAGCTGTTAAGGGCTTTGCGATGCTTTGTATACTTGCTGTTTCACATCTGTGCATCTGTGCACACTAGCAATATGTGCTGACCTCTTCTGCTTGCCACGTGTGTCCATAGGCAAACGATCCTCCCTTTCCCTTCTCCTTCCTTGCCGGTACTAGGACTAACGCGTCTGCAGGTATTTAGATGCCCAACACCACCGTCAGTCCCGTCCTGCCTATCACTAGAATCCCCTTGATGCCTCCGCTTGACACCAATTGCAGCGTTCCTTCTATACACGCGTTTAGCATGGGTACGTCGTTCGTTACTTGCACCTTGCGTGCGTACCGCGTCAAGCTGGAACAAGCTCCTCATGCATATTTACATCTGTAACACCCTGCTGCTGTGCTGTGTCTTGCGCTGCATTAGCCCCTGCTGTGCCCGCTCCCTGACCACTTGGCCCCTCAGCTGCTGCATCAGAGCGGGCTTCACCTCCTGCAGCAGCAGCGCTGCGCTGGGTAACCCAAGCTGCCCACGCAGACATAGTTTCAGCAACTGCCTTTACATCGTCAGCTGATAGGTTGCTAGCCCCCGATAGTGCTGCGTGGATGGTCACGAGCAGCGTCGAAACGATACCAGCAAAAGCCCGCACCTCACCCCTACCGACTGATGGCTGGTATAAAAGGGCCCAACAGCCTTGATTTTGGCTGGGAAAACGGCTGTGCAGCAGCTGCACCAAATTGTAACTATTGCCAAACAGGCTGTTGGATACGCGTGATGCACCTCAACTTCATCCAGCCCCAGCATGTGTACTCCAGGTCCGGCGTATCCGTCTTGTGGTGGTGCTGCTGCAGGCGACGCGACAGCATCAAAGGCGGCGTCTGGCACGGTTGTTGCAGCCGCCAAGGGTGACGGCTGCCCGAGGACACCTGCATCCGCACGGTTGGCAGCAGTGCATGGACGACGGGTATAAACTCTCAGTTTAGCTTGGGTGCGGGGTGTGTACTCGCAGGCTGTATGGCATCGTAAAGGGGGCGGTACATTGATTGCATAGGACCAATATGCGCAGGCAGGATTTGCAACCTGGTCCTCACCAGTTATTGGCACCCCCCGCGCTTGACCGGACGCCGTCGCCGCACAGGGTGTTGGTTGAGTTGTCATGCTGGTCGACGCTCCTGAAGCGTCCGAACCAGCTGCACGGGCGCCTGTCAATGTACGGCCCAGACTCAGTTGGACGTACGTAGAATGACGGAGGGGCGTTCACGTGGAGGTACATGTCACGTGTTCTATACGGGGCCACCTGGTGGACATGCAGGCACGAGTCCCCTTGCTGCCTGAGAACACCGCGCTTCAGACAGACGGAGAGGCCCCTTACCTGCTGCATGCACGCCTCCCACGGCCGCTTCCACCTCATCCTGTTGCTGCCGCACCCGAGCGTTGCCGCCACGATCTCCCTCAAACGCAGCACGCATGACCGCTGCCACGTCCGGATCAGCTGTAGCCACCGCGTGAGTGACTAACGGCTCCGGCACCATCGGCTCCGCGCCCAGAGAGCGATACTGCTGAAGTGCGGCGTGATCTATCTGGGCCATTGGGTTCACGTGGACGGCCCACTCCGCCCATGCAGCGATAGCCAGGCCCCGCATCTTCAGGCACGGCGCCTGTCGCACCTTGGCCTCCAGGTCGGCACGATCCTTCACGGCGTCAATGAGTACGACCTGGACGAAGGATGGCAAATCCTGGGGAGCGTACGGCACAACACGCTGCAGCTCCTCGGGCACGTCGTTTGGGAAGGCGAGCGTATGCCTGCGCAAGGCCGTTGGCAAGGTATCCACTGCGCGCCAGCTTGGCGTACCCGCCTGCCGTACAACAAACAGGCGCATGTGAGGGCGCGCGAGGCCCACCACCAAGCTCTCCAAATGCGTTAGCGGCACGAGCGGGTGACCGTGTTGGTTTACAGGGGGCACGTCGCCAGGATCCAACCGAGCCAGCACCCCATCCGGAATGCGCCCACCTGGTGAGAGGCAGCAACAGGGCCGTTCAACTTCAATACAGACCATGCAGATTTACGGAGGTATATCGCCAGGGCTCAGTCAATAAGGTGCTTCGTCTGTAATGAGGACAAGCAGCACCATGCATCTGCATGGTTTACAGCAAGATAGCGGTGTCTACGACCTTCCCAAGCGGACGCCTCCCATGTCATCATAGCTGCGTTCGCCACCCAACGTACCCTGCAAGGCCTGCATGCAATCCGAGCAGACCATAAATCGCTCCACGCCGTCTGCAGAAACGTCCATGGTGCAGTTAGGCAGTTGCGCCTCCGCGCGCATGCAGTATGGCACCTCCACTGCTGCGGAATCGCTGTCACACGGCCGTACCCCCACCCGTGGCGGATACGTCGGGGCACAGCGCGTGTCACAGCGCTGTCGCCGTGACGGCCGATCATCGGTAGAGCCAGCAAGGTCGCTGCTGTCCTGGTCACTGTCTTCGCTGGCTGACACACCAACCACGCCATTGTTGCTCGACCGACCACCACAGGCCTTGTACCCACGCGGTGGTACCGGGTCCGGTGGGGGTCTACAGCTTGTCTATCGGCACGCCGCCAATGCAGGACATGTGCGCAGCGGGGCACAGCTGCCGTCCGCCTCATGTCGGCACGCAGCAGCTCAACGCCAGGTATCTCGCTGAACTGCAGCGCCCGAACCTCTGTAGCGGACTTGCACTCGCTGCAGACTGCACATACCCGCGACGGCATGTTATCGCGAACGAACTCAGCGAGGCCTGTGGCCAACGTAATTTGCTCCGAGAACGGTATCTGGGGAGGCGGTTCATCGGCTTGCAAGTCCTGCACGCGATCTGGCCAACCGTCAGTATCTGTCTCCAAAAAGGTCGGCAGCTCAGGGGCCGTGGGATGGTCACGACGGAAGAGCGGCAAATGAAGGCTATCCGAGAGGGATCCCAGATAGGAGTCGTGCGATGACACAGCAGCCTCTCGGTGCCGCCGGCGCCAACGGGACTGCCTAGCCGCTGCCAGCGTTAGCCTCCGCTGAGACCCACTCATCGGATTTCCCGCCGCTGTCGCCGGCGTGGCTGCTGCCGCCGCTGCCGCCCCCGGCCCCCCCGTTGTTGGCGCTAGTGCTACCACCGCCGCAGCTGCCGCCGTCGTGCTGCTGAACGCTCCCGGCCCCAAGCCCCATCCTACCACCGCTGGCGTTACAGCGGCAGCACCCGCTGTTCCGTCCAAATTGGCAAAGCCCAGCGGCGCGCCAGGCGTCAAAGGCGGCGCTGCCGCCGCCGCTGCCCCGCCCATGATCCCGCCTGCAACACCCGAACGGCCTGAATCCAGCGACGGGGCTGCAGCAGTACGGGTCGCTATTACCGCAGGTGCTATAGCCGCGACGGTTGCGCTGCCCAACAGCTCACCCTGTGACGGCCGGGTTACTGGCGCTGCCTCGCCCAACAGCCCGCCCCCTGGCGCCGCAGGCGCGGCTGTCACCGCTGCTGCCGCCATAGCTTCCGTGACCGCTGCCCCGCCAGGGAGATCCCAGCCCGGCGAAGGGTCAGGCCACAAGGACGCTGGATGGAGCTGCCGTCGCGTCGTGTGTCGGGCTTGCTCAGGGGTCCCCATGGCGGCACCTTGCGCGTCCGCCTCTGCTGCGGCTGCAACTGCCTGTTGCCGAGACATCACGGCCCTTAGAGGCCGCCTCCCAACCTGCTCAGAGGCCCCCATCGCCGGGCCACCACGGAACTGGCGTTGATGCTGGGCAGCAGCGCTAGGGCGCTGTCCCCCCTGCTGTGCTTGCTCGTGCTGCAGGCGAGCTATAGTCTATTGCAGTGCAACAGCAAGAACATCCGCCCGCATGAGCTCCTGTTGCCTCACCACATCTGATCCCACACGTTGAGCTGCCACCGTACAGTAGCGAGTACGCTGGCAGGAAGGCGACCAGCGGCATAAGCATACCGAGCACATAATGTTGCAACAACATACTCGCTGTCACCCAAGCTTCGTACTCGTCCCAGCAGGTCGTGTTCAACTATGTACTCCCCCAGCTCCAGCACGTAAGTAGCCACTTCGAGCACAGTGTGTCCGAGTCCCAGGCGGCCGGCAACTCGCTGCACAAACTCCGACAGCAGCTGGGGAAAGCACAGGACCTCGTAAAGTGAGCCTTGATGCCCTAGCAGCAGCACACCGGCCGCCGCTTTAAACCACGGCCACACGCGGAGCCTGCGCAGGCCGCGCCAATCAAGCACGATGCCAAGCGGGCCACCTTTGTCTGTAACACGCAAAAGGAACGGTGGTTACAGTGGCAGAAACCTGCACTGGACAGGCTCGCCCCACGCACCTGGTTCACTCCTTTTCATGGCAATCGCCTTTGGAAGCTATGCGGAAGGAAGAAGGGCGATTCTTCAGGTTAAGCGGTGTGTACGATCTACTACAGCGCCAACAAAGCAGCGCGGAGCTGAGTTTGGCAAGAAACTGGGCGATACTCCATTTCTCGTCACCTACATGTCTGAATCTGAATCTATTGGTTAAGATTAAGGTATGCGGTGCGTAATCTGTAATGTGCGGTGTAGTCCGGCGATGGGGCGATCGTTGAGCCACAAAGCGTTTTTTGTTTGCTGACAAGCCGACGACGAACGACCGCCGGCGTAACAAGGTACGTACGCTGGAGTTCGCTTCCGTTTTTGTCTTGTTTTGTCTCTCTTCCCACTTCACTCTTAACCCTTCTATCCTGTAGCGACGTGCTGCAGCGACGCGATGCGCGGAAGCGAACTTAAAATATTAGAACGACCCGCGGGACTGCGGGCGGGACGAGCACGAATGTCTCCTTCCCTGGAGCGTTACGCGGAATGCCTATGCTTCCCTTCGCTTCGCTCCTTCGAAACCGTATACTACGTATACATACTGTTTCTTCGTTTCGATCTACGGGGACTGGACAACTAAAGCAACGCGCAACTACAATATTACCCGCAGCAACAACATACCTGCTCAGGATCCACTCTTTCAAACTGAAAATGGGATCTAACCCATATAATGCAAACTACCGTACACTCGTAGCGAGGGTCACCACATAAGGCCCCCATTCATTCGGGCTTCATACCCGGTACATACCCTTGCCGCGTCACTTACCGCTCTCTCTTCTCCCTCCTCCTATGTTTGGACTCTCTTATAAACAACCTGCGCAATCAACTTATTACCGCACCCATACAACCATGATACAACTGATTTCCGCGCTCTTATTTCCGCACGGCACTCTGCAACAATGCACTACAAGCATAGGATCCTCATCTAGCCAACCGCCTCCCATGCCCCTCCTGCACGCCATATATCCAGCAACGAAGCGAGAGGTAGAACCCCTCCAAAGCCCTGTGTAGCTGTGTCATATTTGCCACAACACACGCTGAGCGCTCATCCCCTACCCAGCCGCACGGTGCATCCTAATCTCCCTCCTGGCTAACAACCGCACCATGTCTTCTCAACTTCTCATCTACTGGTACATGCATGCATGCCCCCCTGCTGCAACTGCGACATCTGCATGACCTCGCCCCAAGCCCTCCTGCCGACCAAAGCACAACATGCAAAGCCACTGCTGCAACATCTTGTCCAACGCAATGCGAGCGTCCATAACCAAACCCGCTTCTATGCTTCCTCTTCCAACCGAAACTCTCGCCATGGTTCCCATCGTTCCCATCGTTCACACGGCGTGGTGCTGCTGCATGCCCCTGCTTTCCCAACCGCACGACGACCAACAAGCACACTTGCTTGCTATCCAAGAATCCAACACGCTATCCACAAGCGATACGGTAGTCCTTTTAGCACACTTGCCTGCTATCCAACACGCCATCCGCGAGAGTCCTGTTAGCACCGCACACGCCTCGCTTCGTTCCCGGTCGCCCAACAACGCCGACAACGCCACAAGAGCAACAGCAGCATGTACGCGAATCCAAAGGTGTCAAAGGATTCCAACGAGGAATCCTACGTCCCCTCAAACGCCTTAAGGCCAAGCCTCGCACCGACCTACCCAACTGCCCTAAGACCGTCCTCGGGAGCCATGCGCTCCGTACTCAACGTGCGTGGCTATTGGAATAAAGGGTTATTCCCGCCCTAGCACGCACCACACACCACATGATACCCCGGAATCCTACCACATCCTGCCTTCAAGAAGTAATACGTCAACAACATCATCAACAACAACAATAAGCTTGCTTTCAAGCTTTGCAATGCAGCGCTGCGGTACAGCGAACAAGCCGCTCCTTCCTCTCCTCTTCATCCTCCTCATCCGCATCCTCATCCTCATCATCCTAGTCAGCTCCAATATCGCACCCCACTCATCAGATACTGAAGTCCAGCACGCACTCGCTGCGCTGCTCCGCCGCCGCCATCACCGTCGCCACCATGCCCGTACGCGGTCCCGTACCTTCCGTACCTTGATCCCGCCCGGTATGGCTAATGTACGACAGCCGCACGGCACCGCTCGTATCCATCGTGTACCGCCATTCCCAAGACGGTTGGTAACCGCCGCCGCTGCCGCCGCCGCCGGCGGCGACCGCCGCTAGCGGCGTCAGCGGCGTAAGTGTTGTACGGAAGGAGGGCCCGTCGGCGTCGGCGCTGGCGGCGGCGGTGACGGAGAGTCGGTAGCCGTCAGGGACGATAAAGGCCTGGTCTCCAGGGATGGTGACGTCTTGGGCCTCAAACTCGGATTGACCCAGCAGCACGATCTTGCAGGTTTCGTGGCGGGATACCTGGCGGTGGCGGTGGTAGCGGTGGTGGTCGCGAGGGAGTGGTCGATAGTGGGTGAGCAGCAAGCCAGGGTACGTCAGGAGGAGTCAGGAGGGGGGTGGGCAAACGTGACCATGTAAAGCAGCGACAACAGAAGCCCTGACACGTGTTGTGCGCGCGAAGGGCCCTTCTGACTTCTGCCAGGAAGAAAGTAACGGCAGCGAGCTCACCTGGTGCTTCCAGTACACGTTGTCCGGCGCCTGCCAGTTGATGCCCGCGTTGCACACTCGCACGTTCACCAGGGACACCCGACCGCAGCGCCGCCCGTAACGCAGAATGGCATCCCCGCTGCTGCCGCCGCCGCCAGCACGACCCTCCTCGGCGATATGGCCGTTGTTGCCGTTGCCGTTGGAGTTGCCGTTGCTATAGCCACTACCGGCAGCACTGCCGTTGCTGGCAGCAGCAGCGGCGGCAGAAGCTTCGTTGGGGTGCGAGTGCACACCGTTTCCGTTAGCGCCATTGCCATTAGTGCCGTTGCCGTTACCGTTAGTGCAGGACGGTGTGAAGGAGAATGACGGTGACGTGGGTGACGACGACGATAATGATGTGTACGGCAGCGATGGGTTGTTGTTGCTGTTGTACGACGAGGGGCTGTTGTCGTACGCCAGCTGCAGCGCTGCGGCCGCATCCGTGGCGCTGGGCTGTCCCTCGAGCTCCGTGTGGCCCATCACGTTCTCCGCGTACACCTGCGTGTGGGTGTGGGGCCCGTGGGTGCATGCATGCATGCATGGGATGGCATGCATGCAATCTAAATGCAGTCTGGTCCTGCTCCTTCCCTCCTCTCCGGCCCTCCTGTCAGCCCGCTCCCTCGCACCTGCAGGCTGCCCTCCAGCCTCAGCCCCCTCACTCGCGCCTCCGCCACCTCCAACACCAGCTCGCTGCCCGCCGCCAGGCAGCCGCCACTCAGCTTCTGAGCGATGACGTCCCACAGCGGTCCCAGCGCGGGGTGGAACAGGAAGATGAAGCCGGGGCCCTGGGGGGGAGAGGGGGGCGCGGTGGAGATGGGGACACATGCTGGTAAGCGGAGGAAGCATTGAAGGCAGAGGATGGCAGAAGATGGGAAGGGCGGTCGGCTGCGGTGTTCTTTGTAACACCCTCTCCCTCACCCTCTCCAGAGCAACCTACAATGAAAAAATATAAAACGACCCTCCGGGTGAAAAGCTACAAAAAAATGTAATAAGAAATAATTTTCTTCGCCGAAGGCGACGATAAGAATAGGTACTGCTCGCGACGGACCGGCTCCGCACACCCCCCTTCCTCCTCCTCCTCCTCCTCCTTCCCTTCCTTCACTCCCATGTCGCCTCCTCCCCACCCCCACCCAGCACCCACAGCACCCCCTCTCCCTCACCCGCTCCAGGTACTGCTCCGGGCTGCCCGGCTCCGGCACATCCGCCAGCCCGCAGCGCTGCAGCAGCTGCCAGGCGTTGCGCGTGAGGTCGTAGAAGGAGCCGTCGGGGGTTTGGGCGATGCGGGAGGAACCGGGGGCGCGGCGCTTCTTGGCGGAAGACGTCACCTTGCGGCGCAAGTTGGAGACCAAGAAGGTGGAGAGCCTGGGGAAGGGGGGGGGGTGGCGGGGAGGGAGCGGGTTGGGGGGACGCGAGGTGGCAGGGGCAGGTGACGGGGGTTTGAGCGGGCCGCTATGATGGTCAGAACGTCAGATGCATGCGTAGGTTGGCCGCGGAGTTCTGGCGGGGAGTTATGCGAGCGCAAAGTTGTGTGTCATACAGGGACCAGCTAGCGGCGAGGCGGGGAAGCACCTTCGCCCTCTCGCCCCTCTCTTTTTCCAGCCCAGATCCCGACGACCGCGCTCCCCATCATCCCCATCCCCGCCCATCCGCCCCAACACAATGGGTATCCGCCCCCATCTCCTGCAACCCATCCTCCCCCTCCCTCACTGCTGCGAGGCCGCCAGCTGCTGCGGGTCCATGGGTCGCTCGAACCGATCCGTCAGGAAGTCCGCTAGGTTCTGCATCGTACTCTCCATGCGCCCCGCAGCAACCTGTCGTACGGCAGCAGCAGTAGCAGTAGCAGCAGAGGAGCTGCTACTGCCACTGCTAATGCTGCTGCCAGTGCCGCTGGTAATGCTGCTACTGCCGCCGCTATCAGTGCTGGTCATACTACTGCCGATGTCGCTGCTGCCATTGCTGCTACTGCCGTCGCCGTTAGCTCCGGTGTACGACAGCAGGGGGTCGGTGTACGACACTTTTTTGTTGAGATTGAAGATGAGTCCGGGTAGCAGCTGGGCGCCGTCGCCGCGGGAGATGGCCTGGGTTGTTTGTTGGAGGGTTGGTTTGGGAGAAGGGAGCGCAGGGGGGTAGACCTAGAAGGATAGGGCGTACGGTCTGAGGGTTATGGACGCGTGAAAAGACGCCTTTCCTGTGCAGCAGCAGCAGCAGCTTCCGCAACCCACCAGGACCATCAGGGCTCCCCTACTACCGGTATCCCTCTCCCCTCTTCCCTTCCCCCCCTCCCGTTTTCCCTCCCCCCTTCCTCCCCTTCCTACCTGCTCCACAATCTTCCTTGCGCCCATAAGGCCCACAAACAACACATTGGTGTTTGCGGGAAACACAGATGTGGTTCCGGAGCTGCCGGGAACCGCCTCGTCACTCAAACCTAGGCGCTCGAATTCCGTATACTCCACATTTGTAATGCCGTACTCGTACACCCAACGACCCCCGCTCTCATTGCTGCTGCTGCTGCTGTTGCTGCTGCTACCGCCTGCGCTTCCGCCACTGCTGTTGTTGTTGCTGTTATTGTTGCGGGCAGTTGCAGTTGCAGTTGCAGCTGCTGCACCCTCCGCACCATGCGGAACCCACCGCCGCCGTTCCTGCAGCACATTCATGCCCTCCGCCGCTCCCACCGCTCGCTCACAACTCATAAACCCAAACGCCCCCGCGCCGCCACCCCGACGGGCAAACCCCGCCCCCGCCAGCGCGAGCAGCGTGGTGTCCGTACCCGCCATGGGGTTTGAGATCTGCCGTACAATGGCGGCTCGCCTGCCGTGCTGCCGTACAAGCCAATTGAACACGCCCTCGTCCCACATGAGTTTCCAAATGGCTCCGTGGCCCCCCGGCTTCATCATGGGGGCGAGCGGGCGACTGAGTAGCCACCTGGCGGAGGGGGGAGGGGAAAAAAGGAAAAGAAGGAGGAGGTAGGGGGAGGTTGGGGTCCAGATAAAAAAAGGGGCGTGACGAGAGAGGGAGGGGGGAAGACGAGGAGGCGGAGGTAAGGGTTCGGGAGCAGCAGGACGCCGCTAGCAGCAGCTGCAGCAGCAACCACCTGTTCCGTCCTTACCAACCGGGCTGAGGAGAGCCGCACCAGAGCTGCACCAACGTCGCCCTCCAACGGCATTTCTCCAGGCACAGGACACCGGCACAGGCAGCCAGGAGCCGACCCTCATCTCCGATTTTTAAACCGATCTCAAACCCCCACCCCATGGCCCCGCCTCCCAACCCCCTCACCGTCCATCCTCCACCCCCATCACCGGCACCATGGGCTGCCGGAACAGCCGGAAGCCACCCCGCCCGCGGCCCGCCCAGCGCAGGCGGCCGCCCAGCAGCTCCGAAACCCGCTCGTGGTTTCCCTTGGCGTCGCTGGTCATGATGGCCACGGGGGTGGTCACCTGGCGACCCGTGAGCTGGAAGTACAGGTACTCGCGGGCCTAGGGGGGGGGGTGAGGAGGGGGGAGCGGCAGGGGCAGGGGTTGGGAGAGGGAGGGAAGAGGGAGCAAAGGGGAGATGGGAAGACACTCGCTTGGGTCCCTGGGTTCGGCCTGGAGGGGCATCAACGGGGCAGCAGCACCAGATGGGTGGGTCGAAGTTATAAGTTAGGTGAAATCGGTGAAATCGGTGAACAAGTGGACAGCCTGGATGCTGCTCCATGCGGGAGGTCTGGAGGTCTCTCCCTGTTTTGAACCCCCAACCATCACCTCCCTACTCTCCTCCCCCCCCCTCCCCCCGGCCCCCACCTGCAGGTCCCGCAGCAGTACCTCCAGCAGGCTGCGACCCGCGTACGGCAGCATGGCAGCGGGCAGGCTGGCGCCGCTGGCCTCGTCCACCAGACCCAGCCGGTCACCCGCGCCGCCAACCTGGGAGGGGGGGGTGAGGGGTGAGGGATAAGGGGAGAGATGAGGGGAGGGAAAAGGAGAATACCCAATGTGTTGAGCGGGGGGGGAGGGATGAGGGGACGAGGACGGAGTTATCAACGCTGGAGAGGGGCTACCGGGGTTACCGGAGCAGTAGTAGCATGTGTTGAAGGGGCTGGGGCCGCGCGTCGTGTTGCATGGATGAAAAAGTACCGGTACTCTTCGCATGTGCGGAGCGAGAACTGCATACTGTAGACCACCCAGACCAACCCAACCCAGCCCCCAACCCAGCCCCCAGCCCCCAACCCAGCCCCCAGCCCCCAACCCAGCCCTCCCCCCCGCCCCCCACCCTCCTACCGGGTATATCTCCGCGGTGAAGGGCAGCCCCGCTAGCCCCTGAGCGGCCGCCGCCACTCCCACACCCGCACCCGCCTCGCCCGCTAGGTCCAGACCGCCGCGGGGGACGTGGAAGGTGGCGGAGGGGGAGGAGGCGGAGGCGGGGGAGGTAGGGGAGGCATCAGCCGTTGGTTGTTGTTGCTGCTGCTGGGGGTGCTGCTGCTGCTGCTCCTGCATCCGAGCAGCCTTGTCCTGGAGGTGCGTGCAGCGGCCACGGAGAGAGGGAGCGAGGGTCAACAATAAGCACAAAAGGTGGACCGGATCTTTACCGGATCCGTACCGGATCCGGATCCAAGCCCCACATGCATCCCCGGTCGGATTGCCACCACACCCGGGATGCATGTCGGCAAACCGACCCGGGATGGCCACCTTATTTGGGACTCCTCCTACGGTACCGATACCACCACCCCGTTCCCAACTACATGGCAGTGAGAACACCCCCACCCACCCACCCACCCACCCCACCTGCATGCCCGCCAGGATGATCCTAATCCAAGCCCACATGCATCCCAGGAGGGCTTGCCAGCTACATGGCATTGAGACACCCCCCCACACACACACCCCACCACCGGCCAGTTCCTACTCGCGGCCAGTTTTCTTAACACACACACACCCCACCCCCCCAACCCACCTGCATGCCCGCCAGGATGAGCTGCAGGCTCTTCAGCTGGTAGCCCAGCAGCCCGCCCACACTGTCGTAGAACTGTTCCACGCGGGCCAGGCGGGAGGCAAGGGAGGAGAGCTGGGGAGCCAGGGAGGCGGGCGGGCTGGAGGGGGCTGGGGGGGGCCCGCATGGAGGGTGCATGAAGGGCAGGGGAGGGAGGAGAGTGGGAGGGGGAGGGGGAAGGTGGGTCGACTGAGGAGCTGGGAGGGAGGCTGTGCGAGGTGGAGGTAGCGAGCGAGGTAGCGAGGTAGCGAGACATACACGGGAGAACCACAGGGTGAGGGACTGGAACGGAGGAAGGCAGGAATCGCGAGGGGCAGAGATAACTAGAGAGTTGCATTGCACCGACCCGTGGGTCACTTCGCGACCAAAAACTAGAACCTCCCCTGTTGAGGATCCATGCAAAAACCCCCTGCTCCCCTCACCTCCCAGCGGCTCCATGAGCACGTGCTGCTGCCCCATGGCTGGCAGGCACAGCAGCAGCTGCTGCTGGGAGGGGGGCAGCTGACGCAGAGCAGCGCACATGGAGGCGTGGCTGGGGGGGTGGGGATGCGGTAGCGGACAGGGGAAGACACAGACAGGCAGGCAGTCAGGCGTGGGAGGGAGGGAGGGTGGGAGGGAGTCTGGACGAGACGCCTGGGCAGTCATGAGTGGGAAGAGTGTGAGCGTAGCGGACATGGTGTGGTTGTTATCTTGTTAAGGTGAGGGTTGTGCGCTAGCACACCGGCTCCTTCCTTCCTTCCACCTCCCTACCCTGCTAGCCAATTCCCCTGCTAGCCCCTCGCTCCCCCCTGCTAGCCCCTCCCCTGCTAGCCTCTTTCCCCTGCTGGAAGGCCCCTGCTAGCCCCTCCCCCCGGCTAGCCCCTCCCCTGCTAGCCCACCTGGGGTCGGCCAGGAAGGCGGCCACACTGTCCTCGGCTTGCAGCACTCGCAGCTGGAGGCGGGGGTCGAGGGGGGGTTGGAGGCACGGGGTAGGCAGCAGGGAATGCTGGTAGTTACAGTTCGACACGAAGGGCGTGAGGGAATGCCCGGGGTTAGCCCGCTGCTGCCCCTCACCACCACCACCACCAACAACAACAACAACAACCATCAACAACAACAGAGTGTGCCGTCAACTCAACTCAGTCTACCTCAGCCCTCAGCCCCTGCTCACATCGTATTCGTGCCCTTCCCTTGCCCCTCCCCTCTCTCCCTCCCCAACCCCTGCACCCACCTTCTCCTCCGCCCCCTGCCCCGCCCCCCTCAGCCGCCCCAGCAGCCCCTGCAGCCGCTCCACCTCCCCCGATAGGAACACCGCAGGGGAGGGAACGGCTGCAGGGACGGGAACAGCAGCAGCAGCAGCAGCGGCTGTGGTAGTGGCATCAGCATCCGCAGCTCCCGCAGCACTCCCAGTAGCAGCAGTAGCAGCAGCAGCAATCTCTGCCGCCAGATCCGCGGGCAGCACATACTCATCCTCATAGGAGGCCACCGTGCCACTGTTGCTGCTGCTGTTGTTGCTGCCAGGAGAGGCGGCGGTGGGAGATGAGGGGCCCCGTGGTGATGGTGCCTGGTGTTGCTGCTGGTTGGGGGTTTGCTGGGGAGATGCTGCTGCGGCAAGTGGGGATGCCGGGGCGGTGGCAGCAGAAGCAGCAGCTGTCGCCTGCGGGGGTGGAGGCGAGCCGTTGCTGCCGCAGCTGCTGCTGCTGCTGCGAGGATGGTAGTGGCTGCCCAGACCGCTGCTGCTGCTGCTGTTGAGAGGGTAGGGAAACGAAGAGGAGGAGCTGGAGGCTGGTGGGGGAGGTGGAGGTGCAGCTGCGGTGCGTACCGCAGTCCTGCCGCTGCGGTGGGCCCCCAGCTGAAGACCCTGCCGAGGCAGCTGAGGTGGCAGCTGAGGAGGCAGTAGCAGCAGCCGGGACCGGGAAGACCGGGAGTCGCAGCAGGTGGCGCGAATCATGGCTGGGCAGGCTGTTGAGAGTGAGGGCGAGGGTGCTAGGCAGGCAGCAGATCCAGGGGTGGAGGAGAGCGGTGTGGGGGGCTTAGTCCTGAGAGGAGCAGCGACAGCCCTGCGGCCGCTGACGGTGCTGGCGCGGTGGTGCGGGAGTGAGGTTGCAGGCGCGACTGCTGCTGTGGCAGCAGCTGAAGGGATGGAGCTGCTGGTGGCGACGTAGGAGGCCATGGTAGGGAAGAAAGGTTTCGGGGCGTGAAAAACGGCTGGGCTGTGAGCCGAGCTGGGCGCTAAGGTGCTGCTGCAGCGAATAAACGGACGGGACTTGGCCTCGGACGAGCTGTGTCAGGCTGGCCCTGATAGCTAGCCAGCCAGCAGCCCCGACGTTTGAATTTGAATCAATGCGGAAGCCAGTCAAGTGTCCAGACGGGCGTCGTTGCAGGAGTTGCGGCTGCTCCGGAGGAAGGTTGGGGGGCAAGTCGAGAGCATGCAGGGGCTGGCCTGTTGGCCTGGATGACTTGGAACTGGTGACGCTGACAGTATCCAGGCAAGCGTCTGGAAGATGTGAGCCTAACAGCTAGCCGTATCGCGGCGACACTGCTGAGCGCAGGACGCAATGGTCGAGCGACAGGATTTGGCAGCAGGCATTGCACGTGGTACACAGCGGCTGGCGCCGAGGTACAGTGGCGGCTGCTGATGAACCCGAAACAATTACTAGCTTCCTCTCGCCACTGGCCCAGATGAGTCAGAGGTATGAAGAGCACTGTCCAAAGGTGATGGAACAGGCGTGAGGCGCTGGCTTAACTAAAATGGCTGTGGCGCTTAGGAAACTTGAGTTATGAAATGGTCAACATATTTTATCCCAGGCGCGAAGCATCGACCTTGTCGAGATGCGATGCGCGGATGATGCCTTGCAGGCGCGGGACAGCGATCTTCCACGATTCCAAGGCAAACAAACAATATCAGCTACTTAACATTTAACTGCATTTATATATGTTTGCTGATAATTAACTTTCCTGTGTAACCGAGGCGAAGTATTCAAACCACGCAGCAAGGGATATGCGAACTTCGCTGGGGCACGTTGAACACATTTACTAGGCGTCGGTTTAACACAACTAGTTTTGGCTTGCAACTGGAATTTCTTGTGCGGTTGTGAATTCAGATCCTTACAGTGTTCAGCTTGCAGCAAGTGGTACACAAGAAGTCCCTTGATAATGTCTGATCTAACATCTCTGCATAGTCAGGCCAAACGGTTAATATTATTATTGCGGGAAGGGCTTGAGCGCCTTGAGGCATTGGAGGTGCGCACAGGGCAACACGCATTGCATTCCATGGGTAGTCTTTTCCACCTGGGGGTATTAATAGCCCGAAAGCTAGACACAGTGCGCTTGGAGTGGCGCGGGTCTTGGAGGTCCCAATGTTGACCGCCTGTCGCAGGGTGCAGCAACACGGCAAAACCAGTCCAGCGGAGATGCAACTGCAAACCTTGCTCGTGATCTCCGGGCCAAGCTCGCAGACCTCACGGTGAGCGTCTTAGTCTTGCGACGTGTCCATGTCGGATGCCATCAGCTTCCCTGCTGCCCGCCTCCTTCGTATCAGCGGTCCGGTGTACTCTAGCGGTCCTCCCCTTTCCTGACAGTCCTTCTTATCGCTTCGAAAGGGGCGTGACCAGTGTCTGTTGCCAGAACCACTCCCTTGCCTTCAAGGCCTTCTGGAGATCACGTTCCTGCACCCCCATCGCTGCCTACAAGGGGCTCTTCCTGCCCGGATGAAACCCAGTTTCCTTCTCCCCAACCCCTCCCTTCCTGCCCGTCTCCCGCCCTTCCGGCCACCCTGTTGTACGGCAGCGCATCAGCTGCGAAATGGACTCCATCTGGCGCATGCAAGTCATCCGGGAGAACGCCAGCAAACGAGACGTCTGGAAGCGGTAAGAGAGGCGAGAGGCGCACATCGGTTGAGCACAGGTTCACACAAAGCTCTTATCCCTTCACCGCAACAAGGGGGGTTGCCGTTTCATACCGGTACCTCATGTATGAAAACGGACAACATGGTAGTGCTTTCCTCATGGTACCTCTCACCCCCTTCCCCTCTGCAGCAAGGTGGAGCAGGTGTCGGAGGAGCTCGACAGCATCCGGCGGGCGCTGGAGCGGCAGACCCACCGCGAGAGCAGGCGCGCGGCGGAGCAGCGGGACCGGGAGGAGCTGCTGGAGCGCGGGGAGGCGGGCAGGCGGGCCAAGCAGGTGGGGGAGAGGGGCTGCTGTTTGAGGGGCTTGTCCTGCGGGGGGTTCCGAGGTACAGGTAGGGTGGGGTGGGGTGCTGAGCGTGGAGGAGGAGCGGAGGCCCGTGCAAACCCCGCGCTGTTGGTATCTCTATTCACCACCACCACCACGCCCCCTGTCCGGGCGCTCCCTGTTGTTCAACACACAGGAGATGGACGAGGAGGCGCAGGTGATGGGTAGTGTGCAGCGCTCCAAGCGCTACCTGGAGGAGATGTACGAGTCGGGGACGCACCTGCTGGCGGGCATGGCGGGGAACAGGGAGCGGCTCAAGGTAAAACCAGGCGGCAGGGGTCAGGGGTGAGGGGCGGGGTGAGGAGCCGCCCCTGTGGGGGAATGATAGCACAGTGGCCTGAATCCCTTGGCCCTCCCTGCTTAACACGCGCCACCCCTGCTTCCTTCCCCCTCCCTTCCCCCTTCCCTCCCTTCCCCTCTCCTCCTCCTCCGCTTCCCGCAGGCTGCCCAGAAGAAGGCGCTAGACGTGTTAAACACGGTGGGGCTGGGCGAGTCGCTGCTGCGGCTCATTGAGCGGCGACAGCGGATGGACAAGTACACCGCGTATGGGGGCATGGTGAGGACGGGACAGGGTGTGGGGGCAGGGTGGCAAGGCTGCTGGCGCCTCTACGACATGCGCGCCCACCCCTCTTAACCCCTACCCCGCCCCACCCGCACGCGCCTCCCCCTCCTGCACCCTTCCTCCCCAGCTGGTCATCTCCTTGGTGGTGGCCGTCTGCGTCTGGGTCTTCTGGTTCTGAGACAGACCGGGACCCCAGCTGCACGCCCCAGGGCCCAGAGTGGGCGCGGCCGCTAGCTACGGCAGGGAGTGCTCTTATGTGCGCTTGCTCTCGCTCGCTCTGGCGGTCATGAGGCTAGCTGGCTGGTAGCGGTGGCCGGAGGGGCGGTGAGCTAAAAGCCGTCAGCCAGTGGGTAGGGGCATCACGACCATGCATGGGAAGCTGCATTGCTGAGGCAGTGGCGAAGAGGTGGAGCGGTTGGCGGAGGGAATTGGGATGCGCGTCTGCTGCTGCCGTTGGGCAGCGGTGCCTGTGTTTATTTTAGCCCCGGGGCAGCAACGCTTAGGGAGGGCTGTTGGGAGTGAGGAATGGAAAGGGAAGGAAAGGAAAAGGGGCGTAGCGGGGAAAGCCTCTCAGCACAGCGTGGCGAGGCGGCGGAGCAAGCGGTCACGGTAACTTGCCGCACCCTACGGGTCAAAGTCCACCGCTTTCGCCAATGATGAACGAGTGGCATCTTCTCTGCTCCGTCCGTCGGGTGTGCGTAGTGGGAGAGCGCCCTACCATACACGCACCCTTATTCAAGGGGGCGGTTCAAGGGGGCCCCAAGGCAGGGAGTGAGGAGGGGCCGCGTGCAGCTGAGGAGGGGTGCTGCTGCTGCTGCTGCTTTCTTTTGGGAGAGGAGCTTCCCGGGGGAGCAACTGCAGGTGGGTTTCTGGTACCTGAGTTGCGAACTGCAAGACGAGCAAGGCGTTTTTATGAGGCGGTTGCCCCTCCTGTCTGCCAAGACAGCGGGCGCTGTGTCAATCATACAGCTGATCTCTTTCCTTACCCTTGCTCCCCTGCCGCCGTACCTGCTCCGCAGCCCTCGGACTAGTGCTCACGTCACACAAGCCGGCTGCATGTCATGCAGTTGACAGCTTTCCTTACACTTGTTCCCCTGCCACCGGCTGCAGGCCTCTGCAAGAGCAGTTCGGCGCTCGCCCGCGCTTCACCGAGGGCTGTGTATTCAGTCAACTGTTTAGACTCGGCCCCTCGCCCAGAAGATGGCTGGAGGGCTTTGGGCTGACGGCAATGGTCTGCATACATGGCATCGCAGCAGCCTTTGCGTTGACACGACGGCGATGGACACAGCATGCATGGGCGTTAGCGATGAGGGCGACGACGGCGATGAGGGCGACGATGGGGCTGCGCATCTGGGTCTGGCATGCGTGGGCGAGGGAGAGAGCAGCCCTTGGGGCCAGCTGTGAAGAGGGGTGCCTGTGTGCCGTACTTTGGGCTGCTGCCGGCCTGCCGTCCAGACAGCTGCCAGGGGTGCCGCATCACAGCGTATTGTAATATGATTCTCACGCTCTAGTAGCGGGCATCACCTCTTTCTCAGCTTTCCTGCAGTGCTTGGGGGGGATAAGCAAGACGATATGTCGGCTGGGTTTCCTTGGCGAGGCATTGCGTAACGCGGCCATGCAGGGTTGGGGAAGCCTTTGACGCAGCGTGGCTGTGGGCTTCAGCCAAGCAATCCACCCCACAGAGCCCATGCCTGTGTTTTCGGCGTGCACGGATCAACCATCAGTAACCTTACAGGGGGGCATTCGCAACAACAGATCAACAGCAAAATCGCACGCTGTCAGTCCGCGTGAAGCGATTGAGGCAAGCAATCAGCGGATGGGTGCAACAACCTTACACCGGTATTGTTGACCCAGGGGGCGCTGAGGCAGTCCACCCGAAGAAGCTTCGATCTTTCCAACCCTGTGCGCAATTTTACACGCACAATTTTACATGCACTAGAGATGCTCGAAGCACTGTGACGATGCCGTAAATGAATACTGGTACATGCATGTGTCGTGCCGTTAAATTAACTGCAGCAACTCCTATACTTCCTAGGATAAAGACATGCAACTATAGTCAGTTTCTCCTAGCTTTACATTGGAGACACGGAGTTGGGAGCTTTGGATATGACGTCGACCTTTTGCGTCAACTTTATCCATACCAGCGCACTAGTGCAGCAGTCCGTCTTTCTGCGATTCTATATCAGTAGTTATTAATGATTGGCAAAGCCTAGCGGCAGCGGGTGTTGCTGTCGGCCTTCTTGCTGTGTAAACCCTATCGGCAATACGTCTCTTGAAAAGGGTGCGTCTTAGCACACATGTAATGCGACAGAACTGCGTTTGCGACCAGGTGGATGATTCGCTATCCAGGCCTGCAGGCCTGCTCGAAAGTGTCTCGGCCTGCTCCGCGGCTTTTGAATTCCCTCTGCGCGGCAGGCGTTATGCTTATAGCCACAAGCTTATTGCTATTTCGTGTCATTGCCCAATAGGTTGGACTTATATCGGAGCGCCTGAATGGCATTTCTCCCGCGTTCTCCTGGGCTGAGCCAGGCCACTGTCGGCGACATCGGGCGCTGTGGACAGCCATACAACTACGTACCCAGCATGCTTTCAGCAGAGGAGTCGGCAGCGCAGGCCGGATCCCGCCTGCTGACCGCAGCTGCATCTGGCGATGTCGCGCAAGCAGCACGCTGCCTAGCGGACGGTGCAGATCGCGACTACCAGGACCCCTCAAGTGGCGAAACGGCTTTACACCGAGCGGCACAGCATGGCCACGTCCCGGTCATGGAGCTCATCCTAACTGCTGGTGCCGATGCTAACCATACCGACTATGCGCAGCGAACTCCCCTTTACGTGGCAGCCAACGCGGGCTGCTTGCCGGCCGTGAGAACCCTTCTCGACCGCAGTGCCGAGCTCTTTCCCGACCGTCCTCTTGCGGATGCTTGCGGCAGCTCATCATCTCAGCCATTGCACCCGCAGTCGGGACAAAGCCGTGGACCCGCTAGCACTGACAACGACGACGCACTCTTCCTCTCCCTGCGCTCCACCTGCCCTCTCGCTGCAGCCTCAGCCGCCGCCCGCTGGCCCATCGTCGCTGCCCTCCTCACTCGCCTGCCTCCCCACTACCAATACCTCCCCTCCGCCCTCCGCTCCCTCCGCTTCCTAGTCTGGGCCCTCGCCTCCCACAAAGCCTTTCCTCGCGAGGTCATCTCCCGCCTGCCACGCCGCCTGCCGCGCTGCGTGGTGGATGCAGTACGCCCCGCCCACCTCGCCTCCACGCCCCTCGTCCTAGCTTCCGGCAACGACCAGCAACAGCTCATGCAGTGGCTGCTCCAACAAGGCGCGGATCCAGAACTAGGCGCACCGCTGCTGCTTTGCGCGGGGCGCTTCTGCCATGGCTCTCGCACCTGCTGTGTAAACACGCTGCTGAGGCGCGGCGCGCGCCCGAATGTTGCCTGGGCGGATTCTCCCGGAGATTCACCGCTTCAGCTGGCGGCTGCCGGGGATTGCTTCACACACGTTCATTGCCTGGTAGCGTACGGCGCTGACGTGGACGAGGAGGCGGCGCGTGTACGGCAGGTGCTGTACACGCCGCCTGAATGGGAGGCGCATTTGGACGAGCTAAAGGCAGCGTACGACAGGGACCGGGCGGCGGCAGCTGCGGCAGTGGGAGGGACTGGGGCTGGGATTGGGGGTGTGGAAGAAGAGGCGGTTTGGTGTCCTTGCGGGCAGCAGCATGCACGGTGGCCGGGGCTGTGGCCGCTAGAAGGGGAGGAGGGCGAGCAGCAGCAAGAGGGGGAGGTGGAAAAAGAAGAAGAAGGGGAGGGCGCAGCTGCAGCAGCGGTAGCGGCGGCGGAGGGCGCAGGAGGCAACAGCTGCTTCAACCAGGCTCCGGCGGATGATGCTTGGTACCGGCACCACCGGCAGCAGATGGAGCAGCTGCAGGTGAGGGGGACAAGGAAGGGAGGGCTCATGTCGGCATCAGTGGCGCCTTAGCGCGCTCTATGGCTTCCCACTGGAGATTGCTGAAGATACTCTGACACCTTGGTGGCGTGTAGGCCATTCCATGATTTCCATCCCGCTGCATCCTGATTGCCCCCGCTGTAGGACGGAAAGGAGTTAGCGGAGTGCCGCAGGGCAGTTGACGAGCTCTGGCGATACGGCTGCTCGGCAGTGGTCTCGGAGCTCGCCGCCGGCAGCGGCGGCAGCGCCGTACCGCCCTCAGTTCCGCCGTACGGCAGCCCCATGCCGTTCCGCGTCCTGGCGGCCATGCAGGACGTGGCTGGCGGCTGGCTGGCGGCGGCGGCTCGTTGCCGTCAGCAGCGGCTGCTCCGTTTGGAGTTGTACGACAAGGCCGTGACGGCTGGCAGACGGCTGCTGGAACGCAAGCGTACGGCAGCGCTGGCGGCTCTAAGCGGTACGTACGGCATGCAACAGACAGCAACCGCCGCCGCCGCCGCCGCTGCGGCTGCCGCTTCCCTAGCGACTAGGGCTGCTGCTGCCGGCGTAACGTCCCGATCAACGGAGGACGAGGGGCCGCAAGCACAGGAAGCTGTTATGTGCGACCGAGGGCTGACGACGGAGCTTCGAATGGAGATCCTGGTCATGGCGGGCCTTGCGCCGCCGGGCGTGGAGGCGAGGCGTACGCTGGCGGCGCCGACCCGTGGGTCGTGCGGCTGTGGGGGTTGCAGTCGGTAGGTTTTGGGTAGGGTGCACAGCCGAGCTGCTGTGCTGGTTGCTTTGAAAGGAGCACCTGCTCCTCATTAAGCTGTTCAGAGGTGGTGTGTAGGTGGGGCGCTGTGCGGGTTGGGCTGGGTTGAGGAGTGGTATTGTTGCTGTGGAGGTCGTACGTCGGTGTTGTGTTGTTGGTTGTTTTACAGAAGAGGATAATGTTGTTTTGTGCACTCGTTTTGGTTGTACCGTTTTTCTAGGAAGCTAAAAGGAGGTTTGCCATCCTACAAGGCCACCAGCGGCGGCAGCAGGGCACAGCGTACACGGCCCGTGCCTGCGAATTGCACGTTCTGTCGTATGTTTCACTAGTGCTCATTTCGTATTAAGACTTCTTCGTAGCAGTCAAAATGGGTACCGATTTGGTTTTAAAGAGGTTTTAAAGTCAGAGAGAGAGGCGGCAGTCGTCGGAAAGATACTGGAAAGAAGTGCGCTCGCCAGAGCAGGCAACCATACATAGCGGCGTCGGCCGTATCATACAAAGATGGGCGAGGGCGCTCCCCAGGGTCTGCTGGGCGCTAGGGCCTTCTGCAGTTTCAAGTAGCATACTGCGCATGTACATTATAGGAGGGGCGAGGAGGGAGGTGTACCGGTAAATGCGGCGCCAATGCGGTTTGGTAAAAGGCCCTGTGTTTGGGCTTCCTCGCTCGCTGTGTCGGAAGGCCCTGTGTCTTGCTTTGGGCATGGCAGCATGGGCTGCGTGTGCTTTCTCTTTGAATGCTGCTGCCTTGCATTGAATGCGTGTACGGCAGCAGAATGGGCCGCGGGTTGTAGGCTAGCCATGTACTCTTACAAGGTTGTTTGCGCCGGGCCCAGGAAGTTTAGTTTCAATGATGCGTTCCCGTGATGGGGCCTTTAATTCAGTAAGTACCCGATGTCATGATTTAGTCTTTGGTCGTTATTTTTCAGCTCATGCTGATCAACAGCATCGTGCATTTGGAGGCCGTTGAAAGCATGTGTTTTGTTTGATGTGTGTGTGTTTCGTTTGTCTGATGGTGTTGCCCTACTAAAGCTAAAATGTAGTGATATGCAGCAGTGACGGTAAACTAGTTTGTACACCAGCCTTGCATGTAACACATACCAGTCCATGTGCAAACGTATGGGTCCGGGGGTGACACCAAAGTTTTCGTACCGGCCGAATAACGGTACGACACCAGTTAACTCTTAAACCACGCTCGTTGCTTCAGACACGTCTTTACGTGTCCGCTCTTCGTGCACATATCCGTACATCAACACATGCCGTCCCCAACTCGGGTTATAGCGTGCACGGCACACATGTGCACGGGCCCCGACCAGCATTTCCCTCTTCCTACCCCTACACCTGCCTACACCCGCACTATCCTCACACGCCCAAGCGTCTCTGCACCCGTACACATGCACGCCCCACAGCCCCAACGGCACCCACCGCTGAGGCTCCAATGTGCGGTCCGGAGTCACAGTAGCTCATTGCAGTACACGCGTGCCACACACACCTTTCACCCTGCGCCCCGCCCCTTGCCCTTGGCCGCACTGCTGCTGCCGCCCCGGCTACCCCCCGTGTAACCCCCGCCACCACCACCACCTCCGCCTCCTCCTGCGGCTCCTCCGCCTCCTCCTGCTGCCGTACCGCCGCCAGCACCACCTCCACCCCCACCTCCACCTCCACCACCGCCGAATCCGTAGCCGTCAAACTCTCCAGGCATCATGCCGGGTCCAGGGGCGTAGAAGGCGCCATAGAAGGCCGGGTCCGCATACCCATACGCAAAGTCGCCCTCCCAGCCTTCGCCCTCCTCGTCGTAACCGTACCCGTACCCCTCGTCGTACCAGCCGTACCCTTCCTCGTCGTACCCTTCAAAACCACCCGCAGCGCCGTAGGGGTACGCGCCCATCGGCCCCATCATCATCGGAACAGGCGGGCCGCCGCGCCCGCCCCCACGACCGCCACCGCCGCCGCCACGCCCTCCACCCCCGCCTCTCCTCCCGCCGCCGCCACGCCCCCGGCCTCCACCGCCGCCGTTGCCCCCTCTATAATTTCCAGGGTGCGGCCCCCCTCTAGGCCCTCGGTCATAGCCGCCGCCGAAGCCTCGGCGTCCGTCGCCCTCCTCTCCTCCTCGTCTGCCGCGCCCACCACGCCGCCCCTCGCCGCCGAAGCGGCCATCGCCTTCCCGCCCCGTACGGCCGCTGGGCCCTGCGGGGCCCTCCGCGTCGGAGGCAGGCACCTCGCCCTCCGATATCTCGCCAGATTCGGTCGGCTGCAGATGGGCAGGAGGACGACAGAAGGGTTGAGGTGTCACAAAGGGGAAGAGTGAAATACACACACCGACAGTAACCATAGCGTGCAAAACAGCGGAGATGAGCTTGACGTCATGCGGCACGTAACGCATGCACCCCTTGGAAAGACGGTCCCAAACCGCAACCCCCCATTCCTGTGTTTCTCACGGCGCACTCACCTCTGGCGACTTCTCCGCGGCCTGCCCAGGCGCGGGAGGCCCCGACTGACCCATGGGTCCGCCCGGCGCCCCGCCACGCCCACGATCCCTCGGCGCCCGCCGCTCCTCCTCATCCGACCAATCGGCACCATTCGGAGACCCTGGTCGCAACCCCCGCATTGGCCCTGGGCTGCGGCTCCGGCTGCTGTAGCGACTGCCGCCGCCACGTGGTCCGCCGAACGGACCGCCGCCGCCGCGGCGACCCATGGGCGAGGGGCTTCGGCTGTAGCCCCGCCGGCCCCTGGGAGGACTAATGGGCCCATTGCCGTAGCGCCCGGGAAAGTGCCGTCCACCTCCGCGAGGTCCCGGCGAGGGACTACGGCTGTAGCGCGGGCCGCCTCCCCGAGGCGGCGGACTGCGGCTGACGTAACGCCCACTGCCTCGCCCGCGGAGAGGTGGACTGCGACTGCGGCTGCCGGCGAATCGCCCTCGCGGCGGCGGACTGCGGGAGGTGAACCGTCGCGGAGGAGGCGAGGGACTCCGGGAGGTGAATCGTCGCGACGGCGGCGAAGGGCTGCGAGTGCCACGACGAAGACCTCCATGCGGCCCTCCGGGGCCCTCCAGGGGTGGCGGACCTGGGAGAGGCGGGTGTAGCGGAGCGGGGCCCCGACCAAGCCCGCCTGGGGGACCTCCCGTTGCTGCGGCTCCCGAGGCAGCCCCTGCTGCGGTTGCGGCGTCGGCTGGTTCAGCAGCTGCCGCCCCGCCCGCTGCTCGCTGCCGCTCCGCCTCCTCCGCACGAGTCCGCCGCTCCTGATCCGCCTGTGCGAGGTGTAACCGTCAGGGCCCGGGTTTCAAAACTCCGGATTGCTAGGCAACGGTAACGGTTTTGTTACTTGACTGCGACGCGTCAATGCAGGGAGGAAGACCAATCAACCCCATCTAAGCAACCCCACCCGCCCGGGGCTCGCTTGCATGCCGAATACCCCATGCGGACACCCCCCCCACACACACACACACGCCTCGCGGCCAGTTATTTTAACACACGCCTCCCGACCAGTCCGCCCACCACCACCACCTCCCTCACCTTCATCCGCTCCTCAGCCTCACGTATCCGCCGCGCCCGCTGCTCTTCCTCCTGCTGCTTCTTCCTCGCCTTCTCCATCTCCGCGGGATCCAGAGACACGACCTGCACCACCGCAGGGCCCGCCTTGCTGCGGTTCCGCCCGCCGCGACGATGCCCAGCGCCGCCGCCGACGCCTCCTAAGCCCATCCCGCCTCCTACTCCTGCCGCAGGCATGCCTGCCGCCGCCGCAGCTGCCGCCGCAGCCGCATCATCACCAGGTGGCGCGTCAGCGACTGCCGCAGCCGCCGCTGCCGCCGACGACTCGGCACCCTTCCCGGCGCCACCACCCTCCGCTGCAGCTGCCGCCGCCGCTGCACCCTGAGCGCCGTAGGCATCGCCCCAAAGCGCCGGATCGTACACAATTCCATCGCCGTACATCTCGTACCCGTACCCGAAGCCGCCGTACATTCCACCGTACGCACCCGCGCCGTACGCATCGGCCTCGCCCGGTGGCGGCATGCCGTGCCCGGGCTCCCCCGGCGGTGGCCAGGTATCCACCCCCGGCGGCCCTGGCTCTAAGGACACTGGCGGTGACAGCCACACCGTCGCTGGGGTTTCCATGATGGTCAGCGGCTTGTCAGTCCCGGCTCCGAAACCACCATGTCCGTTCGCGCCCAAACCGCCGTCTGTTCCCCCGTAACCATACGCCCCCTGCTCCTCACCCGTGCCGTCTCCATCCGCTAGCCGCTGTTGCTGCTCCTGCTGCCGCTCTCGTGCATGCAGGTAGTAGTTGTACCCTGGTGGCGGCGGCGGAGCCGCCGCCGCCGCTGCGCCGGCAGGCCCATCCCCGCGCTGCCGCGGCGGCGGTGGCGGCGGCGGCGGGATCGGGAAGCCCGCCCCATGCAGTAGCACCCCCTGCTGCGCCGCCTGCCACTCCGCCTGCGCTACCATGTAACGGTGCATGGCATCCGAAGACGCCAGATGCTCCGGCGGCGGCAGCGCCGCCGGATCCAACGGCGAGTGTACGGCACCCGCGGCGGCGAGATCCATGCCCGGCGGCGGATCATCCGTGAAGACCCATTCCGGCGGCCGCAGCACGCCCTCCGCGTAATCCACATAGTTGTGCAGCCCGGGTCGCCCCGGCGGAGGCGGCGGCAGCGGCAGCCCCCCGCCGCCGCCGCCCGGCCGCTGCGCGCCCTTGGCGCGCACCACCAGCCTCCTGCCGCCCAGCACGTAGTTGTGAAGCCGGTCAATGGCCGCCTGCGCGCCCTCTTCTGTGGCGAACCGCACGAAGCCGAATCCGCGGCTGGACCCTGTGTGTCGGTCCGTGATGATGGTGCAGTCCACCACCTGGCAGGGCAGGGGGGGGGAGTGCAAGGAGGTGAAGGGTTGGGAATCGGCGGGTGGGGAGTACGGCATGAAAATGCCATACACCAAACCATAGGAGGCGCCACAAGACACACTATAGCTGGATTGGTTCTTTGGTTGTCAAAGGATGATGGAAGAGAGGGAGGGAGGATAGTCTCCCCAGTCTCAAAGGCCCCACACTCAAGAAACCCTGCCCTACCCCCTGCCCCCTGTCCCGCCCAACACAGCCCTCACACAACCCTTCCGTACTCCCCCCCTTCCCCCCACCCCACCCCCACTCCCCCCTCACCTCCCCGCATGTGCTGAACAGCTGCCGCAGCTCATGCTCGCTGGTATGGTGCGGGATGAAGCCCACGTACACGGTGCGCGGGTCGGCCTCGTCGTGCCGCCCGCCGCCCAGCCCCAGCCCCGGCCGCCCGCGACCTCCGCCGCCCCGATCGCCCAGCATACCCTCCAGCTCCCTGGCAGGCGAGCAGGAGCGCGCGACGAGGGGGATTAGACAACTTGAGCCGCAAAGTGTGGGGTCAGCGCAACGGCGAATAGGAGGCGGCCGGGAGCGCGCGACAAGGGGTTTCAGCCCAACAGCGTACAGGAAATGTACGGCAAACGTGAAGTACGGCAAGGTGTGAAAGCAGGGCAAGGGCGTGTAGGACAGCAACCAGGAAGTGGCGCCCCGGCAAGGCACATGCGGGGCGGCACACGTAAGGCCCTGCAGAGCCCTGCCAAGGTGTATGGAGGTGGCGCGTAGGTAGCACCCAGGACCCGGCACGCACCTGGGTATGTGCGGCACGTCTCCCCCCAGGTCCCTGAGGAAACTCTTGTACTCGTCCTCCATGGACGCCCCCGCGGCCTCCCCGTGCACTGCGACCACGTCCCGCCGGTACTGCTCCTCAACCTGGAGGGGGAGCGGGAGCGGAGGGGTGAGGGTGCAGGTAGGTGGGTAGGCGGGTGGGCGGGTGGGTAAGCATGTGGGTACCAGGGGCGGGCAGACATCCGGCGAGGGGAGGAGCGGGAGGGAGAGTATTGAAGGGCTGATAGGCAGACAGCTGCTGCTGGTGTTGCTGCTGCAGCCTGCTGCTTGCCTTTTCCTTGATGTGTTCGGGCAGCCGGAAGAGGTCGGTGCCCTCCTCCGCCTGCCGCTGCAGCTCCATGAGCTCATGGTCGCGGAGCGTGCCTGGAGGAGTGGCGGGAGTGGCGGGGGGAGTGGCGGAACGGGATGTGAGGAACAGTGGAATGGGAAAATGTTGAACGGGAAACAGCAGCAGAACAGAGAGAAAGGAACAGAGCGTAGGGAGAGCAGAGTTCCTAACAGATGTCGTGTTCCCGTTATATCAGGTGTGTACAGTAGCGTCCAGCCCCAGGCGTTCACTGCACACGTGCTCCTTCCTTTTCTGTGCAGTTGCCTCTTCCAGCACTTGCTAAACTGCCGTCGGGTGCTGCAGCCCCGGCAATCTTCCCCTCACCACACATGCTATCCCCCCCCTCACCGTTCAGTGCCGCTAGCTCCCGCAGCTGCAGCCGCTTGTGCTCGTTGAGCGTCTCGTCCTGCGGCTGCAGCAGCTTCTCGATTAGCGCAGCGGCCTGCGGAGGGGGAGGGGGGGGGGTGGGGGTGAGGGTAAGGAAAGGAAACTCACGAGCTGTATGACGGGTCGTGGTGCGGTAGGAATGGGGCAGGTTGGGGCAGCGGCAGTGGTTAGTGGTGCGACGGCAGAACTACCAGAGCGGATCAACTGCGGATCATTGTGCCACTTCAGGCCGCCCCGCGGAATGAGAAGCCCCCGCTTGTCCGCTCCAGGCTCTGGCGATACTGTCGTAGCAGTGCCCAGCCCTCATTTGCACCCCTTGCCGCTCCTCATCTGCCCCCGTGGCCAACCTCCAGCGCCCCGCAGCCCCCCTCCCTCAGCCCCATGCAGCCCCGATCATTCCCCAAGCCCCCCAGTAACCCGACTCATCCAACCGGCCCCCCCCCACCTTATCCACATCCTCATCCGTGTCTCCCGTGATCAACACATGCAGGTCATCGTCCTCGCCCGGCTCGGGCCGACCCGACGGGTCGCGTCGCGTGCGCCCCTCCTTGATGGAACCCTTGCCGCGAATGGCGATCTTGGTGTTGGTTTCCTTCTCCATGCGCTTCTGCGTGTTGCCGCGGGGGCCGATGATGAGGCCGATGAAGTTGTAGGTGGGGTGGTCCTTTTGCGGGATGTAGATCTTGCGCGTTTTGCGCGGCGGGCGGAAGTCGGCGGGCGGCTTGTAGTTGGGGTTCTTCTTTATGAGCTCCATAATGATCTCCTGTGGGGGGGGAGCGGGGGGAAGGAGAAAACGGAGACCCAATGGATTGGATAATATTCGGGGGGGGTAGCGGGAGGCGGTAACGTTTAGGGGTTATGTACTACCAGGATGGGAGAGAGGAGGACGGCGAGGGGGGAGAGTGTTGCATGGGAGGGGTTAGGGGGTGACCAGGGACGTTGCTGCCCCCTGGTAAACGGAACCTGGCAGTCCCTTCAAACTTGGGAGTGTGTCTTGGGGCAGGGAGGGATGTGTCCGGGTGTGGTAATCTGGCCATGCAATGTCTGATGCGCGCTGGCATCCTACGCGCCCTCGACGCCGCTGCCACACTGCCACACTGCCACTGCCCGCGACGCAGCCATGCAGCGACACAGACACAGACGCAGCCATGCAGCGACGCAGACGAGGCCGCCGCTCCATTCCCATTGACCGGTATCATGGTAACACTGAAGGGCCGCCCACCTGCCCCGAGCCTCTTTCCACCTGCCCCGCCTTTCCTCGTTCCTCAAGGAGCCCGAGAAGCATGCAAGTGAGGATAACACTGCGGACAACCCACAATTTCCGCTTCTTGTCCTCTCCCCCGGGACTTTTTACCGAGGTGAAGGGCCCAGGCCTTCCCACGCACACTCATGCGGCCCCCCGACGCCACCACTTCCCCAACCCTCCGTTGGGGGCTGGCGGCTCTCCCAACCCTCCGCTCCCCTACAGTCGCCCGCTCAACCTCGAACCCCCACTCCCCTCCATGCATGCCACATGGTCACACCCACGCCCATCCACCGCTCGCGTGCACGACACCGCACACGCACCCCACCACGCACCGTGCGCTTATCCTGCAGCCTCTCCTTCAGCCGCTGCTCCCGCGTGTTGAGGCGGATGCCGTACTCGTTGTAGATGGGCTCCGGCGAGGGAGAGCGCTGCTCGGGAGGCGTGTCGTCCGCCAGCTTGCCGGCCTGCAGCAGCGCAATGCGCTGGTTGATCTGCGGGTGTGTGGGTTAGGGGCAAAGAGGAGACAATTAACTGACCGTGTTGGGACAGGCGGGAGGCGGGGTGTGGAGCTACGTGGAGAAAGGTAGGGGCATTTCGGATGTGGGTTTGGGGAAGGGTGAGACAGGGGCTTGCAGGTAGGGAGCAGGGCTGTCCTTGTCGTAAGTACCCATAGAGCCTTTCACAATTTGCTAGCAGGCACGGCAGATCTTCTTCCATGGTCATGATGTTATGCACAAAATTGACTGACGAGGTGTAACTGTAGCGTTGCTTAGCGCAGCTCCATGCCCTATCTCACATGCGAGCCCAGTCGAGCGAACTCACATTATTCAGCTGCATCTGGAGCTCCAGTGTTTCTGGGTTGATGTCAACTAAGTGAGCTAGCGATGGTGGCAGAGTGATTGCAGTAGAAAGCCCTGGGATAACTTTCTGTTCTTCCGGCTCCCACCGACTGCGCCGCTTCCGGGGTGCTCCGTCGCCTGTTCCGGGACCAGCTGAGCCTTCTCGCTCACCAGCAGCCTGTGGCTGCGAATCCGCTGCGCCTGTGGCTGCATTTGGCTCTGGCTGCTGCGCCGTTTCCTCAAGGATTTTCTTGCCCGCCTCCGTCTCTTCTCCCCATCGCGACCTCTTACGCCGCTCACGGCGTGCAGCCGCTGTTTCCTCCACGGGAGGCTTTGATTCGTCCGTCATGCTGGCAGGTAGATGCTGAGCATTGCTTAACAGAGATCGAAGCCGTCTAGGGAGCGACTAGTCACGGCTAGCTGTGTTCTTTCCTGTTATCTATGTACACAAATCTCATGGATTGTGGTGCTCAAGTAAACAACACGCAACAAGAGTATCGGTATTGACCTTGCGCTATAGCGCTGTTGGAAGTCCTAGTGAAAGAACAAAGAAGAACTGTACTGTATGTATTTATTTCACGCCAAGCTGGCCTGTATGACCATCTTGGTCCTTGGGCTCCGGAATCACAAGAGGTAACCCTGCCGTGCCAGCGTACGCAGCAAATGTAAGTTGAAGCCACACCCACTGGCGAGCCGTTTTAACTATTGCTCTTCCTCTCCAGTAACCTCCCCGGAGTAGCTTGTGTCGTCGCAATCCTCGCCACACCCACCCTGCACAATAGCTCACATATAGTGGGTCGTTTGTCATCAGCCATGGCTTCAGCAGCAGGAAAGGCCAAAATCCTGGTGGAGGTTACCTCGGACACCGTGTGGTAAGACTCCCGGGCAGCGTAAGCCATCCTTGCCATCCCAGCCATGCCGCCCCACGCCCATGGCCAGCGCTATCCACGCTGCGACACTGTATCCAACCACAACACCCAGTCCTAGCACACCTTCAAGCCCCTTTCACACCTACCACCCACCCACAGCCCCTGGTGCTATGTTGGCAAGCGGCGTCTGGAGCGAGCCATGTCCCGCCTCGCCGACCGCGCCGAATTCACCGTGCGTTGGCTGCCCTACCAGCTTAACCCCAACGCACCGCGCGAGGGGCTGGTCAAACTGGACTACTACAACCAAAAGTTCGGCGCCGCGCGCGTGGCTCAGATGATGCCCGCCATGACAAAGTGAGTACGACAAATGCATGCATGTGGGACGGTTGTTGGACTGTACCGTACCTTGCATGCGTTCCGTGTGTTTCGTGACTCTTGTGTGCCCTGTGCCCTGTGCTCACCAGGACCTTTGCGGAGGAGGGGCTGGAGTACCGCATGGGGGGCCTCACGGGCAACACACTGGACAGCCACAGGTGATGGAGTAAGGGGTAATGGATGTGTTAGGGCGAACACAACGTTAGGGCGAACAAATGTTAGTGGGGTTGAACCCCTTTAGAAGCCATCTCCCGTGTGCGGGACACGGGGGCTTGACAGCTGCTGGAGTGCTGTATGTAAGAGGGTGTTCCTGTACCTTGTGACTTGCCATGACTGCCAGACACCGCGGTTACACTACCCTCTCAGGCTCATCGCTTGGTCGGAGCAGTTCGGCCCAGACAAGCAGAATGCGCTGGTAGAGGAGCTCTTCCGAGGATACTTCTGCCAGGTATGCCGTATGCGTTGACCCGGCGTTGACCCGGTTGGCTGGGTTGAAAAGACTGCTGCTGCTGCTGCTGTTGTTGTTGTTGTTTGCCGCTGTTGCTTTTCTCGTGGGTGTTGCTTAGGAGAAGTAGGTGCTGCTTGCTGTAACGTTGCCGTACCGTTGTTGCTGATGTGCAGGAGAAGTACATTGGGGACCGGGAGTTCCTGCTGTCCGCCGTGGCAAAGGCGGGGCTGCCGGCGGATGGCGCCGCGGCGGTGCTGGACGACCCACGGGTCTGCGCCGAGCAGGTGGAGCAGCACCTGCAGCACGGAGCAGCCGGCATCAACGGCGTGCCGTTCTTCGTGATCAATAAGAGGTATGCGGCGGGTTCGATTACTAACGCAGCGTTCCATGCGCCGTTCAATCCTTACCTTCAAAATCTTGTGTTTACTATTCCGGTGTTCCTTTCCTCGCAGTGCCAAGTTATCCGGGGCGCAGCCACCCGAAACATTTGAGCAAGTGTTCCAACGGTTTCTCTGAAGTCCCGGTACTGCAGCAATTGCATCATGGCTACTGCAGCAATGGAGCAACAACAACAACGGCAGCAGCAGCGAGGGTGCATGCCGCACAGTAGTGCTGTTGGTGGGAGGTGGTTGTTGGGATTGTTTTGGGTGGTGTTGTGGCAAAGAGGCTTGTTGTGACGGGACACGACCACAGCTGGATGTCCGGATTAGTGTGGGACGTGGACTGGTTTTGACTCGATATGTGTTGTGATACCCTGCAGACCGGCCCAGGACCGGGGTATATAATTCCGCGTTGGGATGTTGTGATGTTGCCCAGAGGACCTTGCAGCCCAACGCCAGCAGAAATGTAGAATAGAAACAGCGTGCGGCTTTGGAGTGTATAAATGTGCCGGCTAATGAAGGTGGAGTAGCATATGCCATGTGCGGCATGCAAGGTCGCTGCATTGGGTTAACAGCGAGGGTTAACTACAAAAAACTAGATGTCTTAATTACAAAATGTGTTTCCATTTGTATATTGCTTTAAGGAGGCAGCCAAGGATACATACGGTAGGTAACATAAGTGCGCATGGTCGGCATCAACGCGACAATAGCTATGGTATGGCCCTTAAGACGTGTCGCGACAGGCGTCCCTTTTGCAGCTAATTCCCTGTGGCAAGCCAAAAGCGTCAAACACCCCAGTTTCTTAGCCAATGAAGTTAAGCCTCTAGCTCATTAGTCAACCACTGGTACGGTAGCCTATAAGATTTGAATGATTCGCTTTTGTTTAGCAGGAAACGCCATCCGAACATGATGAGTGGGTTCAATGTTACCTCGAAGAGTATTCCTCGCGGCCCTATTCACTCTGGTCGTTTTACCATCAATCGTTCTAGGCTACAAACATGCAACACAGCCGCGAACTGACAACCTAACTGCTTTAGAAGTACAGTATGCCCATATATACTGGAAATACAAGGTTTCCAGCCGCGTTGTACGCCCGAAGGGCATTCCTAAAAAGCCGCAACCCGGTCGCCCCGACCTTGGATACGCCTTCCTAACACCGCTTCCAGAAAGACTAGCGGGAATCACATACACCGGCCATGCGGCCCGTCTCCGTCTGGTTCTGGAGCGAGCACGCAACGGTAAGGCCTCCACCACTGCACCTCCCTCCCCTCCCCTCTCCTCTTAACTGTCCTCCTCTAACATGCCTATCCATTACCTATCCTCGTCTACCCACCCCTTCCTCCAAAACCCCTCCCGCCTCACACCCCAGGCGAGGCCCTGCGTGTCGCCGCCCTGGGCGGAAGCATCACCTTTGGCCAGAGTGCGGGCGGCGCCCATATGTCGTACGCGGCCATGTTCGTAGATTGGCTCAACGCAGCTCTGCCGCCCAGCCGCCCCTCAGATCACCACCACATGTCGCAACCTCTAGAGGCGCATGCAGACGGCGACGCGGACGACCGCGACAACAGCACTGCTGTGTCTTCTGACACTTCTGACAGCAGCACCCAGCAGCTTGTGAGGAGGCGGCGACGCATGCATGAGAGCGCCTCCACCTCAACAGCACCACCCGTACCCGCAGCAGCCACGGGCCCCCACAGCCCCAGTCCCTCCACCTCCACCCCTGCCGCTGCCGTACCGCATCATCATGATCCGGTACGGCACTTGTACTTCAACGGTGCCGTACCTGGCACCCAGTCCGGCTACATGAGCAGCTGCATGCACCACCACCTGCCGCCGGAGGTGGATGTGGTGCTGGTGGAGTATGCGGTGAACGACTCGCCCGCACCGAGTGCCATGTTCTGGGTAAGTGGGTGGTGTTAGTTGCTGGGTGTTTAGGTGCTGGGTGGGTGGGTGGTGTTAGGTGCCATGGCCGCCTTGTTGCCTGTGGTAGGGGACCGCCAGGGTCTCTTCTCTGTGTTAGGAAAGAGAGTGGCCGCGAGTCGAATGCCGGTATTGTGTGAGTTAAGAAGGTTACCTCCGCAAGTACACATGTGTTCACCGCGATATGCATCATCCGCCCCCTCCACCTCACTCACCGCCCCCACCTCGCGGACCCCCCCCTCCATGCAGGACCCCTCACGTCGCGCCTTCGAGCGGCTGCTGCGCAAGCTGCAACGCCTGCCCTCACAGCCCGCCGTGCTGCTGGTCAACATGTTTGCGTACACGGCGGCGCACGGCAAGTGAGTGGCGCCATGGTGATTGCGGGGGGTGATGACTTGCGGGGGATGATGACTTGGTTGGATGGACAAGGGTAAACTATGGTACGGGGTGTGCCCCCAGTGTTGTTTGGCTTGCCTTGCATGTGGTCTTGTGGCGGTAGCCTGTGAGGTCTGTGAAGCGAAGTCGGCGTGAAACTTAGGATGCCGCCAGCGACTCGGGTGTGTTGTAGGTTGCAGCCCACGCAAAGGCCTGCTGCCGCCGCCGCCGCTGTTTCTATTATAGTACCCCTCACTGACCCAACTGCTTTCGGCACCCAACCCACCCTCCCCAGGTATTGGCACAGTGCGGAGCGGGATTTCAACGAGCTAGCAACCTACTACGGCTTGCCCTCGGTAAGGGTTGGCCGGAGGGCTGGGAAGACGGGGAAAGCTACTTTCTTTTATCCGTAACGGAAAGTGGGGTCTGGGGGTACGTCTGGTAACGCCCAAACGTTTGGATCGCAGCAGCTCAACGCAAGCCTGATGTGCATGCAACAGTCCCTTGCCCGTACACCCCTTGCGCGGCCCACAGCCGCCCCCTCTGCCCCTCTATCCATGCGCCCTTCATCCGTACTTCCGTACGCCCAGGTCAGCCTCCGAGCAGCCGTGCTGCCCTCAGCGCTCTCATCCTCCTCCTCCTCCTCCGACACTTCTGCAACTCCTGCCGGCGGCAGTAGCGCCAGTGATGGCAGTGTCACCGACGCCGCGGGCGGGCCCTCCAGCAACAGCAGCGGCAGCAGCAGCACCAGCAGTTCCAGCACAACCAGCAACAGCAGCAGCGGTGGCGGCGGTGGCGGAGGGGTACTGCTGGGTGCGGTGTTCAACGGAGGCAAGCACCACCCGGGTCGGGGAGGTCACGTGGTGGCGACGGAGCTGCTCATTTCACTGGCGCTGGTGCGTGGGGGTTAGCAAAACTGGCTGGGGTAATGGGAAGCTAGGAACGTATTGTGTGGGTTGTGTGGGTGTGGGTGTGGTTTTAGATGTACGGGTTGGAGCCGGGAGTGAGAGTTAGGGGCCCGGATTTCGGAGCCTTGTGTACGGTACTTGCGCATCCTAGCCTGGGCAAGAGAGGAACGGGCAAGAAAGGAACGGGCAAGAGAGGAACGGGCAAGAGAGGAACGGGGAAGAGAGGAACGGGGAAGAAGAACGGGGAGCTATCTCACAGACGCACATGCACGCACTGACCATCGCTCACACGCCCTCCCACCCTCCCGCCATCACACACACCCGCTAGGAGCTTCTCCACTCCAACAGCCGCATCACAGCCGACGGGGCAGCCGACGGCAGCCTGGGTCTCAGCCTGGCCCCTTCCGGCGACTCGTCCTCCCAGCCCAGTGACAGGACCTTCCCTAACGCCGCCGGCGGCAAAAGCAGCAGCAGCAGCAGGGGCCGAAGACGCATCAGCAGCAGCTCCGCAACAGGTTCTACCACTGCCATGCCTGCTCCCGCCGACAGCGATACCGCTGCTAGCATTTACCTCGACAGCTCCGTAGCCGCCCTAGGCGCGGGCAAGAGCAAGAGCAGGAGCAAGAGGAGGAGCACGAGGGAAAAGGCCAAGGCGGCCACTGTTCCCGGTCTGACTCCGGAAGCTGCTGCCGGGCTGCGTGCTGTTGCCACCCGGCCGCTGCCTCCGCCGCTGTCAGAAGGCAATTATGAGGCTGCAAGCAGCACATGCTACTTGGAACACCAGTTGAGGGAGCTTGTGGAGCAGCCGGTAACGGGATGGGAGTGGACGGATGAGGGGCGTGGCAAATGGGGCTGGGTGGCGATGGAGGCGAACCAGCAGCTGAGAATAAAGGTGGGTGGATGCGCTGGTGTGGTGTGGTGTGGGGCGGGGTGGGTGGATGTGGGTCGGTTCTGGAACGCATCCTGCATGATGAGGGTCGTGGGTGGGTTGTGGGTTGTGTGTGCGTTCTCGGCCCAGGTGGCTAGCGGAAGGTGGGTTCGTGTTTCATACCGTACATGTAAACTGCGGAATCTGACGTCAGACATGGCTCTGTTATCACCCCGTCGCAGGTTAGCACTCAATTGGCGGGCAGCAGGACGCCTCGGGCTGAAGCCGCGTCCATTATTGTGCAGGTGCGTGCGTGGGGGCTGTATGACCCATGGGTCAGTCGCAAGCCTTGTGACGTGCGGCCTACATGCAACTAACTCCCAATATCGCCATAACGACCAGGAGCACCACTGTTACCGTGGTCTGCCCTGTCTGACCTACGGCCCACCCTTATCTGCTGTAATTTCGCTGTCTCCTGTAGATTGCCTACCTTCAGAGCTATGTTGGCATGGGTGGTGCGCGGCTGAGCTGTGAAGCCGGATGCGCCTGTGAAGCCCTGGTTGTGGATGGCCACAGCAGTCGCCAGGTGTCAGTTACCAGCATGGCTGACGTCAAGGTTAGTTACTAACGCACTTGTCAGTTGATGGTTGGCCGCTAACCTTGTTTTGTTAGCTAAAAGGCCCAGAACGCCTTTTAGCTACCGGTACCGGCAATATGGCTTCAGACACGCTCCAAACGCAAAACCTCTGCGACATGGACCCTCCTCCCGTGTTCCCCTTTCTTCTCGTCCCTTCGCAGGTCACTCAGCATCCCAACTGTATGCTCCTCTTGAACACCACCGGGCCCACAAAGGCGGCTAGGACTGCCGCCGCCGCTGCTGCGAAAGCAGCAGCAACTGCTGCCAAAGATGACGGACGCAGCGCTGCTGGCAGTAGTAGCAGCAACAGCGGTCCTGGAGCCAAGTTCAAGTTGCTGGGTGTGGTGGTTGGCGAGGAGCCGGGGGCAACTAGCGGCACTGTTACCTGGTTACGGAATGAGAGTCACGAGATGGCACATGTGATTCGGGACATGGAGTCTTCGGACAGGAGAGAGTCGACACCTTGACGGGCTTGTGAAGGCGAGCTAGATTGGGTGGCTAGGTGTGGGATGGGTATTGTTAGTTACTGCCCTTACTAATGTTAGGAGAGTGTGAGCTGCAGTGAGGTGAGGGTGCACTCGGTTTTGCCCGTGCTAATATGAGAGAGGATACCGTAGCAGTGAAGGAGCGGGGAACTGGGGAAGCCCCAAATGAGGCGTGCGTGTAGTGAGGAGAGGCAGTGTGGGAAATGATATGTGCTATTTGTGCTATGAACTACCACCTCGGAAGGAGCTTCGAGGGTACCGGTATGGCTTCTGCGATAGCTAATCTTTGCATTTAACATACCGTAGATACTAGCCAAGACAGCTAAGTAATGTGGCTGCCAATAGCTAGCAGACCCTACCGGAACCTCCTCTCAACAAGGCTTATCCAGCCTGGGTGTACAACCAAGGTACAACCCTCTATCCAGCCCACATAGTCAACAACTCACGGCAGCGTATCATGTACGGCACGAACCGTACTGCAATCACATGGCCCTGAGCCCACCACGTCTCTCTCAATACGTAGTTTTGTACATGAAGCAGTTCGTACGCACCCACGCCCGCGGACACCTTCCTTAACACACGCCCGCAGGCGGCTTCATAGAGCACACCTGCAGCAAAATTGAGACACAGAACCCTACTTGTATGTAGTTTGTAGTAGTAACATATAGGGCACACTATTATCCGTTATAGTAGGGCATACGTACGTAACCATGCGCCACTTGTGCCTTGCTTCAAGTGAGTGGCATACGGGAAAGAGAATGGCACATACCCGCAGCACAGAGAGGCAGCTGGCCTGCTGCCTCCCGCATGTAGTACTCCACGGCTGCCATGCAGCACAGCCAAAACCAGTCCATGCGTCTTGCGTCCTCTTAACCAAGCACTGCCGGCATGCGCAACCCTGCACGACAGCCCGAGCCTCACCAATCCACAACTTGTCAACTTGGAATGCCTCATGGGTAAAAAAGACTCACATACAACACCACATAGCCGCTTCGCTCATCCATACGATGACCAGATTGACCACCGGACATAATTACTTTCTCGGGCGAGGAGCAGCGAAGCGCGCGGCAGTGGCCTTGCCATTCGGTGTGCATGTAATTGCACAGTGCGTTTTATAGGTAGGAGACAACACTTCGCTGCATCGCAAGGTTCGCAACACACCACAAGAAACGTCTCCGCAACAGACTGCTTCAACACGTATTACAATAAAGTACTGAGGGCCTACACATGGGCACAGTACGACAAACGTACAGTGTCGCAGTACAATCGCCTGTCGTACAACTTGCGCCAATCAACTCCATGTGTCGACAACTCCATCCCCTTTGCCAATGTACCAACACATATGCTGTCATGCGACATGCTATGCGGCCACCATTCGCATACTTTCTTGTTTGCGTCACCTTTTTTGAGACAGCCCACAACCGCATCTCGGCGGCAAGGAAAACACAGCAGCAGCTAGCAGCAGTAGCACCCGCAACTGAAGCAGTAGTCAGCAGCACCAGCAGTAGCAACGGAAAACGTAATCGGTAACAGCAGCAGTCGCATGCTTCCACATGTACACGTCCTGCCTCGTCTGAAACAATCTTTTCAAATCCTTACCGTACCTCGACCATTTGTCCCCAATTTGCCGCAACCGGCAGCTGTGCTGCGGCTCTCGTACAGCCAGCACTCAAGTACACAAGGACATAACTACAAAACAGTACCGGTACTACAATCCCTGTAGTACGGCCAACCACCTCCCGCCTATAACACAACCATGACGTGTCCTCTCTCTCACGCCTTTGGCACCACCCCTTCGCTACATCCGCTCAGCACCCATACTGCGAGCGGTGCAACAAGCACTCCACATTACTCAAGCAGCATTCCTGCGCACACACATTTTTCCGACAATCAGTACTTCCCCACTCGCGGCCAGTGTTCTTCACACTCACCCACACACATGGCCTACAAGGGCTACAACCGAACCACGCCGCTCGAGTTCATGCGCACGTCCCCAAGGCTACCCGACGGCAGACTGTACGACAAGTCGCCTCCGTCGAGGCCGCCGCCGCCGCCGTCGTATGGCCCCGACACAGGAACCACAAGGCCGCTGCGACGTCCGGAACGGCCCAACAGGTTTGACCCCAGCCGCGCCAAAAGCTTTGGACCAGGCAGCGATTCGGCCGACGGCGACGGCGGCGTCGCCACCGCCGGCGTCGTGGGCGGCGTCCCCGTCGGCCGACTCGCCACACTGGGTCGTGTCGACACCATTGACAGACTTGTCGTACTGGCGGGACCGTCGTCGCCTCCGCCTCCGCCAGCGGCAGCAAGCAGCGAGGGCCTTACCACTGTGACGGCGCTCTCGCCTGCCGCTGACGGCTCAGACGTCATCCAGCCGCCGCCGCCGCCGCCGCCAGCGCCGGTGCCACTGCTGCTGTTGCCGCCAGTAATGCCGCCGCCGCCACCGGATCCTGTTCTGACGGCGGGAGCGGAGGTACTGGCATCCACACCGCTGCCACTGCCGGTACCAGTGCCTGTTCCGGCGACGTCACCGGATGTGGCGTCGTCAGAGGGAGTCCCGTGGGCGCCACCGCGGCGGCGGGACGGCCCGCCAGCGGCGCGGCGCCGCCGGGCGACGGTGCCGCCGTCGACGGCCCCGTCAGCGTCGTTAAACGCCACTACCGCGTCGCATGTGAGCGAGGTGCCTCCCGCCGCCATAAGTGACTGCAGGCTATGCAGCCGAGCAGCGGAGTTGGCGGCAGCGGTGGCGGCGGCGGCGACCGCCGCCGCCGACATGGCGTCACCCTCGGCATCTGAATCCAGCGTTGCCGTCGGCGCCGTAGATGCACCATCCTCCTCTCGACCCAGCTGTTGCACCCAACCCAGCACCGCCGAATGCTTCACGAAACTCTTCTGGGACGCCATCAGCCGTCGCGCCGCGGGTCCCAGGACGCTGGCACTGCTGCCGCCGGCGGCGGCGACAGCTGCTCCACCCTCAGGGTTATAGTACAAGCTCGCATTCCCAACCAGTTCCCCCGAACCTGAGCCGGTGCCCTGCCGCGAGGGCGTCAGCTCATTCCCCGGCCAGAGCGGTTGACCGCTGGCGCCGCCCAGGCTACGAGTCCTCGGCGCCTCTTCCGGGTGCCATGACGCCACCTCTCGGCCATGCGCCCGAAGGCTGAAGGCGCGCTTCAGGAAGTTAATTCCGGCGGAGATGAGGGACTTGTGGCCTGGGTGGCCTTGGACGCCGCCGACGCCGCCGCGGATCGCGGCTGGGTGGCCTCCTCCTGTCGTCAGGCCGCTGCTCGAGCTATGCTGCAGCCGTCTGGCAGGAGCGGACAGGTGCCGTATCAGCGACGGCACGCCGCTGTGGTGGCTTACACCGCCGCCGCCAGTGCTACTCCCGCCACCGCCGCTGCTGTTCCGAGGCGCCGTTCCGGACGTCGCCGCCAGCGTCTTGAAGGACCGGACCCGCCGCGCGACGTCGGATGACGCGCGGTCCTCCGAGCCGTCACTCGACGGCGCCATAAGCCCCTCAAACCGCAACGCGGTCAGCGAATGTATGGCACCGGGCGACGGCCGGCCCCGCGACGACGGCGACGCGCGACTGCCCATGGTCCGTCGACTGCCGCCGCCAGCAATGCTTAAACGGCTACCGCCGGCGCCGCCGCTGCCAGTGCTCGTCGCGGATTCGAGCGGCGGGTTCGCCGATGATGGCAGATGCCCATTCACGGCCGCCACGAGCTCCTCCGGCGGCGGCAGCTCAAGCTGCAGCTGACCGTCGCTTGCGGACGAGCCATGGACCGTGATGTGTACCGTGCGTCCGTCGGGTCCTACCACTGTGTTCGAGCCGACGCGGCGGCTGAGAGCAAGTAGATCGGGCATGGCTGCGCGAGTCGCCCCGACCGCACGCTGCGGACGCAAGGAGGATGCCTTCTTCAGGGTGCCCCCCGGCTTGCCCCCAGGCGGAGAGAAGACGGTGCTGCCCATGCGGCTGTTGCCCAGCAGGAAGCTGTTTGACGGCAGCGCCGGCGAGGGTGCGTGCTCGGGGATGGTCGCGCACTGCACGCTGTCGTAGTTGGGATCGCGGACGCCGTGTACCGCCAGGTCTACAGGTGTGGAGCCACTACTGCTGCGCACGCGCAAGTTGTTGTGGGGGTATGCGGTGGCGGTCAGGACGCTGCTGGGCATGCGGTTGGAGCCGAGGAGCGCGAACATGTCAACCTGCTCGCTGTTGCTGCCGCCGGCAGCAGCTGCCCCAACTGCGGTACTGGTAGTAGAGCTGTCACTGGCGGCGACGGTTCCGCCGCCGCCGAAGCCAAAGCCGGATGTGAAGTTGAGCAGGCGCATTTTCGATTGGTTGCGAGGGGTCTGGCGCGGTTGTGCCAGAGGCGGGGCGGGCGCCGGCCAGCTTGGCAGCTTTGACTTGAGGGGCGACGCCGACTCAGGGGTGCCGTTGCCGCCGCCATCGTCGAAGAATGACGACGTTGTGGGGCCACCTGACGTCGCGTTTCGTACTTTAGAATCCGTAACCGCGAAGCTGCCGTCATGCGACGTCGACGGCGGCAGCCCCTCTTCGCCAGGGCTCAACGTCGACGCCACCGCGGCCGCCGCCATGACAGCCGCCGACGGCACCTCCGCCAGGGATGCTGACGACGGCAACTCCTCAATCACAGGCCCCTCCTGTACGACATGCGTCCCGCCTCCCACCTGCAAGTCGCCCCCGCGCCGCCAGCCATCAACTGCTGCTCCGTCGTCGCCGCCGTCACCGCCCTCGCGGGAGAAGTTGCTGCCGCGAAGCGAGGCAGCAGCCTGTTGCGCCGCCGCAGAGTGCAAGTGGTCCAAAGCCAGCGGCGGCGGCGCGGGCGCGATGGGCAGCAGATCCACAGGCGGCATGGCTTCCGAGCGACGGAGCCAGCTGGTGTTGCCGCTCATTGACCCCGTTTGCGAGTACCCAGACGAGCTCACGAGGCCCATCTGGCTGAAGGAGGAGCCTCCGACGGCGGCCGGCGGCAGCCCCGCCACAGCCAACTCCATGCCCCGACGACGCATGGATGCAGAGGATGGCAGCCCCGAAGCCGCTGGCGTCGTCGTCGCCGCGGCGGCGGCGGCGGCCCCCGTCAGGGACTGCAGCAACGGCGGCGGTGGCGGCGGCGGCCCGTCCTCTGGTACGGCACCGGGGTGCGGAGGCTGCTGCGGCAGACCGCGATGGGCTTGCAGACCGGGGATGTTCTCCAGCACCGCCTCAGGCACCGCCTCACGCACCCAAAAGTACGAGCCGTTTCTCCGAAAGCTGCTATGACTGCTGCAGGAGCGCCGGGAGTTGCTGCTGCTCACACGCAGCAGGCGGGTCCGACTGGAGCCGCCGCCGCCGCCAAAGGAGTTATCTGAGGGCTGCGCCTGGGGCTGCGAGGTCGGCTGAGAGGGCGGCACGGCTTGCAGGCCGCCGAGGGAGGTATTAGAGTGGGAGCGATCGGCATTCGAAGTAGAGCGACTGAGGCTGGGGCCGAGGCCTGGGCCTGGGGTACCGGGCCCGCCGGCATGCGCATGCACGTGCGGTGGATGCGGTTCTAGGACGACCGGCGCGCCTAGGAATGATGGCAGGCCGGGAAGGGAGGGTGTCGGCGGCGGCGGTGAAGGTGCTGGAGATGTGGTTGGTGGTTGCGGTGGGTTGTCGTTGCTGCTTTGCGACCCAGATGGCGAGGATGCGGCTGCGTTATGGTGTATGGCTGAAGCCGTTATGGTACTGGCCGAAGCCGCTGTTGCTGCAGGTCCTGCTGCCGCGGTTAGGGCCGACATGGGCGAAGCTGAGGGGCTACGGGGCGATAGGACGCGCTTATCGTACGCCGCCGCGGCAGCCGTCGGACTGACTGCAGCAGCTGAGCCCGATGCTGTTGGAGAGAGGCCGCCGTCGCGGGGTATGATGCCGCTGGCACGAGGCGACGCGCAGGCTGCTGTTGCTGCTGCGGCGGCGGCGGCAGTCGCTGGCGACGCGCCCGGCGACTGCAGCGTCGATGGCAGCAAGCCGATGCTCACGCGGACGACTGGCGGATGACGCGGAACCCTTGGCTGCTGCTGCTGCGGCTGCGGTTGGCGTGGCTCAACAGTCGTTGGCAGCATGGACATGCTCCCCCGTCCGGCTATGTTCGACCCTGCAGATTGCTCTACATCCGTGGAGGCATCGCTGTCCATGCCCGCGCCCGCGATTCCGGCCGCCCCGCCACCACCGATGCCTGCAGCGCCGCCCCCGCCGCCTAAGCCTCCAGACGGCTCCGAAACCAGCCTCAACGACTGCAGCCGCGAAGAACGCGAACGCAGTAGCCGCTGCGGCGGCGGTTGCTCATGCGGCTGGTGCGGGCAGCGGCCAGCCGCCACTCCTGCCGTACTTTGTTGCGCATCCTGCTGTGCACCGGCCGAGGTGCCAGCACCCGCACCCGCACCTGCTCCCGACGATGTACGCGGCAGCAGCTGCAACGCATCCAGGACGGCACCTCCGGAGCTGGATGGCGGCAGCTGCACCTCACGACGTCGCCTGCGTGAACCCATGTCCGCGTCCCCGCTGGTGAGCCCACCACCACCACCACCGCCGACGACGACGCTGCTACGGTCACCATCCAGCAGCCCGCCGGCCGAACCTCTGCTATCCAACTCAGACCGCCGCCCATACCGCGGCGCTGCACCCGACCCTAACCCCAACCCCGACCCTAAGCTAGAGGCGGCTGGTGACGCAAGCCGCGAGTTCCCTGTCCCCGCGCCCGGTCCCGACCCACATCCCGTCCCCAACGGCGAGCAACCTGAACTAGACGCGGTTCCGGGGCGACTATCGGCAGCAGCAGCGGGGGCAGGGGCAGCTACCGCACCAGGCCGCATGAGCGTGCGTGATGACAGCCCTGACACACGAGCCGCCATGCCACCAGCGAGCCGCTGGCTGCTGGGCGATTCGGGAGGCGTGGCACCCCGTGTCGCCCCCAACCGCCCCAGCTGCACTGCTGCTGCGGGCTCTGCTGCAGGGCTACTGCTGCCAAGGGTGCTCCTGCCAGCATCGCCGCTGCCACGGCTCTGTGGGGGCTCCTCGCTGTCTCCAATGCCACCAGATAGCGGTGCGGTGACGTGCAGGTGACGCCGTGAAGGGCCGGTACGCAGCTGCTGCGAGAAGACGGACGTCAGCTTCCAAGAGGATGCGGGATCCCCTGCACCCGCCGCTGCTCCTGAAGCTGTTGCTCCTGGTCCCGCTGCCTCAGCACTGCGTCTGCTGCCTCCCGGGTTGCCGGTGCTACCAGTTTGCTTCAGCGGCGTAGCGGACAAGCCTCCCAGGCCGCGACCCGAGGCCGTGGCGGCTGCGGACGCTGCAACGACCGGCTCCTGACCGAAGCGACTGCTAGGCAGCATCCTAGCGGAGCTGCTGCGGGGCAGAACCCCGTCGCTTCCGCTTCGCAAGGCGTCCCATCCTGCCCTCGGAGCCGCTGCACCGCCACCACCACCAAGTCCTGCAGGAACCGCAGCCACAGCTGCAGCTGCAGTATTGCCGGATGATGCGACGTGGACTGAGTTGCCGCGCCGGCGGGGCTGTAGGATACGTGGCGATGGCGCGTCTGCGCCTTCCTCGGGCCAGGCGACCAGCGGGACGCCGCAGGAGCCTTCCGGAGGAGAGGCTTGGGCCAAGCCGCTGCTAGCAGCAGGGCTCTTTGCGGTGGCTGCATGTCTGGAGGGGGTTGCTGCTCCATGGGTGTGAGCGCTGGCGCTGCGGAAGAGGGGGTAACGGAGAGCCTCCTTTGCGTCATCGAGCGCCCCCATTAGCGATTTTAGCTAAGACGTGGAAGCCCAGCCCCTGGCCCAGCCACAGACGGAGCAGCATGCGTTGTAAGAGGCCGCTGTCACCCGAGGATGCGCGGGGTCTTGCGCGCTGTGTTACTGGGCCGTAGGACTCCCTGGGCATTTATAAGAAAAGAGTAAGTATGTATGCACTTGCAGGGGTGGGAAGCTAATAGACGCTGGGCCTTCGGTCAGACTTGCCATGGCAGCGAAGGCTGCTAGAGTGTCCAGCTCATAGAAACTGTCCAGGGTTTGTCTTCCTTTACATCCAGGAGTCAAATATCCGTAGCCTCGCTTTATAGGGTTCAGAATATTTCCAAGCTAAGGCCACGGAGGCGACCGTTATAACCGCATGAAAAGTATGCTTGTTACAATGTCCACCATACGTCTGTATTCCTCAATAGCTAGTATGCAAGGGCTCACAACAGGGACAGCAGGTCCTTGCGACTGTACAAGGCCCGCAACGTTCGGCAACGTATAGCAATGTATAGCCAAATGGTTGGCATGCAATTACTACCGCTTCTACTATGCACTGTAGTAATAGAGTTGTACGCTACTGTAAGGCTAGCACCGTACACAAGACTTTCCAAAGCAACCCCGGCATGCGTCCTCCGCAAGCTACTATTGCTACGGTTACCGCTACATAAATACGCTAATGCAGCCTATAGATACGCCTGCTCGACAAACATTTGCAACAGCCTTTCACGTCATCGGAAGCATCGAAGCTCGTTGGTGAGTTCGGCTTCGTAAAACGAGCACGTTGAGCGCGCCATCGTCATCGTAAACTACATAAGAACACAGCCTCCATGAGCATGCGTCATGACGGACGTAAGAAGGACGATGGCACCGTCCTGGCCTACCAATCTCCCTTCTGGTTCAGCTTTTTGCCGGACGCCTGCACGAAGGGCAACGTGCGTCAGGCCAACAACGCAAATCAGCTCGTCAAGCTTGCTCGTTTCATTTACCTACTTGTCCAATTCCATGGCGGTGAGCAGCAGCCCGGTTCGGGGCCTGCGACCTGATGAAAGCCCTGCGCCTGGGCAGCTCCACGGCCAATCCGACTACAACGGCCAGCAGAAACATGACCAAAGCCCGCAGCTCTGCATGCGCAAGGCGCACAAAGCGCCGCTCGCATTCCAGCAGCATAACGGTGTGCAGCACCGCCAGGAACAGTCGCTGCCGAAGACGAATCTGCGTGCAGACAAAGCAGTTGCGTTGCAGCTAAGCCGTCCCTTGCGGAAGCATGCGAGCCCCCACTTCCCCCCGCCCTGCCATGCAGCAGTTTTTACCCTACCGGTATGGATACCGGTATGCACACGTGCCCTGGACACGCATCCCAGCCCACCATCCATGTCGCCCCCAGCATGCATCACCCATGAAGCCCCCACCCCATTTTTCCCACCAGTCAGGCAGAGCCCCCTCACCCTTCCTCCCACATCCGCACCACCCCACACCTCACCCACGCCCCGCCACTGCCCCACACCGCCCCCTTTCCACCCTTTTCCCTCCTTTACCCCCCCCCCCACACACACACGCTTCTCTCTTTCTCACGCACCCACACACGTTCCGTCTCGCGGGCTTTCTTTACACACACACGCCCCTGGCCAACCATGTCAACACAACACACCTGGTCAAAGATGGGCCTCAGCAGTCCATGCATCAGCACCTCGATGGGCATGCCCGCCAGGGCCGCGTCCACGGAGGAGTCCCAGTCCCACACGCCCGCCAGCACCAACAGCAGCGTGCCCACCTCCGCGGCCCAGCTGACCTGCGAGAAGCCCTCGCGGTGCTGCGGCCAGCGCAAGGACAGTAGCGTGGCGCCCAGACGCAGCAGGCCCTGCACGAACCAGAGCTGGGCGTGACAGCGGAGGGTTGCGGCGCGGCGCGGGGAAGGGCGGCGGAAAGGTGAGGGAAAGGAGGGAAGAGGACAGGGGAGGGAGTGATTGGTTGAAGCAGTGATTGTTCGAGAGGGTTAGGAGGAGGGGACGAAAGGCAGGAGGCGAGAGCGTGGTTTGTCATTTGGCACGTCGAGACTGTGAAGGCACGGTAAGAACCCTAACGCCCCTCCGCCTTCTGTCAGGCTGTCACCCGACATGCCCAGTCACAGCTAAGCCGCGTCAAGCACACTCGCCCCAACAGTCATCTTATACCAGAAGCACACCAACTACCACCACCCGCCACGGAATCAGTTGCTCCCAACCTCCCTCCCAACGTGCGCATGCACCGCAACGTCTGCAAGTCATCAACCCAAGTCCGCAACCCACGGCAATGAGCTCACCAGCCGACCCACCAGCGCCATCCCTCCCGCCGCCCGCGCAGCGCACACCAGCCGTGAGCCCATCAGCAGCACCAAAGCCCCGTGGTTCAGCAGCGACCAGCAGTCCACGGGCGCCGCGCTGCGTGCATGGAACCTGGCGTACTCCGCCTCGACCCGTGGGTCAGTGAACCCCAGCACGCATGCGGCCAGTGCACTGCGTGTGGGTGGTGCGCTGTTGGTTGACACTGCGGCTGTTGTTGTTGTTGTTGTTGTTGCTGTGAAGGGATGAAGGTGAGAGGTTTGGGCGCCGGGCGTGGCGTGGGGTTGGGAAGGGTTGAGGCTGGATGAGGAGGGAGGCGAGGAGGCGATGTCCGGATTGTTGTGGGTGTTGGCGTTCAGGCGCTTTGTGGGTTTGGTTGGGTGCTGCTGCAGGGCCGTTGTCGTACCAGTGGCTCCGGCAGCGGCAGAGGTGATGGCGGAGAAGCTGGCAGCGGCCGCGGGAGAGGGCGCCGACGTGAGACGTGCCGTGGGCGGCGTGGGGGCGATGCTACCGACTCGTACGATATCCGACGGCAGCGGCGTGCATGGGGATGGCGGCTGCAGCGCAGGCGCCGCAGAGCACGAGGATGCAGAGACGGAGCTGCTCCCCGCCGACAAAGCACCCACCGCCTCCGCCAGAGAGCCATCGTCACCAGCACATGCCGTGAAACCGGTATCAGATTCTCCCTTGCCGGTAACGACTTTCGGACAGTGGAAGGGTGCTGCCTGGGGTCCGGCCGCAGTTGCTTCGCTGCCGGCAGCGTTGCTGTCGCCAGCAGCGGTGGTGGTGCTGTCGGCCACATGCGGCGGCTGGCGTTGGGCGCTATCCAGCAGCTGCCGGTCAATGTCAACCGTAGAAAACGGCGACAGCAGGGGCGGGGAGGCGGAACTACCACATGGTGAGCCGAAGATCTCCATGTCGGAGATCCCACGCATGAAGCCCCCTGCAGGGTCCTGGTAATCCTCGATCTTGTCTCCTGGAGCCCCGAAACCCTTCTTGAACGGATCCAGTAGCGGATGCGGAGGTAGGGGCTGATGGTATGCAACGCTGGCGGTGGTCGGGCTTTCGTCCAGGACACCTCCGGCTTGATCCGACCCATGGGTCGCTGGCGAGGAAGAGCCGCCTGGGACGCGCGGCGTGCCGACTGCAGAGTCCTCCTTGCTTGGAACCGTTGTGAGTGCTGAGCCCAGCAGCCTGGCGCCGGATGCAGGAGCCGGTGGAGTGTCCACCTCATGGCTTGGATGCTGCTGCTGCTTCTCGACTAGCTTCTCGCCTTGCTCGGCGACAGAGGTTGTGTTATGCTCGCTTTTGTACTGTGTTGCTGCTGCTGAAGCGTAAGCCGCAGGTGCCTCAGTAGCGGTGGGGGCTACGGCGGCAGCGGCGGCGGCGGCAGCCGCCGCCGAAGATACGTCACAGCTCCCCGTCTCAGCCCCTCCGGACGCCGACGGCGGCATCTGTACGGCAGCAGGTGCTACAGATCCAGCCATAATGTACGGCAGTAGCGCCAGACGCGCCATATCCGCGGTGAAAACACGGGTTGCTTGCATGCCTTCCTGGGCAGCCAAATACTGGTACAGGTTGTTAGCGACTTGCAGTACACTCAAGGCTCCGTCGGGAGGTAAACCGCCGAGCAACGCCTCGTGCCCGCCGCCGCCGCCGCCAGGCACGGCGGCGTCGTTGGCGGCGGCAATGGCCGCCGCCGCCATCTGAGCCCTCTCCAATAAGAATGCCAAGTCGGAGATCAACGGTGCGTAGTGATCCCGCCAAGCGGCGCCGCCCATACCGGTACCTCCGCTCGCCGCCGCCGCCGCCGATGCGCTGTCGTACACCATCCTCATCATCTGACTCAGATGCGCCAGCTCCGGTGCCACCTCCGCCGGCACCGCCAGCAGCGTCGCGATGTCGTACAGCAACGGGCTGTTGGCGGTTGCGGCGCCGGCGGCGGGCGCAAAGACCACCTGCAGAACCGTGGGTCGCGGCTGCGGCGGCACGGGCAGCAGCAGCACCTGTGCGCCCTCACCCAGCACGCAGGTAAAGTCCGCCAGCAGCACCCCATGCTGCACCAGCAGCAGCCTAAGCGACTGAGCCACGGGAGAGTCGATGTGGACTTCTAGCATGGTGGGATCCAGGGATCCCGCAGCTGCAACAGGAACGCAGGGTGTCCAAGTGCAATCAATCGCCAGGCTCCCGACGGCATGCACATGGTGGCCAGGCACAGCGGAAACGGCGGCAGCGGCGGCGGGGGTTGGAGCTTCAGGCGCAGGCTTCGCTGCCGCCAGGGCTGAGGGCGGGAAAAAGATCTGTGCCGCAGGCGGCGGCGGCGGCGCAGAGAAAGGGATGTGCGGTGCGGATTGTGACAGCGGCTGCTGGTTGACGAAGGCCGCCATCTCCCCAAGCGGCCCCTGCATCTGCCAGGGACCCACCACGCTGGCATCCGGCAGCCACTGCGCCACCGCATGCTGCATGGAGGCAAACGACGGCGGAAAACCTGCCGCCGTTGACGCCACTGGTAGCGACGCCGCCGACGCCATGGCGGCCACGCCGCCACCGACGCCGCCACCTCCGCCAGCGACCTCCGCCCCACCGCCATGCTGCAGGAGCTGCAACTGCACCACCTCCGCCACCGTCGCGGCGTCCAGACCCATCGCCGCGGCCAGCGTCGCCGTGTCGGGATGACCTGCCCGCCCCAGCGGCAGCACCTGCTGCGTCAGCGAGCCATCCACGCTGCGAACCCAGGCGATCAGCTGCACGCAGCCCTCCACCACCACCAGCCCGCCGGTACGGCAGACGGCGGCGGCGGCGGCGGCGGCAAGGGGAGACGCCGTACTTGAGGGTTGCTGTGGGTGCTCGTGGGATGCCGACGCGTCAGGTGGGCGGGTTGTGGGAAAGAGGATTGGGGCCACGGCGGCTTCCAAGCGCGCTGCGTAGGCCTGGTGGGTGCCTGTGGGGTGGTGGACCTGCGCATGGGCGAGGGCGGGGCAGGGAGGGGCACGGCTGGGTTTGGGTCGCTTATTCAAGCGCAGGGTAATGGACCGGAACGTACCGTATGCCGGTGGCGTCGAAACTTCGAAAGGCTGCGCACTGGGGCCGGTGTGCTGTGTTGCGCGGGGAGCAGCAAAGTGCCAAAGGAAGTACCGGTACGATGGGGGCTCTCAAAGCAATGTACGGCCTATCCTGACTAGTAGCAATACCGTAAGCGTTACTATCTTAGTAACAATGGTTGTTCGTACCTTGACACTGTAAGCGCGACACGTCGTAAGGCCCTTGTAGCGCAGCGACGACGGCATCTGCCGAGCCGCGGCCGCCGCCGCCGATGCCGTCGCCGTTGTCATCCGCCGCGACGCATGCAGCACAGGCCGCAACCGCCCTAGCGGAGGCGCCGCCGCCGTAGTAGCAGACTGCATAACAGACGCACCTGCCGTACCCTCCACCACTGGTCGTTGCTGCTCAGGCTGCGGCGGTTGCGGCGGGGGTTGTTGCATTCGCTGGGGTTGCGGAGCCGGGCGTTGCGTCGCCTGTCTGAGGTTGGAGCGCTCGCGGTTCTGCTGCTGCTGCGGCGGCGGCGGGAGCTGCTGCCGTGCACCCTTCTCCACCTGACGTGGCGGCGCCGCAGGCGCCGGAAGAGCCAACACGCCCTCCCTGGCACTGCCCCTGCTGCCGCCGCTGCCACTGCTGATGCTGCCCGGTAGGCCACCGCTGCCGCCGTTGAAGGGCCGAGGAAGCGGCGACGGCGGAGGTAGCGCCTGCAGCGGCGACGGCGGCGGCGACGGCTGCTCCAGAAGCCAACGGCGCAGCGCCTGTGGGCTGTTGAGCGCGGCATCGGAGCTCCGACCGCTGTCGGCGGCGCTGTTGCCCGACAGCACGTCGGAAGCCCGATGGCACAGGAGCACCATGCTTGCCGTACTTGACTCGATGGACGTGTCGTACGCGTCGTACTGTACGGAAGCTGGACTGAAGTTAGAAACACCAAAGTTAGGAAGGAATGCAGGTGAGATGCCACCATCGATGCGGCCGCGGGTGCGTCTGAAGGAAGGGCCACTCCGGTAGGCAGCTAGGGTGGAAACGGGGCTGGCCGGGCGCGGCGGCGGCGGCTGAGTGTCCCGTGGGTCGGCGCCCGCGGCTTGCATGTCTGTGTCGACATCTTTCTTAGGCGCGCTTTGGGGATGGACAGCGGTATCAAGTGAGGGCATGCTTTCGCTGTTGCCGGTCTGCAAGTCGCGATGTTGGGCGCCTGCGTTGGTCTTGTCCTTTGTCTGACGCGTTGTTGGTGCGGTTGGCGGCGCTGGCGGCTGCGTTGCTGTTGGTTGAGCTGAGGAGGACGACGATGTGGAAGCTTTTTGGGCGGTTGTTGATCGCTTTGATGAGGTGCGACTTGTGACGTGGGCCGGAGACGAGGAAGAGGCAGCGGCGCTCACGTCGCGATCGCAGGACTGGGCTTGCGGTTGTGGTTGCTGCGAGCTGCGAGGCGAATTGCTGCTATTGCTGGTGCTGCTGTTGTTGCTGTCAGACCAGTCACGTGCTATTTCACTGCGCTTGCGGCGCCTTAGGGCACCTGAGCGCCAGGCGCCTATGGCGGCTAGCATGAATAACAACAGCAGCAGCGGTAATGCGGGGTTCGCATCAAACAAAGTCTGCTGCATTCGTCGGACAAACAACCATTCCTATAGGCACTTGGTTGGTCTTTGAGTTTTACTGTTGAGTTTGGGAGTTCGTGAAGGAATGAGAGGTGTTCAGCGGAGAACTTGAGGATGGCGCGTTTTTCCTGTCAGCACGTCATATGCCGCACGCGTTTGGACGGCACTTTGGACGAGGCGAAGCCCAATGTGTTGCGGGTATTTCTTCAGGCGTCGAGCAAACCTTCACTTACATAACTGCTGCATTAACTGCTGCTGAACTATCTTTATCAAAGCGCAAAGTACAATGTGGTGGGTTTACGCAGGGCGTTGATCCTGTTCAGTAACGGCAACACTGCCACGCGCACAACGGCATACACACCGTGGTAGGATTGCGCACGTACGCACCACACCCCTTCGCTGCCGGCCAGGCCCTAGTCGTGTTTCTTTGGCACACCCAAGGGCGCCCCAAAGAGCAAGTGCAACGCCCGAAGCTTCCCCTCTATCCTCCCAGACGGATGCTACACTGCGAGCACGCCCAAGTACTCCTCTGTGTTACTAACCAAACTCCCTCGGGGCCGAACGTGATGCAGCGAGAAGCAATGCTGGCTCAGCAGTAGAAACATAGCACCTTTTAACGGCTCCAGGCTTAAGGCTTTCATCCGCGAAGGTTCGACCAGCCGTAACATACAGTGCCGTACAAGCAGAGAGCAGTTTGGGCTGAGCCGCTGAACGTTTGCTACATCGAACATAAACGGTAGACCTTTACGTTAAAAAGTAGTAATAGCGGCATTGACGTGCATCAGGCTATTCGCCGCAATTTGCGGAAACGTGGTGCGCCACCCGCTGTGGCGCACTGCAGTTCTATTGCGCTTTTGAGCTTTTTTGATCCATGTTTATGGCTAGTTGCTTTTGCGAAGAAAGTTCATGCCCCTAAAGCGGGCCGACCCAGGAAACCAACTTTGGGGTCGACTTCTTTTCCTTGAGGAGGGCCTTTCTATCTTTTCACGAGGAGCTTTAACAGAGAGCGGCGTGGGGCTCCTGGACTGCTGAGTTCTTGCAAGCTCTCCACAGCAAAATGGCCTCCTCGAACAGCGCAAGCGGCCCTGCCAAGGCCGACGATGGCGTCAAATTTACAATTACTGTGCAATGCAACGTTGGGGGCGAGAAGAGGGCGGTCTCCTACACGGTATTCAAGCGGTGAGGTGGTCTTTCCTCTTGCGGCAGCGCCTCCACACCGTTGATTCTTGGTCTACTGATTTCTACAGCAGCAGCACCAGAACGTCACTTATGAAATTGGCACTGATTGATCATCCTCGTGTTGGGCCACCCCCACAGGACGCTCATGAGCCAGGTGTTCGACAGCAGCGTGCAGTTTTTCAAGTTGGACCCGTCGCAGGTATCGTTGGGATGAGCTGTGCGGTTAACCCAAGCTTGCATGGGCGGGGAGATAAAAGCAGTCTTTTGGCGGCCAACGTTACACGCTTTGCTTCGTTGCCCGCAGGTGATTCTGGTCGTCAAAAACAAAGTGGCCCTTACGCATAAGTGTGTTGAGGACTACAGGTTGTCAGATAAGAGCGTGCTGGACTTGATCAACCTGAAGGAGGTGAGTTGGGAAAGGCATTGCAAGGCGCCAGCTGCGCGCATTGCTGCATCATAAGCCCATAAGGGACTCCGCAGCACCTGTGTGGACGCAACTTCTCTGCTATGTCTTCCTGCGATTCCGCTGTCAACGCGCCCTCGCCGTCGGGCGTCGCTCCAACGCCTCCACACGCCTCCCAACTTCCGGCCTGCATACAGGCCCCTACAATCGAGCTTACCCTGCGAGATCAAGCAGGCAACAGCAAGACGCTTACAGCGTCAACCTTCCATCCCCTCTCAGACGTCGTCAAGGCGTTCTGTAAGCACCTCGGCGAGGAGACGGGGTTCTCAGACCTCTACCACGGCGGCATCGCACTCGATCTGGACGCCTCGCCTGCCAGCATCGGACTCAAAACCGGGGAGCAGCTCTTCTGCTACTGCTACAAAGCAGCATGCAAGCAGCACTGGGTGGCAGCAGGCAAGCCGGAGCAGGCCAAAAGCCTGCGCTTCATCAAGTTCTACTTCTCGGACTGGAAGTACGGCTACAAAACGTTTCCCATCTTCCGCCACGACATCAGCACGCCCATGGAGGTCCTGATTAAGACCTTTTGCGCCTGGCGCGGGCTCGATTACGAGCAGACGGGGTTCCTGTATTCGTACACCTACAAGCAGGTGCAGCAGGGGGACACTGCCACGAACAAGGCGCTTGCAGATGGCGACACAATCCTAGCCTACAGCCGACAGGTGCGGTTGCGCTCATTCCGCATGGTGTAAGGTGTAAAAAAAAGGCTAAGGGTTAACCGCCTCGTCCACTCATACCTTTCAAGCCTGCCCTAATACCTCCCATTCCAAGTTATCCTGTCCCCTCGCTCCCTCTCACCTCCGTTCCCCCACCACCCATTCACTCCCCACGGACCCCCCCACCACAGGAGCTGCAGGGCCGCCTTTGGGACGCGGTGCTAGCGGGTGCCTGCCAGCCGGTGGTGGACCTGTTGGAGCAGGGCGCGGAGCTCTCCACCAGCATAGGGCCCGAGGAGTGGGGCAAGCACCCGCTGCATGCGGCGGTGGCGAACGGCCATGTGGACCTGGTAAAGCTGCTGCTGCGGGGCGGGCCAGCTGCGGCAGGCGTGCCCGCGGATGCGCAGCAGTCACAGCGGCTCTCCCAGCAGCGGCTGTCGTTGTTGTCGCGGGGAGCAGCGGAGCAGGGGCAGAGGGCTGCTGGTGGCGTGGATGATGTTGATGATGGGGACGACACGGATACGGAGAGCAGCTCCAGCGGCAGCAGTACCACCAGCAGTGGCAGTACCACCAGCAGCATCTCGGACAGCGGCCTGGGCTCCGGATACGTCGGGTCGGGGGTGCAGCCTGGCATCAGCAGTAACAGCTGCAGTCCCAGCGCTGCAGCTGCAGCTGCAGCTGCGGCGGCTGCCGCCCTGCTGAGCCCCAGCGGCGGGTGCGATCCGAACCAGCTGGACTATGCGAGCGACCCGCCGTTGTGGCATGCTGTGGAGAACAACCTGGTGGAGCTGGTGGAGCTGCTGCTGGCGGCGGGGGCCACGGCGGCGGACATTCCACCCAGGGACGGCAGGCCCAAGGTGAGGACTGATTGGAGAGGCATTGAGGGGCTTGCTGGGGAGGATGGCTGGGGGAGGCTTGCTGGGCACTGTCACAGAGGAAGCGCTGTGACACTCCCTCTGTGACAGTGCCCAGCAAGCCTCAGAGGAAGTGCTGTGACACTTCCTGCAGGGAGGTGTCACACCATGCTGCATGCGCAACGGGCTGCATGTGCTCCTGGCGGTAACGTCATGGCGGCCTTCCAAGGCCCTGCACGCTTGCGAACCCCCACATGCATGCCAGTTCGCCCACAACTCCCTGCTAACGCTCGATGGCGGCCCCCTTCTCCCTCCTCTCTCCCCTCTCCTCCCCTCCCCGCCTCCCGCTCAGGACCAGGCTAGCACCGGGTACTCTGCCTGCCCGCACGCAGCTCGCAAGGGGCATGCGGAGACGCTGCGTGTGCTGCTGGCCGCGGGAGCCAACCCCTGGCTGCCGGACGCGGACGGCTACACGGCGTACGACTACGCGTTGGATCATGCCAAGCCGCCCGCAGTGGTGGCGGCGCTGCTGGAGGGCGACCCACGGTTCGCGGAGATGCAGAGGAGCTTCCAGGTGGGGGTGGGGTGGACTGGTGGTTGGGGTGGGGGTGGGGGTGGGTTTGAGCTCTGAGGTGGGTGGGTGGGTGGGTGGGTGTTACCAGCCCACATGGGGTGATGGTCGTGGGACATGGGGTCAGGAGGCATGTCGAATGGCAGATGGGCATATCGTCTTTGGCGGTGGCGTGTGCTTTCCTTTGGCCGGCTGTAACATATATAGCTTGTGCTGGCGGTTTGCCGCTGCCTTGTGCCGCCGCCTTGTTTTGAACCCCGCAGGCCGCCTACCAGCGCATGTGTCAGATGCTCAAGCGCACGCAGCGCTACCCCGCCCTGGGCTGCCCCTGCCGCACCTGCAACAGCCTGCTGGAGATACGCGCGCCGGAGACGGAGGCAAGCAGGATGGTGCGTGATGGGGTGCGTTGTTTTCCCGGTTCAGCGGTTGCCCTTCTGTTGCTTTCCTGGTGTTCTCCGGACGGCTGTTTGCCCAACCGACAAATCAGTCAACAATTGATCCCCCATGTTCCCATGCTCCGCCCATCCCAACACCCAGGTTCGCGAGCAGATCGGCTGCGTGGCGCTGGTTCGGGCGGTGCAGGCGGGCGGGCCGCACTGCGTGGAGGTGATGGAGCTGCTTCTAAAGCACGGGGCGCTGTTGGACGGACAGGTGGGACCTTCACCTCGCCTTGTACCGTTGTACGCCCCTTGCACGATGTGACTCTTTCTCTCCCGCCTTCCCTTCCTCCCCTCTCTCCCTGTCGCCGCCAGGACTACGACGGGCGCACCGCGCTGCACCAGGCCATCCGCTACAACCGGCTGTCTGAGGCGGCGTGGCTGACCTCCAAGGGGGCGCACCTGGACATCCCCGACTTTGAGGGACTGCTGCCGTTGCACCAGGTGGGGGGGTGGGAGAAGAGCGGCGCGGGCTTCTGGGGAAAGGGGAGATGGAGTGAAAAGGGGATGAAACTAAGCCAACCGAGTGACAAGGCGGTTGTTGCTGGTTGTTCCAAGGGGTCAGGCCACGTTGCCGTACTACCCCCGTTCCGCTACCGTTGCATGTGTCCCGTCAGACTCCATGCCCACACAACCCTTCCATGCGCTCTCCCTTGCCGTCGTCTACTTCCCTTGAAGCCCTTGACGCCCTTCCTTCTGTTCATGTCGCCTACTCCATGTCCCCTTCAGGCCGGCTGCTCCGGTTTCTGTGACATCACCCGCCTGCTCGTGAACGCCGGCGCGCCGCTGAACCTGCACACCATCAAATACGTATCCCAGGAGGCCCTGGACGCCCAGGCAAAGAAGCAGGCCGAGGGGCACCTGGGATCCAAAAAGGCGAAGCGCAAGCAGCAGCTCGATGTGTCCGGCCTCACCACCATTGGCGGCAACTCGCCGCTCGCATTGGCTATCCGTCATGGACATGGCGCTATCGTGGAGTTTCTACTGTCACAGAACGCGGTGTTTGATTTGAAAAACGCGGCGGACAGCTCCGCCTTTCATGCGGCGCTGGACAAGGGCAGCGCCGCCATAGCGGGGCTGTTGCTGCAGCATATTAACAAGAAGGCGAGCGCAGGAGGGGGTGGTGGGGGCGGTGGAGGAGGAGCTGTAGCCGCAGCGGGTGCAGCAGGAGGAGGAGGAGCGGGGGGTACCAGCAGTGGAGCGGGGGGCCCTCGGAGCTCCCCTGCAAGCACGAGCAAGGCGCTGGCGACGCGCGAGAGGGACGGGCGGCTAACCAGGAAGGAGTCGAAAAGGGAGAGCAAGGAGGGCAAGGAGCAGCGTGAGAAGGACCGGGACGCGAGCAGTGGAATTGCGAGCGGCGGGAATGAGGCGGGAGGGCCGGGTGATGGTGCAGATGGGGCAGGAGGCGGAGCTGCGGCCGCTGTTGCGTCAGCTGCTGAGCCTGCTGTTGCTTTCGATGCGGGTGCTGGGCTGCGAGAGATGGTTTTAAAGGAGCGAGAGCGGCTCAGACAGCAGCTGGGCCTGAGCAGCAGCAGCGGCGCTAGCGCCGGCAGTGGCAGCGCTGGCTCCGGGCAAACGCCAGCAGAGCCCAAGCCCATGTTGTCCATCTTTGCGCGCAACGGCAGTGCGACTGCTGCCGTACGGCCCGCAACCGGCCCCTCGGTGCAGTCGTCTTTGACGTCCGCGCCGCTCCAACCCACGCCAGCAGCAGCAGCATCTCAGGCGCCAGTGAGCGCAACGACTCCGGCAGCCGTTCCCGTTCCCTCGTCGCAACTTACATCTGGCGATAACGGCAGCAGCACTAGCACAGGCGCTGTCAGCAGTAGCAGTAACAGCAGCAACAGCGCGAGCGGTAAGAATAGCGGTAGCAGCAGCAGCGCCGCGGGCGGTAGCTTCAGTGACAGCAGCAGCAGCGGCGGCGGCCTGGAAGGCAAGGGCTCTGGCAGCGGCAGCGGCAGGAGCAGCAGAGAGTCATGCGATTCCGGTGCCTCAGCGGTTGGCGGCTCCAGCGGGAGCTCCCCGGCACTCACTCCGCCTTCCTCCGCGTCAACATCTCCCAAGGTGTTGACAGACGAGGAGGGACAGGCGCCGGGTGCCATGCAGCAGGACAAGCAGCATCCGCAGAAGCCGCAACCGCAGCAGCCACAGCAGCAGCAGCAGGGCAAGGGTACGGGTCCGCAGGCTGCGATAGTTCCGGTGGCAGCGGCTCCCGCAGCGGTAAAGGCGTCCGATGCCACCCCAGCACCTACCGCCTCGCCGGCCAAGCCAGCAGCTGCTGGTCCGGTGGAGGGCGGCAGCGGTGCCGCTGGTGCAGCACAGCAGCAGGCCTTGACCGGCCCGCAACAAGCCGCTTCCGCAGCAGCGTCGGTACCGGCACCTACTACGCTGGCCAACGGGCCCACCATGCCGGCCACTAGGAACAGCTCCTCAGCCGCTGCTGGTGCAACCGCAGCCGCAGGCGCCTCTAGTGCTGCTGCCACAGACGTGCCTGCGCAAGCCGCAAAGGCATCACTCGTGACCAGCACCGGCACCAAGCCCGTCCAGATGGGGTTCGCTGCTGTGTCTCCCGCACCGCTAGCTGCGGCGGCAGAGGCGGGACCAGCTGCCAAGGGGCACAAGGAGCCCTCTAAACCGGGCTCCAAAACTACGCCCGCAGTGCCCGCAGCACCCCCAGCGAACACAGCAGCCACTGGCTCCGGAAAGGGCATAGCCAGGGGGTCCTCGTCCTCGGCGGTGGTGGGTGAGGCAAATGCCAAGGTCACGGGCAGCTCAACGACTGCGGCTGCCTTGGCAGCGGCGCCTCCAGCAGCCTTCGCAAGTCCCATCAAAGTCAAGTTTCGCGCCAAGCCGGTTGATCCCCTACCCATGCCAACAGCCGTTGACCAGCCTTTGGCTGCGGCGCAAGGCCCCCAGCAGCCAGCGGAAGTCACCAACACCAACTCTAGCAGCACGGCCAGCAGCGCTGCACCCGTTGCAAAGACGCGTCGTGGCAAGGTTATCACCGTCCCGGCGCCTATCACCCAGAAGAGCCACCGAGGCGCTGCAGCAGCGACAGAACAACAGCAGCAATCGCAGCCGCAATCGCAAGCGCAGCAGGGGCAGTCCGGAGCTGCTCAGCAAGGCGGCGCGAACTCCATGTCCGCCGCTGCCTCGGAACAGCCCTCCTCAACCAGCGGCTCGCCCTTCCTAACTGTCCCGACGAGCATGCTGCCCTCAGCAGGCGGTCCGGGCCGGAACACGGCCAGCGGTGCGACAGGCGGAGCGGCTAGCGGCGGTAGCAGCACGCAGGCAGCGCGACCCGGACCTGCTGCCGCAGCTACAGGGGGTGCGGCGGCGGCAGGAGGGTTGCGGCCTGCTGCGCCCAGCTACAACCCCCGCACCGCGACATCACAGCAGCAGCAGCAGCAGCCGGCGACTGCGCCCCCTGCTCAGCCGTCACCTGCAGCGCCACTGCCGCAGGCACAGGCGTCGCCAGCAACGCAGCAAGCACAGCAGCAACAACAGCAACAGCCTCAGCCGTATCAACCGCTGGCGAATATGAGCGCCGCTTCTTCCATGCCCATGCAACAAGCCCCCGCTCCCTTGGGCTTTCCTCCGCACCCACACCCGCACATGCACATGCAGCCACCGGGGATATCCATGCCGCCTGCCCTGCACCCGCACCACCCGCCTCCGCCGGGCGTCGTCAACGTCCCGCCGCCTCCGCCAGGCTTCGCACCACACCTCTCTGCTGCCGCTGCTGCAAACCGTCCGCCGCCGCCGGGCCTCCCGCCCCCAGCGCATGGCCAGCTGCCTCCAACGCTGGCAGCTGTGATGGCGGCGGCCGCCGATGCCGCGGCCATGTCGGATCTGGATCGCCATTTTGAGTCCTCCCTGGAGTCCATGGTGCTTTCCGTCGTGGACCAAGGCCTGGAGGAGAGCGTTGGCGTGGGCGCGCTCGGCGAGCGGCTGATGCGGGGCAGCGGCAGCAGCAGCAATGTCACTGGCGGCGCCGGCGGCTCGCTCATGCGTCAGCCCAGCGGCGGCGCTGGGCTGCTGGGGCAGAGCGGGCCGCAGGGCGCGGTCGGAGGCGGTGGCGAGGGGCTCTGGACTACCGCGGAACTAGCAGCAGCCATGATGCCGAGCGGTCCTGGGGCCGACATGCATCTCCTGATGCATGGTGGCATGCCCGGGGCTCCCGGCATGGGCCTTGCTTGCGGTGGCAGCGTCGACGGCGCGTTGGGTTTGCGCCGGGGCTTTGGTCAGGCGGCGATGGCATCCGCCGGCGTGCCAGCAGCTGCTGCTCCAGCAGGGCCGTTGGGCGGGCCTCTCCCAACCCCGGACAGTGCCGCAATGCTGTCGGGTGGAGCTGGGGACATGGCGGCGGCAGCAGCTGCTGCCGCTGTGGCGATGGTTCGGGCGCAGTCGGGTGAGGTTACAGCGCTGCCTGGCGGCGGCGCGGGGTCGGTTCTGGACGGCGTGGATGCCGTCAGCGGCGGCGCTGGCAGCAGCAGCCTTCTGAGCCGCGTGGGGTCGCACCAGACCCTCAGCAGGTACGACTCAGGCGCCTTGCAGTCCAGCCATGGAGGTCCGCTGGCGCTGTTTTCGGACGTGTGGGCGGCGGACGCGGGCGGGTCGCAGGCCAAGGGCGGAGTGGCTGGCGGCGCGGGTCCGAACGGCAGCGGAGCTGCCGCTTCGGCTGCTGATGGCGCTCGAACAGAATGGTCTCGGAGCGGGCAAAGCAGTGGCTCGTGGGCTGCCCTTGCTGAGGCCCAGCAAGCGCAGCTCTCGCAGGCCATGGGGGCGTTGGGTGCCGCTGCGGCGCCACCACCAGCGGTTGGATTGGCCGCGGATGCAGCAGCAGCGGCGCCGCCGCCACCGCCACCTCCTCCTCCAGCTGAGCTGGAACCCCTGCCGGATTTCCCCGCCTCCCTGTTCGACGACGATGATGGCCACGACGATTCCCTGCTGCAAAGGCACCCTGAGGCGCGGCAGCCGTACCCGCAGTCCGCAGCAGCCGTCAAGTACCATGAGCATGAGGGGCCGGGGGGAGGCGGCATGGGTCCGCGCGGCGCGCCATCGGGCCCCATGGGCAGCATGCATGGCGGCGGCCCCCACCGCTCCGCAAGCGGCAACGGGCTCAGCTCCGCGGCAGGTGCGCCAGGTATGGAGACAGCGATGCCGCCACCACCCGGCGGCATCCGGCCAATGATGTACTCGCCCACTGGCGGCCCGATGGGGCCTGGTGTCGGCGGCCCGATGGGCGGTCCAGGACAGATGCCGTACGGGCCGCCGGGCGTCATGTATCCGCCTCCCATGGGGCCGCATGGCGCTGCCGGTGCGTTTGGCGGCGCCGGTGCTGGGTCGTACGGAGATTGGTACGGCAACCCAGCGTTTGGTGGATACCGTGGAGCACAGCCCCCGATGATGATGCCGCCGGGCGGTGGCATGTACGGCAACGCAGCTGCCAATGCTGGCATGCCAGGTCCCCGTGGCGGACCCATGGGTCCGCCGGGCATGGCTGGCCCGCTGGGATCCAACGCTGCTGGGGGCCAGGTGCCATACGCCGGCGGTCCCATGCATGGGCACCCCATGCAAGGCGCTCCTGCAGCTCCGCAGGCGGGCAACGTACCTGGGTCGGCCTGGTTCAGTGGCGGTGGCGGCAAGGCAGCTGCGATGAGTGGTATGGCCGCTAGGGGTGGCGGGGGTGCGGGTTCGGAGGGTCCTGTGTCTTCAGGTGGCGGCGGCGGTGGTGGAGGCGGCGGTGGTGGGGGCGGCAGCAGCGGGAGCCGGCATGGGCATGGCCGGGGTGGAAAGGGCCGCAGGTAGTGCCAGGCTCCAGGCTGACGGGTCATGGTGATGCCATTTACCTGGTTGGGGCACTTGCATTCTTACTCCCGTCCGTAGCGTCCGCGTTTGTGCTGATGATGTGATGCGAAACGTGGTGTCAATGTGGTGGAGGCAGTCTGGGTTTGGTGAGAGTGTGTGCTTTTGCTGGGCAGCACGATGAAAGGAAGGATGAAGGGTGGTTGCGTCCGGGCATGATGTGCTAACAGTTAAGCGGCTCATTTCTATTGAGCCATGCAGCGGTGCTTTTATCTTTGCGTGTGCACGCATGTCTGGGTACCTAAAGGCAGTTGTTGCAGGGGTGGGCCCAGTTTTGCAGTGTTACGTAGTGCTCGCAGGCGCGTGCGAGCGACCAGAAAGCTTTGTGGAGGCGGATCTCCTTGCAGCCGTGTTTCCGTGCGGAGCTCGCCGATGGCTTGAACAGGACGTCGTCGCTTAACATGACTTCCGGGCACCTAATGAAGCGTCTGTAAGGTTTATTTGACAGGATATGCAATAGGGTGAATGTTGGGGGGGTGTCGCAGGGTTTCATAAAGGCCATGCAAGGGCGAACCTGCCATGCAATCTTGAAAGGGGCGCAAAACGTTTGTTTGTTTTTTAAGTCATGGCCTTAACTATTGAGCTCTTTTCCAGGTTTATCCTGTTAGCCATGAACAGTAGTGCGAGGTTGCTGCCTTGGCAATGGTTGAAGCCGTCAAATCGAGTTGTAGCTCAAGTTGCCTTCCGCATTGTGCTTGCCACAGACCTTGCGGCTAGCTGGCTGTATGGCTATCCTGTAAGCAGCAACCTACCTCGCCAGTGCATGCTGCTACTCCAAACTGTCAACCATTTGTCCAAAGAGATGTAGGGAGATGCTACGGCAACAAAGGTGAGTTTGTTGTGGCCAGCAGGGCTAGCCCTCATCATGCATTCACGCTACGACCCTGTCCATGCAACACGCCTTCAGGGAGGTCTTTCTTCCATGCATATACCGTCCCGCAAACGTTCAACTTCTGGCTGAAAAACACGCTCCATCACCTGCATTGAACTCCATGCTGCCAACCATTACACCTCCACCAGTCCTGTTACCGGCACCCAAGTAGGTTATGCGCGTTCCCCGCTTTCGCCCCTACAAAGGCAACGACTACTGCGTCGTCCCATACGCCCCTGCAAGTATCTCCAACAACTCCTCCTGTTCAGGCAACCCTGCCGGATTGCCAGGAAAGAAGAGCCGGTCCACGTCAGCAGGCGTGACGCTCTGCGGATTGATGGTCATGCGCCACGCGATTTGGCTTCGTTCAAAATGAAGCCCGCCTGCTTTCGTCGAGCACCAGTCAAAGTCCGGTGCGTACGTCCCAGACCTCATCATGCTGAGTACGACGTCTTTGAAGGAGACCCCGGGGTCTGCAAGCTTCTGGCGATGACGCTGCGCTAACGATGAGAGGTTTTGCCGTGTGACCCATACCTTGTCCGGCCCGTTGGGCTGCAGGGGCAATGGCCCAGGGGGTGGGGTGTTGTGGGAAAGGAGAGGGGAGAGTCAGGTGCAGGCGCGACTGTCAAGTGCAGGACAGCAGTCGTTGCTACAGCTTTGGGTTAAGCTGCTGCAAGAATGGGGAACGTCTGTGCCTTACGCGCAAGGATGTTGGATAAGCAGCGCCAGAGAGCCCTGACCAACCTACCTCTACGTCGTGGGAGTTTGACCCCAGATATTCTTTATAATGCCCCGAAGACAACTGTTAAAATTGGCAACTAGCAAAACGCATATTAAGCCAGAATCGTCTGCCGTGTATTCACCTCTTGTCCCTGGGGCGCAGCTTGCGCTTGCAAACCGGCCGGATGGGGGCCACCACCAGCGCCGCTCATTTTGCCGTGCAAGATAAAGTAACTAGATTCGTTATCTTTAATACTGTGGTGCTTGATAGAGATTATCAAATAGCGGCTGGAGTTGGCTGCTTGCTTGTAACAAATTTACAGCAGAATCGAGTAGCTTGTACAGTGGCAGGGCTGAGTATAAAGAGCTATTTTGAGTGCGCAACTTTAATTGGTGTGAATTGCGCGTTCAAAACATCTTTAGTCATACCAGTACTACGCGGCAGCAAGTGTGCTTGACGCTGCAGCGATGCTTTCTCGGTTCAATGCGCGAAGCCAGCAACAGCTGCCTGTGGTCGCTGCAGTGGCCGGCAACTTACCCACCACATCGTCGGTTACCGTTTACAAACTGTCATACAAACGTCGCAATTCCCTCTTGCCGCCGAAGAACCGCACGCATGCAGGAACGGGCTCCCTCACACACGTTCTTGCGGCTCGGTACTTGCGGCCCACCATTCGGCATATGCCTATAGGCTACAGCTACCGTGGCTTCATGGAGGGCACTAGGATGCAGCTGGATCTTCAACGGATCCTGGGTGTTACGCTGGCTCTAAGCGGCGCAGCAAAGCGGCTATTCCCCTGTTCTCCTGCCCAGGAAGGCAACAGCCGTTTCCTACGGGGATACGCAGTTGACACATCTGCAACTGGCAGAACACCATCAGCCCTCATTTCATGGAATCAGCCTCCATTGTTTGGCTTCAGCCACCATTCCACGGAATCAGCCACCATTCCACAAAATCAGTCTCCATTGTCTGGCTTCAGCCACCATTCCATAGAATCAGCCCTCATCCCATAGAATCAGCCAAGCAGACAGCCCCGCCTAGCTGGAACCGCAAACTCGCCTGAAATGCCTAAGCAAATCGGTATCAACACCAAAGCGGAACAGTTCCCATCCTCTCTGCAAGCCAGCCCTACCTGCAATCTTCCACACCAGCTCACTTCCTACTACCGCCGCATACTATAATGCCCCCGCTCCTGCATCCCAAGAAACCGCAACACAGCCTGCCTACAATCCGAATCCGGTATCTTGTGCCATGCCACCTCACCACATGCTCCAGAAGTACCGCCCATACCGGTACAGCCATCCGCCCATCGGGCATTGGGGGACTCCATCCATGCGCCCAGCCCCCATGTAACACCCGTCTGTCTTTTCCACTCCCTCGGTCTTCCCTTCCATGCACGGTCCCATCCCTCCGCTTCCATGCACGGTCCCATCCCTCCCTAATGCCCCGTCGCCCTACCCGGCATCGTCGCTACATCCATGCATACGTGACACCATCAGAAGCAAAGCTGCCGACCGTCGTCAGGGTTATAGCAGTTGAGGAAGAGCAAGCTCTCGACCGGCCCCTGGAGCAACACAACCCCAATCCGTCCTCGTCCAAACACCGCCTTAGCCACCCCCGTGCTCTACATGGACCCCTCTGTAACAGTCCGCATCCAAAACATACATGGACCCTACTGCCGCTGCTGCTGCGCCGGCTGCACGACATGCAGCTGCGACATGCCGTGCACAAGCGGTTGAACCACCACCGGTTGACCGTTGTACGACACATTTTGCGGCGGCGCGTACGACTGCATGTACATCATGGTCCCCGGCATGATGAAGGCGGGGGTGGCGACGCCCGGCGCCCCCGCCGTCGCCGCCACGGGCATCCCCATGGGCCGTACCGGCCGGGGACCGCCCATGTGTGGCGGCAGTGGCAGTGCGCGGATGACCGGCGGAACCATATGCGGCAGCGGCGGGACTGCATGCTGCGCCTGCGGGGCCACTTGTACCACTACCGGCGCCGGCGCCGACGATGCGGCAACAGAAGCCACCACCGGCTGCGGCTGTTGCGCCTGCTGCTGCTGCTGCGACTGCGGCTGCTCCTGCTGCGGTAGAGGCGACGGCGACGGTTGGCTAGCTGGCAGCGCCGCCACCACGACAGGAGCCGCCGCCGGGGCAGCGGCGGCGGTAGTCGCCGGAGGCGTCGCCGAGGCCGGCCTGGGCTGCCGGGTTCGGTTGCCTAGGAGGCGCTGAGCCAGGGGTGACAGCATGTCGATCTTGCTCACGAGCACGTAGGAGGCGCCCTCGTCAATGTCTTTCAGCAGGTTGCCCAGCGGAAGGAAGGCTGCTGCTGGAGGCACCATGGGGGGCTTGATGTCCGCGTCCGTGCCGCAAACCAGCGTCTGTGAGGGGCGGAGGTGGGGTACAGATTACAAACACGCAATGCGCCCTCTTTATCGCGCCCTTTTCCCTGCTCCTCCCCTTTTTCTTTTCCTAAGCCGCTCCCTCCTCCCCTACATAGATTTGTACTTCATTTTTGACGCCCTGTCTTCCCCCCTCACCTCCTCATGCAGCTCCCGGCAGCCCGCCACATAGCTCAGCATCATCTGCTCCGGGCTGTACGGCCCCCGAATGGTGCTGCTCTCGCTGTCCACATACCACCAGTTCGCACACAGCGCCGCCTGGCCGCGCTCTCCCAGGAACAGCCGCAGCGGCGGCGTCTCAAACGCCGGTTGCACTCCGTAGTTGAAGTCGCCCAGGAAGGGGCTGGGAGGCAGGGCCGCCACGGCGTTTGCGGGAGAAACGGTACCGTCCGCGGCGTCGGCGGCTGCGTCGGCGGCGGAGCCGTTGCCGCTGTCAGCGCCGCTATCGGCGGCGGGAGCTGGTGCGACGGGTGATGGGCAGGGTGCGTCGAAGGGCTGCGGCATAATCCAGTTTGCTGAGTTGAGTATCGGATCCAGCGCGGGATCCGGAACTGGGGGCGGTGGCGGAGCCGCTACGGACGAAGACGAACCGGCGGGTCGGCTACCGCTGCCGGCATCCGCCGTCGTGCCGCCTCGAGAGGTGCTGCTGCCGCCGGCTGACGTCCCAGATGCTGCCGCTGCACCCGCGGCTCCCACTCCTGCTGACGATGATGCGGCTCCTCGACCGCTCTGACGGCTGCTGCTGCTAGCTGCACCCGCGCTGCCGCTAGCTGAGCCCCTGGGCTCTGCCGGCGGCGCCGCATCAAACCCGGGGATGGACGCCTCCTGCGGCGGCAGTACCCCCGGCGGCAGCGCCAGCGGCCTTACCTCACGTCGTGCTCCAATCGTCGTGAACAAACCCTGGCTTCGGATCTCCCTGAGCTCCGCCAACGTCACGGGCAAGTACGGCCTGCCGTAGTCGTGCATGTAGAGCAGCGCACCCAGGGGCATCATGACGCAGGGGGGCACCCAGAGGTTGGTGGGCGGGGAGGTGTCCAGCAGCCCCACCACCATGGTGTATTCGGAGAGCAGCCCCTGGTTAAACATGTTGTACAGTTCCTCCGGCGAGGTGCCGATGGCCACACGAACGGAGCTGGCGGATACGTGGAAGGAGTACACGTGGCACCAGCAGCGGGCTGCGTAGAAGAGGCGGATGACGTGATTGGCTGGGGCGCGGGTGAGTTCCGCGGGGGAAGCGCCGGCGGTGGCTAGGGCGGTCATGGCGGCTGCGTCCTCGGGTGCGGCTACCACGGGCGGGCGACACCAGCCCGCGGGAGGGAAGCCCTTGGCGTCCTCCTTGTCGGTGATGGCTCGGTAGTTGTTGCCGGAGGCGATGAGTTGGAGCAGGAAGTCCAGGGTACGGAAGAAGCAGGCTGGGACGGGGCGTTGCGGCTGCTTGGAGGTCTTGAAGCCGGCGAGCATTGTGGCGCGGCAGAGTTTGCCCTGTTCGAAGATGTTGACTAAGCCTTGACTGGGAAAGAAGTTGTGGCCTGGGGCCTGGGTTGGGGATCGGGATGGAGAGATGGATGGAAGGGGGTTGGTGAAGGGCAACTGAAAGACAAAGGATGGGTAAGTGACAGTATGAGCAAGGACGGGCGCGCCTGTGGGCGGTCCTTAACGGGTGTGGCTTCTGGCGAGTTTAGCGGTGTGCACTGCGGGATGCGGTTGCCGCAAGTCAGGCAGTTGCCCTCGCGCACATGCATTCTGCTACCGTGAAGCCCGATGGGAACGAGCTCATACTAGATTCTTATCGCCATCTGGAAATAGGACTAGCTTGCATACAGCGTACTGCCATGGCCGCCAAGCGCAGATTGTCGCAGCGTAGGCAAGGAAACAGGGCCTCAATAGTGCGCACCTCTTCCATCGTGTGATCGAAGTGCATGATAACGGCCCAGTGGGTTGCACATTCCGATAGCTTTTTCACTAGCTCAGTGGTAAGGAGGTTATGACCAAAAGTATGCTCCCCTGTGAAGTCTTCTTTATCCCTAGGTCCTTGCCGTTTCGCCATTGCCATCGGTGGAAAGAAACTATGCGATCAGAGGTTAGCGGCCGATCCGAGGTACCAGTACTGATGTTTGCAGGCAGCCAGGTAGGAAGAGTGATTCTTCACCGTGAAGGGCTCAAAGGTATAGCAATAAGCAAACGTGGCCTTTACTTCAATTACGCGTGCTCCCTGTGTTCACCATGCCGAGCCGACGACTTGGTTGTACGTTGCCGTGCATTTCCGCGGGATGATGGCGATTTTTCTCAGACCTGCGCTGCAAGGTTTGGCATGGCATATACTTATAGTAATAAACTTTAAAAATTAGGACGGTCGCTGCAAACGCCTCGCCAAAGTGGCTGTTGGTGAAGAATGAGCACACAAATGGCCCGCCGGCAATTCAGCGCACAAAGGCAACAGGCCTTAAATAGACAACAATTCATCTCAAGGCGGCCGTTAATAACGTGTTCAACTTCGGCGGCAGGGACTCCCAGCACAGCTTCCGTTGGCGACATCACAAGCGTCTACACCAGTCAAGCATACTCCCACAAGCGAGCAGTAGGACCCGTACAGCTGGAAATTGTACCAGGTGGGCTGTGCAGCAGCGGAAAACCAGGCTTGGAAACCAGGCATTAGTAAGGCTTAGGCGGTCACACCCCTGCCTGATCGACGACACTGCATGGTTCTAGTTTAGGACCATCGGTTCCGAGGTTCAACACAACACCTGTACCTTTTACCATGTCCTTGTCCTATCCTGACTTCAGTTTCATCCCTGTGTACTACGCCACTTTCCACGACGATTTCTGAGGACAGGCAAGGGCCTCGGCTGGCGTGCATCTCGTGACGTCGCAACCGGTGAGCTGCTGCTAGCGTCGCTGCCACTGGTCGTGATGTACGGCAGTCCAGGCGAGCCGCCCTCCAATGATGATCTGTTAATGGCAGTACGGCAATCGTACCCGCGATTAACCAAGTTGGAGCGACGCTGGCTGGGGCTGTTATGTGACTGTTGCGCCACCACCGCCCCAAGCACCCAACATGGTACGACAGCACCTGCAGCAGCGGCGGTGCCACCGCCAGCGGCGGCAGCAGCAGCGTCGACGGCGGCGTCTGCGGTCTGTACGACAGAGGGGCTGCTAGCTCAGGCAAGAGCACTGCTGGCGGAAACGGCGGCAGGGGTGGCGGAGAGGGACGTTACGTCGTCGTCAGCAGGCGCTGAGGCCAGCGGAGGCAGCAACGCTGACAGCAACCCTGCCGCTGGCGCCGCCGTCGACGCCCCCTCGGCTGACGGCCTAGCACCCCTAACACCGCTACTCCCGCTTCTGATCCAGCGGTACAGCTACTGCGAACCGCGGGAAGACCCGGCTGTAGCCGAGCTGCAACAGCTTCCGCCGGAGGCAGCCATGAGCCCAGCAGGGCTGTGGCCTGAGGCCGCGTTGCTTAACCACAGCTGCTGCCCCAATGCCTCAGTGCTGCTGGTGGGAGGCGCCATGTATGTGCGGGCGGGCAGGGCGCTGCTGCAGGGAGAGGAGGTGACGGTGTCGTACCTGGGAGGGAAAGGTGGGTGGCGATGACGCGATGCGGAATGAGGGATGCGGTTGGGATAGCGGTACAGGTGTATTCAGGTTAGAGGTTGCTAGGTGCATCACGGTTTGGGAGTTGGGAGTTGGAGGGAGGTTGCCTGGGGTTGCTTTCAGCTGGTGCTGGCAAATGTCGGCCCGGTCCAACCCGATCACCCCCCGTGTGCCTTGTCGCACTTCATGCTGGGCGATGCTCCCGCCTTGACTGCCGCCACAGGTCTCTTCCAGGACGTGGCTGAACGGCGGCGGCAGTTGCGGGGCAGCCACGGCTTCATCTGCTGCTGCCCTCGCTGTATCATGGAACACGAACACTTCCCCACCCGCCGCTACCCGGAACTATTGGAGCAGCAGAAGCAACAGCAGCAGAAGCAACGCACGAGGAACAGTAGCAGCAGCAACAGCAGCAGCGGCGGCGGCGGCGGCGACGGCGGCGACAGCAACCAGGGTATAGATGATTCCTTGCTTGCTTCAGCGCTCATGAGCCGACGGGGCGCAGGCGTCAACAGCACTGCTGCTGCTGCTGCTGGTGGCGGTGGCGGTGGTGGCGCTAGAGCAAAGGGGCCGCTGCAGGCGGTGCTGGATGCGGTTTTCGGGCCCGGTCGTTTCCGTACCACGGGGCTGGCGCCAGATCACCGAGTGCTGGCGACAGCCAATGCGGTGCTGGCGGCTGAGTGGGAGGCGGCGGCGCATTCGGCGCTGACGGCGGCGACGGCGCCGCGACGGCAGCAGGCGGAATTGCTTGATAAGCTGGAAGGAGCGCTGGGGGCGGTGGGTGGGGATGAAATGAGGGACGGGGTGAGGCTATTGTGCATAGCCGTTAGTTTTCCACTCGATTTTCCTCATGACGGCTTCTTTTGTTGGTGGTGTTGGTTGCTTCGCAGGTTGAGAGCGCGTGCTCCTACCTAGATCTGCCGCCCAAGGGTCGGCTTATGGTGTTCGCATCAGTGTACGGCGTCGTAAGGCTGACGTGTGATCTTGCGGAGCTGCTAGCCATGACTACGAGTACGACGAGTACGGCAACGGGGGCGACGGTTAGAGGTAACGGTATCAACGGTTTTGAAGCGCGTGGTCTAGTGGATCCGAAGTCGGATGCAGCAGCGGCAGCAGCAGCGGCAGTGGCAGCGATAGGAGGAGGGAAAGTAGGGGCATCAATGGTTTCGGAGCGAAGGCTACAGCTGCTACAGCTGGCGGCAGCGGTGACGGAGTCCGTGGCTCCTGGCAGTGATGCTCACGTGACGGCAGCGGTCAAGGTAAATGACAACAAATTAGTTTTTACCTTTTTACCTTAATGCTGCACATGTGCGCATTCCACTGAACTCTGGTGGTCCTAGAGAACTACTGGCATCGCATGGACGTGTGCAGAGCACGGTTTGCAGTACACCTGTACGACAGCATACTTACCGTTGAGTCAGGCAGTTGTTACCGCGCTTTGTCGTTCAACACCACTCCCCGCTCATGTAGTCGCGTGACAACCCTTTTACCCAAAGGCGGCAGGCGTGGCTCGACGCGTGTACGGCTCGCAACATCCGGAGGCGCGACGAGCGGAACTGGCGGCGGCGACAGCCCACGTGGCTCGGTACGGCAGGGAGCTTTTGGTCGAACCAGAGCTGCGGCGGCGGTTAGCGGCTGTACGGCAGCGGCTGGCGACGGGGTGGGGCCTGGCGGCGGCGATTGGGGTGCTTGCATGGGAGGAGCAGGTAGTAGGGGGAAGCGGCGGAGGCGCAGGAGGGGCAGGCCGTAGGTGGTGAGCGGAGTTCAGAGAGCAGCAGGAGGTTGCCGCAATGGAGGTGTTGGTGGGAAATTCCGTTGTGCCAGACGGAAATCCCTTTGTGCCGTGTCTGGAGGTGGCAACTGGATTCCAGTGGATGGAGATGGTGGGAAGTGGTAAGCTGGTTTGTCGTGCATTCAGGTTCGCAGTTTGCTATACACGAGCTGCTCTCAAGGAAAACGCAGCTCTGGCAAGTGTAATGGAGCAAGCACTGGTGCCTAAATGGTAGCTTGTGTACGATAATGTATCGCATCAGACCCATTATGGGATTCACGCTTGCTGAGGCCATCGGTGCTATATAACTGAAATCTGGACTGTACGATTTACGGAACCTTGTCGCTGCGCAAGATGACTGAAACGAACATATCCCTACCGGCTTCACGGGGAAAGTGTTATTGATTCATGCTATGTTTTTATGGAAAACCACTAAAGTTACTCATGTGCGGCTGTGGAGGGTAACTGGTGTCTTTGCAAAGAAGGAAGGAGAAAGGGGCTAGAGTAAAGGATAACGTACCAGAAATTTTTCCTCTGGCTCCAAAGCATTGGCCCCCATATAGTACAATACTTGTACGGCGCTTGCAAGACGCTTCTTGCAGCAGTTTCTAGGGCTGGGAGCACCACAAGTAATAGAGAAGGCTTGCAGAAGTTACAAAAGACGCTTTCCTTGCCCCTCTCTTTCATGGCACTGGTTATGGACAATTATGTGCGCTATCCGCGGAAGCCAAAGTTACTGTCTCAATAGTTGTCCAAGAGAACTTTATGACTCTAGCGTGCCCCGACCAAAACAGTAACCTTTATAGGCAGTTTGCGCTTACCTCGCGGTGCCGTCTCACCTTCTGCACTTAACATATTCCATAGCTTTATTTTAGCGTAATGAGGATGTTTTGGGACATTCACACTCCTGGCGTCACCTCTGCTCGTCAAGATACCGACACGGTGGAGCTCTGAGGGCCGAGTAAGGGCGGAGAGGAGGACGCAACCACATGGCCGCGTCGGTGGCCTTTCTCCACCAAGTGGAGTACGAAGCTGCCTTAAATGAATACGTAAGGCTCTGGATACGCGCTCTGCCCCAATGCAACCAAACGGTTACCTTCGCGTTTCAACGCGTTTTGAACGTATTATAGCAGCCGAATCTGCACACGGCATATCTTGTGTTCAGTACACATTTTTAGTGCCTCTCGAGCCTTTTCAGCGTTCCGAAGTCTTCACTAATACAACGTCCGGGGCAAATGTAGGAGGAGGAAGCCAAGCGGCACCATGAAGAAGAGGAGCAAGAGCTTGCCGCAAGAGTTAATAGCGATGATGCAAGGGTTGGCCTCCAACGGGCAAAGGTGCGCGCGACATCCGCAATTCGGCATGGGTCGGTACAAGTATATGTCGCTGACTTCAATGAATGGGGAATGGCGCTTTGCTATGTGTGCTGCCGCGCCTTTAGTATTGTCATGTATGCGCTATGGGCGAGCGTATTGTGTTGTTACGAAGCCATGGTCAATACCAACGTTCCCGGTGGTCCTAGCTAGTTCTGGAGTTCTGGCATGTGCAGTGGTCGTGGGATTACAAGACAGACAGCTTCCCTTCCCTCCTACTGAAGCTGCGCTTTTGTCTGGAGCCTCCACTAGCGCAACGAATCGACACATCCTGGAGCTTGCGGACAGCCCGGCTAGCCCCTGGACCCGCATCAGCGGCATATGGCACCCAAGTCGGAGCCTGGAGCAATATAGTGGCATTCTGGCAGCAGAAATGATGTCGCATCAACCACAGCGGAACCCGGCCCTAAGAGGAGGCAGCAACCCTTTGAAGAGGCAGCAGCCCATGGCGCAGCAGGAATAGCAGCAGCAGAGAACGCACATTCCTGGCTCGTTGCGGTAGAGTGAGCAGCTCGACAGCGGCAGCAGCGAAACCAGCAGTTGTCAATGCCGGCGACATGGACTGCGCCACGGTATAGCGCTTCCATGGTAGCGCTACACTGTGAAAGCAGCCTTGCAGAACACAGCAGTAGTGCCAGCCCAGCCCAGAAACGACCCAGATCGCCAAACACCTTCGTAACGCTCAGCTCCTGGCACTCCTCTAGTTGTCAGCAACCATTAACACACCAGGGCGCTTTGCTGCGTTCGCTCACCCAGGTGCCCTAGCGGCACCCACCGCAGCCATCCTAGTGCTCAAGTCCGCTACACCTCCGTAGTACTGTCCCCATTGTCCTTGCTCAGCTTCGGTTGAGGTTCGGTTAACGCCCTGCGCTGCCACCCCATTGCGTTTCTCCCTTTCCAGCCGCAGAATGGTCGGGCGGTGGGCGGCATGCAGACCTTGCGGAGGAGCGTCCTCAAGGGGCACGGTGAGCTAGTGCGGGAGCTGCGGGAGGAGGGGACGGGAGCTGCTGCTGCGGCTGCTGCTGCCGATGACGGTGCTGTAGTTGCGGCTGCTGTTGTTCTCGCAGTCCCAGCCTTTGCGTCTCCTCCTTCCTCCATACTCCCTTGACACATACTACCTTGACAACCCCTAACACACCATACCTGAACACCCGTTCTCTTCCATCCCTGACTCCCATTCCCATGCCCCTTGCCTCTACCCCACCGCACCCCACCATGCACCAGGCGCCCACCTACCTGTAGCACGGTCCTCCGCCTCGGCAGTCGCGCACTGGCTGTCGGACCAGCGTACCCAGAACCACAACTCAGCGGCACGGCCGGGCTCAGCAGCAGAAGGCTCCAACGGTCATGGCCGCACAAGTATGCATGGCCTCCGTGCTTCCGGTCCGGGGCAGCTGCTGCTACCGCCAGGGCCGGCGTCTGCAGCTGCGAGCGGTGCGGGCGACGCGTTCGTGGGGTCGTCAGCGGCAGCAGCAGCATTTAAGGCACGCAACGGTGGATTTGGAGGAGGAGCGGCTTTCAAGGCATCGTCCAAGCTGCTGCAGTCGCAGCCGTCGATGCTGCGGCGCAGCAACAGCTACATTGAGATGCCGGGGCTGTGGCACCGGATAACCCACGTCGATGTGCGCGGCGTCACGGACAGCATCCTACCCATCTGCAACCCAGATACGGTTCCGCGACGTGTTTGGGATTTGATGGTCATGTCACTTGTCATCTGGACCGTGATCACCGTCCCTCTGAGTGTCAGCTACGGGCTACCCCATAACATGACATTTGAGGTGATTGGCTACCTCATAACCGGGCTGTTCCTGCTCGACGTGCTGGTAAACTTCCGTACGGCGTACTACAATTACCAAGGCGAGCTGGTGCGCGACTCCACAGCCATCGCCTCAAACTACCTTAAACTCTGGTTCTGGATTGACTTTTTCGGAACCATCCCCTTTGATTCTATCGTCATGTGGACGGGGGCGCTCGGGGGTACGGCAAACGACAGTACGACACTCGCGGCGCTTGGGTTCCTGAAGGCCCCTCGCATGCTGCGTCTAGGCAGGTTGTTGCGGTTCTTGGATAGCTACAAGAACGCCAAGATCTTTCGGATCGGACAGCTGTTCTTGACCATGTTGTTGATCAGTCACTGGCTGGCCTGCGTGTGGTACATGATGTACCGGTTCGGCGGCAAGGACCGGGCGGAGTTCTGGGCGTTTGAGATTGCGAGCAGCGAGGGCAACACTGGCAGCGAGCTGTCGTACTACGTCGTATCCTACTACTACAGCTTCTTGCTGCTGGTAAGTTCTGCTAAAACCCTAAACCCTAAAACCCTACTACAGCTTCCTGCTGCTAGTAAGTTGTCGGCGCTCAAGCACAACAGCGAGTTCTCTTCTCCATACGTGCCTTCCCCTTGAGCCTCCTGCCGCTCCTCCTGCACCCGTGCATCCCGCCCTCTGCTCCTCTTGCTACACACCCCTGACCCGCCTGCGCCTAGCCATCGTGTTAAGCATTAGGACGCCCTCCCAGTCGTTACCCACCGCCTTCCTGTGCAATCCACAGCCTTTCGGTGTAAACAGTGTAATCCACCGCGCTGCTGTGCAGGTGGGCGACAACATTTCCGCCTACAACAACTTTGAGCGCGCCTTCGTGGTGGTGGTCCTCATCGCGGGTACTTTCTTCTACTCGGCAGTGGTGGGCCAAATGGCAACCCTGGTAGCCACCATGAACGTGGCCGTCAACAGACACGGGTATGCGGGCGCGCTTCGTTCTGTTGGGTGTACTATAGCAGTAGTAGTGTACCGGTAGGAGGATCCACCCACCCCTCCTCCTCCCCCCGCCACCTCCTCTGCTGCATGCTCACGCCCATGCTACTCCCCCACCTCTCTCCCTCCACTATAGCTCAAAGCGCACGGTATGCCTTTCTTCCCACCTCCCTCCCTCCTTCCCTCCCTTCCTCCGCTCCCAGCCAAAAGCTGCTGATGGTTCAGGACGCGCTGCGCTACGCCGGCGTGCCGGACGAGCACAGCGAGAAGGTGCAGTGCTACTTTGAGTTCCTGCAGCAGCGGTCGCACCCGGGCGCAGAGGGCATGCAGTTCTTGCAGGAGCTGCCGGCGGCGCTGCACCTCAGCCTCTGCAAGTTCCTTCACAGGCGGAGTCTGGACAAGGTGATGATGCAATGGAAGGGAGGGTGTGTGTGCTAAAATAACTGGCCGCGAGGCGGAACGTACTGTGATTGCCGGAAGATGAGGTGCTCCCACAGAAACGCCACAAGTGGGTGTGTGTGCATGGGTGGGGGTGTAGGATGGACCGTGATCTTTCGCCGGGGCCTTTGTCCCCTTCCATGCACCCCACCCGCCTTGTTGTCACTCCACCACCCCCCCGTCCTTCCCAACTCAGGTCCCCCTGTTCAAGGACTGCGAGGAGGGCTTTCTGTCCGCCGTGTCGCTGCGCATCCGTATCCACTCGCTCAGCCCGCGTGAAGTGATTTTCCGAGTGGGTGACGTGGGCAAGGAAATGTACGTCATCAAAAAGGGCAACGTCGCCGTTACCTCCCCCAGCGCCCAGATGTGGGGGCTGCTGGGGCCCGGGGAGGTGTTTGGGGAGGTGGCGCTGCTCAGTACGGGCAAGCGTACGGCGAATTGTACGGCACTGGGCTTTGTGGATCTTGCCGTGCTGACGGGACCGGACCTGCAGGTAGGACTCCGTACGGGACTCCTCAGACATTTTATTAGGGTCCCTGGAGTCAACTCACAACTTCGCCGCACGACACAGCCACCAGCCAGGCAAACTACAGAACAATAGTTATTGATAATAACTTCCTAATAGGTGCCTTGTGAGCGCCGGAAGGTGCTTCCGCGGCCACCTACAACTAACCATCGCAACCAGTTACGACTGGCTCAGCAGTGACTTGCCAACATACTAAAGCAACAAATCTCATATGCCTAGCTCCTTATTCCACAACAGCTAGCGCGTAACAAAGGCACAGCGTTTAGGTTTGCTTGGGCACATTGTGCATGCGGTAAGTATGTCGACCACACCAATTTGAAGGCAGAGGACAATTGATACTATTATATAACGTTATAACATACTCCTCGGTGTATTTGCAATTGCGATAACTAGTCATTTTAGGAGGGTTGTCCGATGACTCCAGGGAGCCAGATAAAATGTCTGAGGACTCCAAACTGGCGTCCCTGCAGGTACGGTAGAGCAGTACATGTGCGTGTGCGTTATAAAAAACTGGCCGCGTGTTTATTAAGAAAATTGGATGTGTGTGTTTGAAGGGAAGGGAAGGAGCCTCCTGTAGGCATGTACAGCCTCTGCCCCGGGCCTACTGGTAGCTTGTTTGGCTGTGTTACCGGCAGCGTGTACCGGTGTCACGTTTCTTGTCCACTGCGCCAAACCTTCTGTCCACCCCTCCATGTTGCCGTATCCCCAGGCGGTTATGAAGGACTACCCGGTCAGCGCTGCGCTCATCCTGGAGAGGGCAACGCAACGGGCGCAGGCGCTGCAGGTGAATGGGGGGGGACTGGGTTGGCAGGCTGAGCACCGGGAAACGAGCAGCGAGGAAGCACTGAGCGTGACCATCATTGCAGGATGTCGTTTGAATCTATCGGCGCTTAGAGTCTAGCGGAAGCTAATTGGATATATGGCTTACTGCTTCTCGTCTACCGCATGTTGTCGCATGCAGACCAAGAGCAAGATGTGGCTAGAGCTCTCAGATGACGAGGATGACATGTTCTTCGACGGGGAGGAAGGCCAGCTGGAGGAGAGCGAGTACGACGGCGGTCGGTCAGACGACGTCAGCAGCTGTACGCCCTCCAACGACGGCGGTGGCGGCGGCGACGGCGATGGTGGCGGCATGGGTGGCTCAGCACCAGCCAAGAATCCGTCGCTTTCCGGTGACTCAGGTGATGCATGCAGCATAAGTACCGTTAACGACTACAGTTTCACAGGTGGCCGCGGCCGCGGCGGCACCAATGGCGCCATTGGCGAAGCCGCGGGGGATGGGGCGTCAACCTCAATGCACGGCATTGGTTTCGGTGACGGCGCCGCCGCCGCCGCCGGCACCGATGGCGGCGGGGGTTACATTGTACGGCGCTTACCGCCGCTAACAGCCCGACAGAACTCCGAGGTCAGCATGGTGGAATCGGCGGCGCCGTCGGTCACAGTTGCTACAGCGCCGATGACGACGACATCGCTGTTGCTGCCGCCGCTCCCCTCGCCGCGACCGATGAGTGCCATTAACGGCAAGCGGTTGCCAACTGCCTGGCACGATGGCAGCGGGGGCACGGAACCACGGCGGTCGAGGTCCGTCCCTCAGGCGTCCGTTGAGTTGCCGACCTCGCCGCCATCGGTAGCGATAACGGATTTAGCAGAGATTTCTCGCCAGCATCCCTCTGGCGCCTCGATAGACGTGGAAGGGCTTGGTCGCGGAGGTCTTGAGGGCACGGGAGCAGCAGCAGCAGCAGCAACGTCCATGGCGGATCCCAACCGACCTTTGCCCTCGCATTGCGACTCGCACCTGAGCGGTGTTGCGGTGGAGGACCAGCTGCCACTTCCGTCGCCATCCATACTACTGGGGTCTGGGTCGTTCAAACCCGCGACGCTGCTGACCACCGCTACCCTCCCTTGTTCTGCTCCCATGCCCATGCCGCACAGTCATGCCATGCCGGCATTCATTAACGGCGCATCATCCATGTCTCCCAGCGCGCATTCACTTCGTTGCGGGATGTACCGTACGGCATCGCAGCGCCGCCGGAGTTCCGTACGTACCGACGCATCCCCTTCATCTCCCTGGCGAGACGCCGCCGCCGTCGCAGCAGCATCCTCATCACCGAAGGGCGCCGCCCCGTCATGCATGGACTCCCATGCAAGCCTGCATCGGATTTCAATCGCCTCATGGCTTCCGGTGGGGGACGACGACGGCGCTACCGGCGCTGCTGGTAACGGCGTCTCCGATGCCGTTGGCGCACATGATTACCTGGAGGCTGATAGCGGTGCCTTGAATGGGGAACGGCCTTTCCACAATGTTGACGGTAACAGCGACGGAGGTTGGATGGGCTCGCAACAGCTGCGTCGGAGAAGCTCATCTGACTTGGGCGTCCATCTGTTTGCTGTCGCAGCAGCACCCCCAGCGACAAGAAGCAGGCTGTCTGTGCAACTGAACAGGTCTGTTCCGGCTGCGATGCCGCCGCCGCCGGCAGCGGCGGCGGCGCTATCCTCGCCTCCTCCGCCTCCACAACCGCATCAGCAGTACTACCGGCACGAAAAGCAGCGGCTCGACGACGTCGATATTAACTACTTCGCAGTCAGTGGGGGCGGCGGCGCCGCCGGCGGGGGCAGTGCGGAGCTTATCCTGGAGCGGGATTCCTCAGTTACGCTGCTTGAGCGTTTCGGATCCTCATCCTTGCGACCCTCTGAAAGCCCCCTGATATCCTGCACGGGAGACGGAGAGCCGGGAGGCAGCGCCGCCGCCGCGGTGGCAACACCGCCGCCGCCGGCATCCGCCGTACGATACTCGGCTTCCCAGCCGAACGCCGCCGCTAAGCGAAGCAGTCGTGAGACATCTTTGGATCAGCCGAATCGGCGTCGGGGAACCTCGCCGCAGTCGGGGCATGCCGCCGCCGCTGGCTCGGCAGCAGTCGCTGCGATTGCTGCCGCCATCGCCGGCGATCCTTACTGGGAATCCGCCGCCACAAAGGCTGTATCCGCATCAGCCGCGTTGATTCGTGCGAATAGTCGGGGTGGCAGCGGCGGCGGCGGCGGGGCGTCCGGCATCCGCTCAGGACCCCTTGGAGAAGCCGTCGAGGACGGCGCAGCAGCAACAACGACAACAACATCCTCGGTACTCTCGGACGCAGCTGGATCTGCTATCCCATACGGCAGCAGCAGCAACAACAACAACAACCTATCCAACGGAAGCATGCACCACCGTCTCAGCGGCCTAGGCGGCGGCTCACTTGCCGCTAACACCGGCCCCATCAGCGGCGTACCCCCAGCAGCCTCTGCCGCGTCAGCATCCATGTCCCGGCGCTCCGTAACGGGCTTGCCCCTGCACAACAGGACCAACTCGGGGACCAACGGCACCGCGGCGGGTACGACAGGAGTGGCTAGTACGACCTATCCTAGCCCGATAGGCGTCCCGCCCGCCAGCCTCTACCTTCAAAGGATCTCCTTCACCATTGCATCTCCAGCTCGCTCGCCCTCGCTTCCTCATGGACAGGACTCCTCCTTGCATGCCAGTCCAAGTCCCAGCCTCGCCCCACAGGCCTCCGCCGCCGCCACCACTGCTCCGGCCGCCACCGCAGCAGCAGCAGCAACAACCCCCACGCCTGCCCCACAGTCGCTGTTGCCGCCGGGAGCGGCCATATTGCGCCTAGCCCGGCGAAACAGCAACTACACTTTGTCGCATGAGAACTCCAGCTCGCTTAACGCCGTACCGATGCCCGCTAATGGATCTCCAATGCACTCTCCCGGCGTCGGAATCGGCGTCGGAATCGGCGGTGGCGGTGGTGGCCTGCTCGGCGCTTTGGTGCGCCGTGCCACACACCGAACAAGCGTAAACAACGGACCAGACGCGGCGCTGTTCGCAGCGGCGGCAGCGCAACCGCGACACGGACAAACACATGCAGATAACGATGGCCACGGCGAGGCTGCCGCCGGTGCTGCTGCCGGCGGTGGTGGCAGTGGTGGCGGAGGCGACGGCTTGGAGTGGATTAGCACACGCGTCGGCCGACGTTTCCGTCACAACAGCGTTGAGATCCTACATGAGGAGGAGCTAGCAGCCCTGGCGCCGCGGCCTGCCACAGCAACCTCGACGCAGGCGGCAGCAACAGGGGCGACCTATGCCAAGCAGAGCTTTTCAGGCGCTACTAACCACTCGACGACGACGGCGCATGGCAACCGGCGCCACTACACGCGCAGCAGCGCCGAGGGCGGCGGCCGCCGCGGCAGCGTGGAAAGCCTGCAGACGTCCGTTCGTCAAGACGACGTGGACAACAGCATGCACGGCAGTGTTGGCGGCGGCGGCGGTGGTGGTGGCGGATCTAGGCGGTTGAGTACCCAAGACACCACGTGTAGCCGCTGCAGCCGCTGCGGTACCCATGGCGGGGGGCAGTCTCGGCCTCCGCCAGCGCCTGCACCGCCGCCGCCATCGCCGCCGCTGCCGCCACCTCCTGACGGAGTGTTCGTGCCTCGGGCCGCGTGGAAGGAGCTGCTGCAGGTGAGCGTTGATTGAGTGGTGCTGGAGCAGGGTAAAGAAGAAACAAGTAAATGACTACATAACAGTTAGTTAGGAAGGCGTCATCATGGTTTGCAACATGAGTAGGGTGGTGGGAGTTGAGTGGAGCGGAGTGATGTTGGGGAAGCGGGTAACGCTGGTTCCGGGTGTGAAAGAGCTGAAGGCGCCAACACATGGTTGCCCTTGCCATCACACCCATTCCCATCCCTCGTCCTCGTTTACATTATAGTCTCTTCCTCCGCCAACCTCACCACCGCATCGCAGGCCGTATCACGCCTAGGCTTCTTCGAAGACGCTGTTCAACAGCTGCTCGACCTGGTTTCCCAACAAGACGAGGCCCTAGGCCGCCTGGAGGCACGCGCCGAGCGGGCCGCTGCACTAAACGCTCACAGCGCCCATGGGGCCCACATCAACGTCTTGGGCATCCACGAGCACCATGCACACCACCATTTGGAAGCCCTAACCAGCTCCACCAGTGGTGGCGCAGCCGGCGGTGCCGCCACCTCCACCGCCGCCACCGTTGCGGCCGTTAACGCCGCCGCCAGCGCGGCTCGAGCGGCGCAGATTGCCATGCTGGGCGGCGGGCCGTTGCCGCCGCTGCCGCTGCCGCCGCCACCGCAGCAGCTTAGGTCTGGGTTGGCCAGGACGGGCAGCACGCTAAGGTTGGGGGCGGGAACAGGCAGCGGCGGTGGCGGGATTGCAGGGGCTGGTACGGGCCCTGGTGCGAGGTCAGGGCAGCGGAGCAACGGCAACGGTTCAAGCGCGGCAATGGTAACGGCGGCGGCCGCTGCCGTGGCGTCCACGGGTACCGCGACCTCACAGGTGCGTCGTGAGGCAGTGCGGAAACAAGCCGCCATGACACGGCCTCCCTGGTTGCCTCTCGCCCTCTATCCTCCCTTGCCCACCGTCCTAGCATTACTCACACCCCCCATGCCTTCCCTCTTCCTTTCCTTTCCGCCTTCCCTTCCCTCCCTGCAGCAGTCCTCATCCGGAGCAGCCCGCATGAGGGGCGCAGTTCGCGCCATGGCTGCGTCATCACGTCTCAGACTTGCGCTTGCAAACCGCGGCGGCGGTCCCGTGCCTTCTAGCTCGACGTCTAGCGGCGGAGGCGAGAACCCTGGCCATGCCACCTCCATGGCAGGCGGAGGCGGCGGAGGCGGCAGTGACGCCGGCTACGGCAGCAGCAGCGGTAGCCTGCCTGGGGAATGCATCCGTGCACAGGGTGACAGTAACGGTGGGGAGGCTGCACCGACGGGGCAAACGCCGCATGCGTCGCTGCCCGGGGGTGCGTTGGGGGTGCCGCATGCGGGGCCCAGAAGCGCGCTGAAGAGGAGTGTTTCTGTTCAGCAGTAGGCGACGGTACTGCTAGTAGGCGGTGGTGCAGCAGTAGGCGACGGCAGCAGTAGGCGACGGTACTGCTAGTAGGCGGTGGTGCAGCAGTAGGCGACGGCAGCAGTAGGCGACGGTACTGCTAGTGGAGCGCACGGATCACCGGTATCCTACCGGTGTAGGCATGTGTGGAGCACGTGGGGGGGGGGAGATGGTGGTGGTGGTGGTGGTGATGGCGCGTCCTCACCACAGAAGAACGTGGTTGGCTGTTTTGGAGAGCTCGAGTGACCCGGGTCATGTTGACTGCAAGCTCATGAGTTGCTGGGCGAATACTGTCTTTGTTTGGACTGGATGACTTGAGGAATTGCTGAGGAGTTGGGTTTGTTGAAGAGTAAATATTGGCGAGTGCTGCTAGTAGGGGTCATGCTTTTCGTTACTAGGTCTGACTGAAACTTGGTCTTGGACTTGAGAGCCGACGGTTAGGATGGCTGGTCAGGCGGGGTCACGAAACTTAAAGTACGGCACGGTAACCGGTTCGCGTCCGGGCGCGTTCCTTCTTACTGCTTTGACTCGGGCGCGTGACTGCGTGCCATCGCATGACATGCGTGCTAGCGATGTGTGGTTGTCCGGCTGGGCTTCTTGGTATGCGGGCTAGTAGCTGCGGCGAGTGCCAGAAGATCGGCACCGTGCAAACATTTGCTGCAGTGGAAGTGCTCGTTTCCTTTTGTGCTTGCTGAAAACAAAACAAGGTTGATGAAGTGCAGCTTGTATCTGTGAGCTCTGAGTCTGTGAAGAATGTTTCAGCAGTGGTGCAGGTCGGCATCGTGTGTGTATGCAGCCACCTGGTATTTTCCTGCAGTATACGTTGGCCGCCACGCGCCCGCGATGTCACCGCGGCGCTGACGACTTCGTGTAGGCTGAAGACAGAGAAAAGAGGCTTGCATGGTGTCGAGACATCAATTAGGATGATCACAGTAGTGTGGTTACGTGCGCCAGTCGAGACGTTTTGGGTGGAGGCGGGCAGTTTGATACACGCGGGGACATGCAGAGAGGGAAGGGCGTGACTTAGAGTTGGCAGCGCGTCATCGCAGCGTCTTCTGTTCACCACCGCAAATGGAGCTCTTAAAAAGAGCTCAGAAGAAAACCTTTTTGAAGGTTTTTTGGAGAGGAAATAGGCTAGCCAGCCCACCGCCATGAATAATTGTTTCGCTGGTGTGCTGCGCTGTTTGCACCAGGGGACCGCAGAGTTCCCATCGTCCACAACTGCTGTTTCGCTATTTTGTTGAGGTTGACGCACTGAAGGACCCTTCTGGCCGTTGAAGGCACATTTTTGATGGCGACATACTTAGGTACCTATCTATCTAGCAGGTCTGTTACATGTTACATGAAGTGGCGTGGACTTGGGGGTGTGTGCAGACGGTACGGTAGGGTTATGTGCTGTCCCATGGGTCTGTCCCATTATGCGTGGATGAACGGCGTCCCTAGGGTGCAATTGATGACGTGGCAGGATGTCAGGGGCGTGCTCCGCGTCTAGACGCCTCTTGCATACAGCTTCAATATCGATCTACACACTCAAGGTTAGCTCCATGCGCGCCGTGTCTTCTGCACATGGATGGCGCCAAGGACTATATTACGTAAGAGGACACACGTGAGCCGCGAGAAGGAGGCCAATGCAGCCCCTAGCGTGTGATGTTAGCGGGAAGGCCTTATGCATATGACTGCGTAGACTCATAAATGGACCGGCGACTTATAGGAGGTGGCTGGCATTGCAGCCGAACGGTCGGCACGTAGGATGACCCTGTATACCTGTGGGCAGCGGTCCGGTTGGATCGAGCACTTGATTATTTTAGCCAGTTGGGAACGGAACAGAAGGAGGTGACGTTTGACTGAGGCAGGACGGGTTTCGTTACATGAGAGTCTCGGTGTTGGCACGCTGGGTAATTGACACGCGGTATCCCTTAATTTCTTTGAGGTCTTACACGGAAGGGTGCGGCAGGTAGGGCACGCAAGGCGGTGTTAACCGCCGCCGCTGCAAGAGTGGTTTGGAAGGAAGCATTTGGTGTGTTTATGTGTGCGTGGCGTGGAGGGGGTTTTGGTTGCGTTTAACGTGCTTGCAACGGATTTGCATAAGTTCCCATACCGAGACCAATCGTTGAACCGTTTACTTCGGAGACTTGCATCGTTTCGGATTGGTTGGTGGTTGCTATTGCTGTATACAGTACCGTGATAATAATAGTTGCTGCACTCGACGATTTGCTAAGATTCTAATTAGGAATCGTGGTGTGTTGCTCGCGGAGCTCGGAATGGCTGGCTGTGTTTATCTTTGGCTGTGTGTGAGAGGTGGGTCCATGTTACGTACCAGATACCAGTTCGAAGCACTGGTTTATGGTAGGGGGTTTGACGCGTCTTGGGGCATCACACTTAGACATTTAGGGTTGTGGCATTGCATGTGGCATTTTGTCGTACTGCTTCCCCACGTCCGGGATAGCTATTGCTTCCTTGGGGTCATTAGGGTTACTCGAACGACCGCCTCCTTTCATCATCTGTAACTCTTGCAAACCCAGTGGCAACGGAATGATTTAGGACAGGTAAATAGCCTGAGGGGAATGGGACTGAGCTGAAAGTTTCGCCATCGCAGGTTTCACATACGGCAAACGTGCCATGAAGGGTGCGTGATGCGCGTCCCCAGCTACGCAGCACGCAAGTCTGCGGTTTGCAGACAACATCTACCTTGGGTGCGTGTGGCTACTGTTCCACCAACTTTGCTGCGCGTGCACAGTTTTCTTAACATCTGTTTATTCATGTACTGTACAACTCTGTTGACCATGTGGGGCAACGGCTCTGGCGGCACGCTCTAAGGACTCACGGAAAACCTGCTCCCAAATATGCGAAATCCGGGAACTTGTGTTGCTCAACACAAGGTCGATGCACGCTGTTGCAGAAATCGGCCACGGATATGTCGTGCGCTAGCGAGAGCCTTCCCCATAGAACACGGGCCACTTTTACGGCATGGAAGTGAGGGGTAAGGATGTGTCTGGCCCTGGCTGGCGCATGGAAGCCCTAGAACCCATGTGGAATATTCGGTTGAACTTTTGCGCGTGTACCTCCCAACTTCGGTTCCGTGCGTGGTGGCCTTTTTGTTCCAGTATTCAGTGGGGGGAAAGGTGGCTAGTGACGGTTTAAGTGCCTAAATGCCTACACGGCCTTGAAAGGAAGCGGTAAATCCCTTTGATGCGCCGTGAATGTGTTTTTTTCAACACTGCAGGAATGCAGGATACATAATTGCTGCTGGCCTCCAGTCCCGGATATCCCTGTCTGCGGAGGCATGGAGCATGCAATTCAGCAGCAACCTGCCGGACGATGATGCATCGTTATGAAGTTGCCATTGTTGTCGCTCGTACCAGACAAATTACATGGTTTCTATACATTGACTTTACTTTAGTGCTCTAATGTCCTGCGTGCCCACACGGAGCGCCTAAGTAGTCAATCCACGAGCGAATCTAGAATGCAGTGTACACAGCAGCTTCGGTGCCCGCAAATGCAAATGCATAGGCGTCCTGCTTCTGGAGCTATTCGCTATGGGAGGCTCTCTTGCTCGCCTGTCGCGCCATGCCGGCGACCCTTGGTGAAGGCACCGAGCTCTAAGCCAAATCCTGCTTCTGGAACGGACCTACCAACAAGTTACATCGTTGAGCCAATTAGCTTTGGTATGTTTAAAGGCCGCAAGCTCTTCTAGCATTCCCTGTTCCGACACGGTCTGCTTCGGTTGGGCGATGCGACTGAAGACAAACACGACAATTTGGCGCAGGCGAGGATTCTGTGCTGGAATGCCCAGAGATCCGCACAAAGTTGACGCCAAGGCGAGTTGGCGAGATTCAGATGTTGCACTTCGCCCAACCCACGTTATCAAGGAACATGGCTTCACCTTGAGCCCCTGTCCATGCAGGCCTAGTCCCTTTGTAGTCCACAACAACTTTGGTGGTGGTTTCGGTGAGTCACGATTCTCCGCTGGGCAACCCATCCGTGAGCCATGTACACTGCATAGCTAATGCCGCCCCACAGCGACAAGTACACGCTCGTATCCATGTAGCCAATTCCATTTCAGTCACATGCCGGGGCTTCTCCATTGCCTCAGCCATGTTCCCGTCGGTTTCGCAAGCCCTTCCTTATCTCCTGCAGCTTGTCTCCGGTGGTCTCCACGTGACCCCCTTCCCCAGTCATATATAGCGCTGCTTGCATGTACCACGCACGCGCCATAGTCCTCACAATCCCTTCACACCAACCCCACCGTCGCTCCCCACCTTGCATGCAGTGTCCGACAACGACCGCGTGGCACTCAACTCCATGCGGTTCGCCTCGCCCGAGTCGGCAGGTGGGCAGCCAGCAAGGGAGGGAGGAACCAAGGCCATGATCTAGCTCCTGAATTCCCGCATCATCATCATCGTCATGTAGATAAGAGATTTCCGCACTCATTCTTACTGTTCACCCCTGCTCAACAAACGCTCGCCCACCTAACCGCTGCTTTTCCACTGCTCCCAACCTTTCTTCCTGCTCTCCTTCCCCTCCTCTCCTCCTCTTCTCCTCCTCCCCCCAAAAGGCGCCAGTCGCGCCTACTTCGAGCCTCGCGTAAACGGCGGCGCCGGCGCCGGCGGCAACAGCGGCGCCGGCGGTGTGAGTGTTCTGGAGGCGTCCATGGACCAGCTCAACATGACGTTGCCCCCCTGGGCCATGCGGGCGGGGGCGCGCAAGGAGATCTTCTTTGACCCCACGCAGGTACGCGTGGGTGCCGCTGGGCTGGGGCCTGTGATTGGGCTGGGGATTACCATGGGCCTCTGGGCTTGATCTGGGGCCTGGGATTACTGCTGGCGTCCTCTTGCTCCACACCTCCTGCTCCTGCTGCTGCTGCTGCTGCCGTCCATGCCCAACCGTGTGTGTTCTCATGCGGTTGCGGTGCTGCTGCTGGCGGTGGTGGCGGCGGCGCTCCTCAGGTGACGGCGGCGATCGTGACTTGCGGAGGTCTGTGCCCGGGGCTCAACGACGTGGTTCAGGTGGGTGGCTGGATGGGTGGGTGGCTGGGTATAGCATGGGTGGTCGGATGGGCGGGTACAGATACGGATAGCGGCGGTGCGGCTGGCGTGGCGTGGCTCCCTGACTCATTTCTCCCCTGACAAACGCATGAATGCGACCGCGCACGTCTACCAACCCCCTCCCAATCCCAACCCCGCTCCCCACCCCCCGGATCAGGGCCTGGTGAACAAGCTGACGGACTACGGGGTGCCCGAGGGCAAGATCCTGGGTATCAAGTACGGCTTCAGGTGAGGGCCGTGAGCGACCCGTGGGTCGTTTCCTCGATTCTTGTGTTCTCTTCCTCAGCAAAAGTATGGTGCTTCAGGTTGGTTGGCGGGAAGTTAAGGACGCATAACCGCATGCCCTTATTTGGGTCCCTCCTCCCGTCCACTATACTCCTCCCTCCCTGCCCTCCCAACCCTCCCTATCCCCGCCCCACACTTTGGAATTTCTTTTTCCCTCTGTCAGGGGCTTCTACGACCCCGCTGTGAAGCCCGTGGTGCTTACCAAGCGCACCGTGGACGGCATCCAGCTGCAGGGGGGCACCATCCTGGGCACCAGCAGGGGGGGAGCCAACATCAGGTGGGGGGGGAGGTGCGGGTGCGGCGGGTGCAGGTGCTTTCTTGCATGCATGCGCGGAAGGGAAGGGCAGCATGAACTGCATGACGTGTGGAATGGTGAGGACTGAGAAGGGGGAGGCGTATGGTGGGGTCGGGATGGGAATCCCATGGAGCGGCTAAAGGAGGTACAAAGATTCCATCCTTCTCCTCCTTCTCCTCCTCCTTCTCCTCCTCCTTCTTCTCCTCCTCCTCCTCCTCCTTCTCCTCCTCCTCCTCCTGGATCCTAACCCGTCCCCGTCCCTCGTCTCCCGCCTCCCGCCTGCTCGCTCGCTCGCAGGGAGATCGTGAAGCGTATCGACATGTGGGGTATCGACATGCTCTTCGTGGTGGGCGGCAATGGAGGCAACGCGGGAGCCAACGCCATCAACGCCATGTGCCGCCAACACGACGTGCCGTGCACCGTGGTGGGTGTGCCCAAGTCGATTGACAACGACATCCTGCTGATTGACAAGTGCTTCGGGTTTGACACGGCGGTTGAGGAGAGCCAGCGGGCGCTGATGGCTGCAAAGGTGGGGCGGGGTAGGGGGTTTGAGATGGGTGGTAGAGGGCGAAGAAGAGGAAGAGAGCAGCCCTGTGACTAGGTTCCAAGGTGGAAAGGAAATAGAGCGGGTGAGATAAGATGAGGATAAGGCGAGGAGGTAGAGTAAAGATGGAAGAGGAAACGAGGAAACTCGGCCCACTCCCCTTAGCTCCGCTTTCCTCAACACCCCTTCCCCCCTTGCCAGGTGGAGGCCAGCAGCGCCCGGCGGGGTATTGGTCTGGTGAAGCTGATGGGCCGGCAGTCGGGGTTCATCGCGATGCAGGTGCGGTGGGGGGAGAGGAATGCTGAGGAAACGGCGCTTCGGGGGGGGGGGGGTTGGACCCGATACGAGGGGGACAGAGGGGGGGTTAACAATTAATGATTAGTGCCTCGGGGGGGAGGAGACACGGATATGGGGTCCGGCCCTGGGGCGGCTGGCGCACTGGGTTCGTAAACAACTATGAAAGGGGTTCTCCTTCCTTCTCTTGCGGATTGATTCACACTCCCTTGCCTTGCCGTTCGAACAACGTTCCTCCTCCCGCTCCACCCCCCACCCTCCCTCCCGCAGGCCTCCATGGCCAGCGGTGTTGTGGACGCCTGCCTGATCCCCGAGGTGTCCTTCAAGCTGGATGGGGAGGTGGGGCTGCTGCGCTACCTAGAGGGTGTCATCAAGGCCAAGGGGCACTGCGTGGTGTGCGTGGCGGAGGGGGCGGGGCAGGTGCGGGAGGGGGGGCGGGCGGGGGAGGGAGGGATGTGGAGGGAAGGTTGGGAGAGGGGGGAAATGACGTGCCTGCTGATGGGAAAGAAGAGATGGTGGTAGGTGGGAGAGGAGAGGGAAGGAGGGAGAGAGGAGGGAGGAAGAGGAGCCTGGGCGTGGGGAGAAGGGAAGGAGGGAAGGGGCGCTAGAAGGGCGTTGTTAGGTTAGGGTATGTGACACTGAGTAGACATGGTTGCATGCCTGCATGGAGTTGTTTTGACTCCTCCCTCCCTTGCGCCTCCTGTCGTGCCCTTCACCCTGTCTGCAATCTCCTCAACCCCCCAATCTCCTCCATCCCAACTCCCAACTCCCCTCCTCTTGTGTGTTACCCCCCCAACCTAACCTAACCTAACCTAACATGTGGTTCGGGTATATCTTTGACCCCCCCCCCAATTCTACCTTTTGCGGAATCTTCATCCCTATTAACCCCCCCCCAGGACCTCCTCGAGGACGGCGGGCAGCTGGGCACCGATGCCAGCGGCAACCCCATCCTCAAAGACATCGGCGCCTTCCTCAAAGAGAAGTGCAAGGCGTACTTCAAGGACGCAGACATCAAGTACATCGACCCCTCCTACATGATCCGGTCCGTTTCCACAACCACCAACGACCGAATCTACTGCAAGATCCTGGCGCACAATGCCGTACATGCGGCCTTTGCGGGCTTCACGGGGATTACGGTGGGGCTGGTGAACACGCACTACGTGTACCTGCCCATTCCCGTCATCATTCAGGCGCCGCGAAAGGTAGGGGTGCAAGGTAGCTGACGTGTGTGTGTCGGAAACGTTGCTGGCGTGTGATGTGCCGTTTGGTGTGCTGTGTGGTGTGTGATGTGTTTTGTGCAGGCGGGCTGGAAGAGGCATGCTTTGCGTGTGGACGTGTAGGCGGAAGGAGGGTTGCGGTATTGGGAGGAGGCGTGCCGTGACATGTTGCATCGTGTGCCCTGATATGAAAACCCCTCCCGCCCTGCCATGCCCTGCCCTACCCAACTATAACCAACCAACCAGCTATAACCAACCAACCGCCCGTCAACCTCCCTCCCTCACAGGTGGACCCCCGCGGCAAGGCCTGGAACCGCCTGCGTGCCGCCATCGGCCAGCCCAGCTTCCAGTGAGCGTGCTGCCTTTGCTTGGTTGCTTGGATGGCTGGCTGGGCTGGCTTGTTGGGCTGGCTGGGAAGCCCATGCATCGCGCCCGAAGCCAAGCACAGCCAAGATGCGGCCATGAAGACGCCATCAGCTCCTCTTAAGGACGAGCTGCTGTGAGGGTCGCTGACACCATCCTTTGCTGCCCTACATGGGGGTGGATGGTGGCCTTGGAACTTCTCTCATGTGTCGTGTTCAGAAGGACGGTGGTTTGGCGGTGTCTGGCATGCGGCGCGTAGCAGCGGGATTCCATTGGCGCAACGAGATTTCTGCGCGGGAAAATATATTCTTTTACAGGTAGGATTGTTCCACTACAGGCTGTCACCCAATATGTGTGTTTGTGTTTGTGTGCATGCGTGTTTTGTTTGGGTACGTGTTGTGTCGTACTGCCGTACGACAGCTACTGTACGACACATGCTTTCAGCGTGTGTAAAAGGGCGGAAAAGAAAGAGAAGAAGGGCGCATTCATTACAGGAGGAGGAAAAATCGTTGCAAGTAGGAGTGTGCCAATGCGGCATGTGTTGCCATATGTTACTCTTGTACCCGTACGCTGGGGAAAGGGCTGCAGTTGGGAGGATTCAAAAATTCAGGGAGGATTCAGGAAGGATTCAGGGAGGAAGCGAAGAATATTCATACCTCAAGACCTCATACGCTGCAGTACATCTCATCATATACGCTGTGTCTCACAATCATCATGGCTATCATGGCCCAATCGGGGCAAGTGGAGGCAGCATTCGTGCCGGTGCCGGGTCGACCGTTTTGTGCTGTTGTCGATGTCTGGATGCATGCGCGCCCTGAGTGTAGCACCATTTGTGGACTTGGTTGGTTTCACCTGTTTGAAAGGGCCTACAATGCCGGGAACAAGTGCAACTCATGTGCAAGCCGCCCATGCATCTCATACGGAGGTACCGGTATGCCGCATTATGCATGGGGGCCCTCGGTGTCAGCGGGAGCGTGCCAAGAATCGCCCTACATGGAAGGATTGCGTGACTGGGTGGCCCATCCGTTGTACTACCGGTAATCGCTGGTCGCTTCAACACGAGGCCGCTGCCCCGCTGCAAACGTGTAAACTAAACTGCACGATCTTGATGGAGGCACGTGTGGGGCAGTACGACACGCCACCCATGTACACCGATAACACACCCGTGTAACTTACCGGTACCCGCCGGCATGCAGGCCCTCTCGCACTGCACCGCTATAGCTGCCGTAGCCACTTGTGCGCTCAGGCCCATAGGGTTGGCATGCACCCGGCGTCCTCCTCACCGACTCTTGCCACTTCAGCTCCTGTCTACAGGTATGTACTCCGGTTTCCTGTTCACTGATATCGCCAACTTACAACGCCTGTGCGGTGCAGTAGGCCGACCCACGGGGCGGCGGCCCGCTGAGATTGCGGCATGTTGAACCGCCATTCGATGTCAGCTAAGGCATTGTTGACTAGCCGAAGTGCTGCAATTCTAGTACATATATAGGGAAGCTCTTCTCCCTTACGGTTGCAGGAATCGGCTGAAGAGGCACCTGGATCCATTTAACAATCATGGAAGCCAACTCGGGACAAGTTTAAAATCCTCAAGACCTAGGATAACAAACGCTGCTACTTATCGCCTGGAGTTGACCTGCCGGAAGAAAGGTACACTCGCATTCACTGCTGCCCGAAGGTACACTCGCATTCCTGCCAACAGCCCAGCATCAAGCCACCCTGCTCCACTATTTGCTCCAATTCATTCCAGAAAAACCCGTTATCATTGCAGGGCAACAACAAAATGTTAAGAGAGGAGCTGGAAACTCCCGTCTCCAACCCTACGGAACCTGGACCCGCCGAGCCCGCGCATCAATCCTCGCGCACCTTCCCCTCACCGCCTGAAGCCACGCTTCCGCACCGCCTCAAGGACGGCGGCTGCGACACAGCAGACGGAAGCAGGGACACAGGCCACATAGCAGCACCCCCACAGCACCAACACCCTGCAGCACCTCACTCGCAGCAGGTCTTGGCGACCCGCGTGGCCCCCGCCCTGGAGCAATCCGATGATGTCTCTCTAGAGCCGCTAGCCGCGGCGGTGGTTGCTGATCACATCCCCGCGACCTCACCACCCCTGCTGGGCGGTGTCACTGCCGGTGGTGGGTTTAGCGAGGGAGGCACGGGCGGGGGCCCCAGCCGCTCGGACCATGTTGTTGCTGCTGCTGCTGGCGGCGGTTATGTCAGCCGCAGCGGAGTTGACTTTGGTGTTGGTGCAGGTGGTGGTGGTGCGGGTGAGGATGGGGAGAAAGGGGTTTCGGAGGTGGGATTGGGGCCGCTGCTAGCTGCGCGGGTGTCGAGAGGGGATGTGTACGGAGGAGTGGCTCCGGAGAGTCATGCGGTGGACGTGCGGGAGCTGATCAGGTGATGATGACCCGTGGGTCGTTGACGAGTGACGGAGATGTGTGTGTTACAGAAAACTGGCCGGAGCGGCTGGGGCCGGCTAGGGAGGGAGGAAGGAAGCCTTGTGGGCGCTTTGGATGCGTGCGTGCATGTTGACTCTGCGTGTTGAACAATGCGCTTGTTCTGTTTTGAAAAGTTGTTGCAGGTACCGGTATTGTCGCTCGGTTAGCGTCTAGTCGTCATGTTTGGAGAGGTGACAGGAACACCGACATGGGGCGTTGGGGAGTGGTGTCCGACGATTCCGACCGGATCGAGTAGCTAGTGGGTATATGGCAATCAATGATGGGCATAACAAACTAAACGCAACCTGCAGTCCATGCGTAAGTACCATACTAAGGGGATCGACGGCGACCCTTCAGCTGGTTACAACGTTACGCGGTGTCAATCCCTGCGCATGCAAAAGCCCCGATGGGACCTGAAAGCCTCGGACCCTGGGAGCCCAGCATCATGCTACGACACACCAGCTGCTGAGCTTCTCAGTATGCTCGGACGGGGCAACAAATACAACGGTCCCTTGTTGTACAACCGCCCACTTTACCAGCTCTTAACGCAACCATACTACCGTACCTAAGCACGAAACAACGAAGTAGAAATGGAAAGGCACAGAATGAAACAACCTCACTACGGGGTGCCTTTTACGGTAGATGCGTACAACATGACATTCGCCCTGCTGCCCACGTGCCCGGCTATACAACGTGCCCAGCTACGAATACGTGCCGTACCGAAAGTACAACTATTGGTGTACGGCAGTCGTACGGCAACTTGCACGCTTTCCTTGAACACGACAGCAGCTGCTACTTGTTTTGCTAGCTAACAATGCTAACCTTTACGACGGCCTCAAAGCTACGGTGCCTCTTACCGAAGCCAGTCTCGCTCCGCTAATACCTTGACTCCTACAGCTATCTCGGGCCGTCAGTCGGTCCTCCTGCCTTCACCACAGCAGCCGACTACACACGCCACACCGCCCCACCCATACCGATAGCCCTTTACCTCTTAGCATAGACGCCCATCCTAATCGGCCGGCACAATGTGCAGCCAAGTCCTACATCCCGCCCGTTTCACCCGTCCCCACAATACCTAATGGTGTCATATTGCTGCATGTAGCAGTGTTCATGTTGCCGCATTCATGTAGCAGCCTCCCGCCGTCACGCTGTCCCCTAACCCTGCCGTCGCCCGCCGCACTGCTCCCGGTGCCCCGCCCGCCAGTGTGCCGTTTGACATTCTCGGCCGCAGTACGACACCCTTCCACACCGCCCGCACGCCTGCAGCGGCAGCTCCGCCTCACTCACCCCGGCCAGGTTTACGCAGCCGGGGTTGCCGCAGGTCCGATGCAGCTGCAGCTGCGCGCGAGCCTCCGCCGGCAGCACCAGCGCGCGAGCCACGTCCGCAAAACTGTTAGCGTCCGTTTCAGCTGCCAGCGATCGCAACACGGCCATGCACTCCCCGTCATCGCCACCGCCGCTGCGCCACTCCTCCAGCTGCGTTGCCAACCTCTCCACGCACCATACCAGCCCTCCTTGACCCTGCGCATGCAGCACCGGCGCCATCGCACGGAGTGCCTCTGGACGCCATGCATGCTGCGAGGGCGACGGCGGCGGCTGCATCCTCGCAATGCTGCCGCTGCCGCCGCCGCTGCCGCCGCCGCTCGGCGCCATCTCGCCCTGAATGGCCGCCCCTGCCGCCGCCGTCACCGCCTGCCGTACCTCCTGTGGGCACAACGCCGCCAGCGCGCAGCAGTTAGACGCCAGCATCGGTACCTCTGCGTCGGGCAGCAGCTGGCTTTCCAGCAGCTGCATCACAGCGTCCAGCAGCGGCACCGCACCCATGTCGCACAGCACCACACGCCGCCAGCAGCTGTAGCCGCCGTCACCGTCACCGTCACCGTCACAACCGCCGGCATGCTTACCCGCTTCCGCCGCCTCCGCCGCCGCCGCGGCGGCGGCTACAGGGGAAGGTGTATCCTTGCTTCTCGCACCGCCTCCGGCGCTGCCGCCTCCGCCAAGGCTGCCCCAGCACTTCAGCAGTAGGCAGGATAGGAGGATATTGGCTTGCCTAGCACACGTTGACCATGCCGCATAGGGCCCAGGCTCCCGCCCCGATTGCGAAGCAGCAGAGGCGCTGCTGGTGCCGCTTGCGCCGCCTAGCAGCGAGTACTGAACCGCTTGCGGTACGGCTTTCTGCAACAGCCGCGACAGCGCGGGGAAGAACCCGTACATAGCATACGACAGAAGCGGAGAGCGAGGGGCGTCCTGTGAGACCTGCGCGTCGGACGCCCCAGCCGCCGCCGTCTCAATCGGCGGCAAGAACGTTACAGCTGATAGCGGCGCTACTGCAGGCTCCGAAGGCCCACCCGCCGCCTCTGCCCCCGCCGCCGCCTCTGCCCCCGCCGCCGCCGTCGCCTCCAATGTGTTCCGCAACAGCGATCCCATCATGTGCAGCACGAGCATCAGCACGGCCCCTTTAAATCCCCTCGCTGGATCCATCTCACCGACCACCATAACCCGTGGGTCATTCACACCGAGCAGCAGCTTGCTCAACGTGGCGATCAGGGAGGCCACATGCCGCGGCTGCGCGTGCCGCAGCAGGAACGGGAGGAGGTCGTATCGCCTGAATGCGTCGCAAGCAAGCACGGAAACGCCACTGGCCTCGCTCCCGATGGGGCCTTGACCGTTGCGCCGCAACCACCATTCCACACAGGGCAGCAGGCCCTCCGACAGCGCGGCCACAAGCGAGGGCGGCAGCGCATCGGGCCCGAAGCCACCGGACTCTGCGTGACAGGGAAAGACCGGCCAGACCTTTAGTGACTGACACCATATGCCATTGCAGCGAAAGGATGGCGCGAAGCACTGGAAACAACAGGTATTCAGGACTTGGGCGTCGGACAGAAACAGCACCAAGTTATTTGACTTATTTCTGCACGCCGCAAACTTGTTTTAGGCAGCCCGAAAAGCTGCATGGGTCAGTGCCCGTTCTAAGTGTTCACGTCATCCTTCTTGCTCCATTCCCTTGTAGAGGCCCTTGCCCCTCAGGCACGTGCGCCCACAGTCCTCACCCTGCAGATGCTGGGACACTTGCAGCAGATCCAGTCGAGCTTGGTACACCAAGGCCAGCCCCTGATCAGATAGCGTCGCGCTCTGGAGGCAATAACGCGTCACGTCCCTCGCCAGCCCCCACCACTCCACCACCTGCGCCCACCACCGCGCCGACCCCACCCGCGGCGTCCTCAGGTATCGCGCGCGTTTCAACGAAGCCACGGCCAGCTCCGCCACCTCCGCCCGCGGCAACACCGCCTGCAGCAGCGGCAGCTCGGCTCGGCTCGCGATGGGCGAACGCTGGGAGCCGCCGCTGCGGCAGCCAGTCGCTGTGACACCACTGCTGTCATTGCTGGCGGCGGCGGCGCCATTGCTGTCACTGTCGGCGGCGGCGGCGCCACTGCTGCGACTGCTGGCGGCCGCGGCGCCATTGTCGTCACCGCTGGCGGCGGCGCCGCCATTGTTGACACCGGCGGCGCCACTGCTGTCACTGCTGGCGGCGGCGGCGGCGATGCCGTCTCCGCCAAAGATGCCGCCAGCGGTTCCGCCGCCAGCACTTCCAGCGGCGGTGCGCGGCGCCGCCGGCGGCCGCTTTCGCTCCGCCCAGTATCGCCCCGACGCCGCCGCCACGCGACCGATACGCATCGCCAGCAGCAGCGAAGCGCGCCTGCCGGGCGGCGGGTCCGCCAAGCCGAATACTAGCACCTTGATCACCGC